GCCCTTCAGGTGAAGGGCTGAAGGGGGCCCCCGCTAGGGTGGGGAGCCGCCTAGGACGAACTCGTGGGCGCTAGGTGGCCAGAGACTTACAATAACTGTTGTGTGCTTCTTTTTTTTTTTATATAGAAAAAACAACTGCTGTAAATAACGAAAAGGGTTACTACGATGTTGCTTATAAGGTAAAAAATATTTCATGGTGTTAGTTAACTTGTGATAGGTCTTTAAAACTGAGGTTAGGCTACTTATACTATGTATATTTTCGAAGGCTTTGGTAGCTTATTGGGTCTAGCCTATTTAAACAGCTACCAAGAGTTCGTGTTAACCAATAACGGGGCAAACATAGTTTATCTCCTGACCCAGTTCCGCGACAAAGGACTTCCCCAAGATTTTCTCGCCATGTCTTGCAACAGCAATGATAAAGCGGGCATCGCTATTCTCAATAGAGATGTGAGTTTCGAAGCCGGTTCGCTCATGCACCAGCAGACGCTTGCCTTCTAGCAATGTTGAGGTCTGAGATGGGACCGAGAAAATGGCCCAGTTGTCATGGTCTGTAGCACCGTTCCAGCTCATGTAGAGATTGGTTGTATGCGAAGTTGTGCGATTAACAAAGAGAGCAGGATCCCAGTGCGGAGTAGCGTTCCACGGGAATTTGAATATGCGGTAGGCATTAGCCGAAAATGTATCTTTGCCAAACTGCCCTCGGAGAACTACGTTGCCGTCTCCGTCATATTCCTTGAGTTTGGGTATCGATCCGTAGCCCAGCAGCATGTGTGCTGTTCCTGGGCTTGGAAGGAACTGGAAGCTGCCTTGCGTTGCACTCACGATATGGTCAATTGGATCTGTCAGCTCGTGGATTCTCCATGCCTTCTTGTTGATGAGATCGACGTGGATGACTAGTCCTGTTGATGGGCCTGGGTCCTCATGGTCCATGGCAGCGTTGTTATAGAGACTGAGAACCAGGCTCTCCTCGGTTTCGTTGTGAACACGGACATCATGTTGCCATGCAAAGCTAACATTGTCACTCTTGAAGTCGCCGTAGTAATCATTATCCCTCATTAAATCGCCGTAGTAGTCATTATCACCCTACAAAATACCGAGTAAGCGGGTAAATCCAACATCTTCAAAGGTTTGAAGCTTAGATATACTCACAGAAAGTTGCCAGCGGACAGAGCCGTCCTTGTTAATATAAAACACGGAGCGAATGTGCCGAAAATTGACCAGATATCCGTGTTTGGTGGAAGTAACCGAGTTTATATGGTAAGCGTCCCAGGCCTCATGTAACTTCTTCCCACCCAGTACGGTAACACTGGACTTGGAAAGAGGAATATGCTCGAGTGCATCCCATTTGAACAAGACCTTGTTTGTTTTTATGTCGATTTCGTAGAATAGAGAGTCCAAAACCCACATATCAGGCGTACCCCTTCTAAGATGGCTAGTATTTGTTTGGGTGAAATTGAGAGCCGAGACTAGCATGGTATTTTGAGGCGTGATGTAATGCTCGTGGCCATCGATATAGGAGTCAAAATTTTTTCCGCTAGGAGTGTGAAAGTTATCGTGCAGAGTGACTGTGTAGATCTCTTTGTATGTGCTGTCGAGAATATGCGTTGCTCCATATCCCAACACTCTAAGATCTGGCTGTGCATCCCAGTATGTGATCACATCTTGGCCGAACAGTTTTTGCATCTTAAAATCCAGGTTCTCTCCTTGCGGGCCCTGCCACACCATGTCGCCATTATTATCAAAGACTGTTGGAGCGGTGCCAGCCTCGTTGGACTTTCGAACGCCTATAAAAAAGTATCCAGGGTCCGTTTCGCCTATCGCGCTGAGTGATAGATGGGGGGGCTGCCAATTTCCTGTCTGAAATGATTCATAAGGCCAATCTGGTTCCCCAAATACCAGCGAGAACAGCACATATAGAATAAGAAAATAACACGCCATGATTCAAACCGCAAGGCTAGGCGTCAGAACAAAAGTTTAAGTGATTGTCCAGGTGATACTGATGGAGATAATACCATTTGCCGTGTGCTACCTTGTTCAAGGAACACCATAGGAGGCGACAAAAGTAAAATGGCTAAGCATAGATAATCTCAATATACTCTTGAGCATTATTAGACCTGATATTTATTGCTTAGGGCCAATTTCAAGAGACCATCGGCATCGATGACATGGGTCTTGGAACTCTTATCACACGGCAAACCGTACGTTGACCTTTGATGACGTACAAATACATCATTGATCTGCTGCCGAGAGAGGACCCGGTCAGGTCTGACTCTAGCTACAGTCGTGCAGCGGTCGTGTATTATTGGCTAGATAAATGAATGTTTCGCTTCCTGGCTTACATCATGGTATGGAGATAGTTGATGTGGATATGAGTGTCTCCATATTAAAATCCTTTCTGAATAGAAGGATGTCAAGTGTCATATTGTCTCACGGATTGGAATCATATACTGGTTATAAATGCATATTGAGCCTTCTAGGAGAGATTTTGTGACTACTACCGTGATGTAACTGGACGTGAAAGCAAGGGCTCATCGTTTTTACATCGCCGCTTCTGCTTGATTTCCTTCGTCAGCCACATCATCCCTTCTGGAATCTTTCCTAGCTTTCAGATTATATTTACAGGGGAAAATATGCAGAACAAAGTGTCAATTGAGTGTTTCAGGAGAGAGTTATGAGGGCAATGGTAATCATCCCATGCAGTGTTGGATAATATCTCGACTCCTCTCACTCCTTCGCCATTGAGCCTTGTTGTTAAAATAAACTTGCCCTTCAATGGTCATCCTAGCCTATTTACTAGGATTTAGGAGGTAGTATTATCGCTCACAGGTCAGCTGGTAAGCGAGTCATGTCCCAGAGTCCGAGATATTTGTTAGGCGAGTCCTCGGGTATACGAACAAGCGGATGGCCGAGGTTGAACGGAGGTAGAGTCAGATCGAGCTTTGCGTGACGAAGGCTTGGCTCGTTCATTCGTTGGAAGTTGGAGAACTCCTCTTGACTCGAACTGGAGTCACCAGTATAGCTTGTGGTAAGAAGCAGCGAGGCCGAGCGACGGAATCGCTGCAACGCAGGAAGAATCATGTCGTTGGGTAAGTGGATGAAAACGTCTCGACAGATAAGCAGGTCAGCCGGGCGTGATTCATTCGCTGTGACATCAAGAATATCTAGTTGATAGCCACGTTGTCGCAGCTCGGCCCAGTTTGCACGTTCGTATATATCATAACCGACATAGTCGATCCCCCGGAGATCTACCATGCTTATCCAAGCGAGATCTCCGCAACCTGCATCATTCAGCGTTACCACCTGATATTTGTTCAATATCTGAGAAAATTCCTTCCGAACTCGCCGGGTATGCTGCTTGCTGGAGCCCCAGCCGCAAACTGTATCAAGTGCCTGGTCGGGCCATCCCTGTAGAAATATTTCTGTGCTGTGTGATGGTTCTCCGGAGTTGACTATTACGGAATCATGATCTTTTTGGGACTGTAAATTTCGAAAATAATAATTCCAATCGTCTGGATGACGGGTTTGATCCCACGATGATGATATCCCAAGCACCTGCGCGACTGGTAGTTTTTCTTGGTGTGGAAGTTGTAGATGGTGCGAATAGTAGCCATCGGTCAACAACCCCGTGGGCCAAGCAGTGGCGATAGAGTCCCAACTTAACTGATCATATTTAATAGCAGGCAGGTATTCATTCGCAATGGCTGCAATCATGTCGATAACCGGTCTGCTTGACTGTTCGACTTTTTCGTGAGGAATTACCTAGGTATGTGTAAAATATCCCCCATCAATAAATGTTGGGCATCCAAGCAAGAGGAAATTTGGGGGTTAAGCTAGTACTCCTGAAACTAGCGGAAGTTGACGGAAGTGTCTAGATCTGTGTCATTCACGAGTCACGCGTTAAGTTTGTATAAAGTCGAGGAGGGAACAAACTTGTATACGATGGTTCAATGGCAAGCTGATGGTTTTCGTATTTTCGTTGTATCCATGGATGGTGTGGATCGTCGATAGCGAAACTCACTCACTTTCCCCGCAGTGAAATTAACCACGGTGGTTCCCAAAGTTTTAATCAGAACCATAGATGTTCAAGCCAGACAATCTATTGTTGCCGCTTTCACGAAAAAAATTAGGTTGTGTTGGCCAGGCCTTGCAGCAACTCTAAATACTCCGCCAATTTTGGGTATAGTATGACTGGCTTTGCCCTTTCCAAATAGGATACTTTTTGAGACTGAAATCGTGGATAACGAGAATATCCAGGGGCTACTCTCCTCGTAGGCCAAGCGGTAGCTATTGATTGCCAAATCAGTTGATGATATTGGGCAGCAGGGGAGACCTCGTTGGCAATACAAATCAACCTTGTCTACGACTTGGCCGCTTTGGAGCTGAGATTTGTCCACTTAGCTCGAATCTTGAAAGTTGGAGATACAAATCACAGTTTGAAGAGACAAAGCATGAACCAAAAAAATTTGCAGGTCAATGTGACTTGCGACATCTCGTGAATGCAAGAGGTAGCGGAAGTTGACGGATGCCTAGATCTTCAATGGACAAGACCAGAATCATGTGTCGAGAAAATTGTGGCTACGGATGAGGCGTATTCATACCACAGTTCTGGGGCCCTCGGATGTGTTCGTGATCTGTTTCCGTCGATGGCGTAGATAGTGGATAGTGGAGACATAGAACCATGGTACATTATTTACGTTCGTCCATTATTATGTATCGCGAACAAAGGCTTTAAAAGAGTTCTAGAGCACATATTTCGACCGCAATAGTCTAACAGTCGGAAGCTGACCCGGGTCTAAAAAAATCAGCTGTTGCAGAAAGTGTGTCAAAACGCCCCGATGCAGAATAGCTATATTATTTTAAATTCGGTAGCGTCGCGCAAGGAAGTTAAACTACAGTAGTACGCTGCTATAATGAGCCATGAAAATAGTCCGTCAATGCTCAAGTTAACAGTTTACAGGCAGTCAGATAGGTGGAGGAGGGGATAGAGCATGGATCTGCAGCTAGATGGACTGGCGGTAACGGCTCACGCCATCGCCGAAAATCGAGCTGTCGTCGTCGATGCCGGAGACTGGCTGACCAACGCTTTGCATTGGTTGTAGATCATGCACAAGAAGGCGTAGGATAAGGATGTGGTGACAATAGATTATAAGAAAGAAATCTCAATACTTGAAGGGATGGCCTTCGGTGTTACTGTACCGCGCAGTTTCAATGGTTGATCAGAATCTTCATCTCCGCTGATGAAAATGGGGACGCTTTGCTTACAGGACATAATCATCCAAACTGATGAGCTTTGGATCCGAGAAAATGAGATAAAAGTATTTTAGTGTCTCTGCAAGCCAGAAACTTTCCATAGCATCCAATCTTGCCGTCCGTATGTCACGGGTATCATTGAGCGCAGCATGGCCATATTCGACTTTAGTGTACTGCTCAATGCTTTGAAATATCTTCCACGCAGTATCTTGTAGTGACTTGTCACCCGTAATTCTGTACATAATAAAGATAGACTCAATTGCCTCAGGCCTGTGGAAACGGTCAACATGGCACTGTTTTGATACACCCCATCGAGTATACTAATTACCTCAGACGGTATTTTGGATTGGCGACTTCCAGTATTGGCGGCTGTAGCTTATGATGTTGAATAATAAGTCGTGTTGCCTCACGTAAATTCGTAGGCAGTTGTGCTCCATCTGGCCATCCAAAAATATCACGAAACCACTTTTCTTCCTTCCATTCACAACGGTCGGAATTCCTGCAGCCACTGATGTATAAGGTCTCCGGCATAATTCCGGTCGGCATAAGATCATATGCCCAGATACAACCATTCACCAATTTATGTGCAATGGGCAAGTCATCTGAGCGACCAAATGCCCGGGAGCCAAGCGCTACCATACCCCCGAGGAAGCACTTCAGATGCTCAGTTTGATACTCAAAAACTTCTTGACCCTCTGAATCAAATTGGATATTTCCAGCGAACAATATATCCTCTTTCCCTTTCGTCATGCCATGGAAGAGTAGGTGTTTCTTGATCCCTTCTATCGCAGAGATATACATTTCGCGATATTGGTCTGATTGCGCTCCAAGGAGTAGATACTCTTTGACGAGGTACTCGTAAGTAGAGTCAGCCATACCACCTACTGTGAAGTAGTCGTCTGAGAAGCGTAATGAATGGGCATCAAATGAGAGCGGCCACAGACCGGGTAGCCTAGTCTGATTTTGTGCGTGATGTAGGTTGTCTGTAATTCGTTGAACAGCATCAAAATATTTGGGATCCCCTGTAATTTGCGAAAGCCGAGTGAACTCTAGGCTCAATGAGCCTATCTCAGCAAGTAGAGTATTTTTACTGGGGAATGTTGAAGACTCGAATGCGCTCCTAATAGTGTTAATGCGTTCCAGAGTTAATCCAGGAATACAGGAATCCCATCCCGGGAGTCGAGAGGACAATTTTTGCCTACCTTATCCATTGCCATCGCATCTGTGGCATCCTGTTTGGGGTATCAAATGCTCTATACAAAAGCTCGCCCAGTTCCTGGGCCTTCTCCAAGAGAGAATAGGACGTTTACCCTCGGTCAGGTCATATGCACTAATCAAGCCCCCCAGATGCCGGATTGTCGTCTCAAAAATATGGACAGTTGCTAGTTTGGGAGTAGAAAAATCGATATAATGAACTGCCTCAAGTGCGGCTTCAAACTCTTTATCCAAATCCATTATGAGTAGTGTATCCAGGGAGTCAATCAAAGTAACTGCCCATCCCCCAAGGGAGCTTTTGTAGCCGCCACTGGTTGGTGTTAATTCATCTCGCAGCCAGGCGTAGGTTTTATACCCATTCCAGCTATGTTGGAACGTGTTTCTCACGGCTCGCTGCCTTTTGATTCTCTCAAGTCGATCGGATTGGGCTTCACGATTGAAGTGGTGTTGGATTTGTGGAATGGATCTTGATTTGCCTTTCGGAAGAAGGATTAAGGAGACTGGACAGGTTTGAACAGGTATGATAGCACTTTCGCTTGTTTTCGTGGCAATTATGCCCCCACGGTGGGTTTCATGAATTTCCTCCACACCCAATATCAAATTCGGGAAGATGATACTGATCAGGAGGAAAAGGAACAAGTTCGACGACATGTGGATTTTTCGGATGAACATCATCGGTGAGTCTAGTGAGGAAATACAACCTTTAGGGGTAAAATCGGAGTTAAACCTGCATATAGGCTTTTATACTACACTGAGAGCCTCAGAGTAGCAAAAGCACAGTGAGGAATGGAGACCAAAATTATGCGGAGTTGGAAAAGGTCACGCCGGATTGTCAAAACAAGCATCCATGGATGCCATTTGGTCACACCACAAAGTTGAATTACCGAAGTATTTTTCTACCACGTATTGAAAATGATCCTGTCCTAATACGATTAAGCTTTTTTTTAAGTACACATTTTTCCCCAATCAAGCTGCTAACTCGTTCATATTAGAACTCAAAAAATAATCCATCCAAAATTACTTGCCAAATGGAAAAACTTCGAAAACCCTTTTAAATTAAAATTGCATCAAACCCTAGATTAATTCTAATTTTTCTTGCGCTGAGCCCGGCTTCCCGAAATTCGAAAGAATAACGGTAGCACCAGTATGCTCCCAACAAGCAAAAAGAGAAGAAAAGAAACGTGTGGAGACATGTTATCCATGTGCAAGATTGCTTTGTTGTCTCGTTGATAATCAACAGGTGTCGTCGGTAACTCAAGGGTTGAAGGCAGAGGCCACAGATCTTCGAGTAAGTGCCTCAACGCGTGCCTCACTTCAGTTGATGGGCTTTTCATGTCGTCATTGAGACAAATAAACTTTGTTGGTCGGTCTCTTGTCGATTTTAGTTGGTCCATAGTGGTTTGGTAGTCGTCTCCCAACATGTGAAAGGTCACATCGGTTCCCATCTTCAGTCTATATCCCTTTTTCTGCAAACGCAATCGCAACCCTGGCATATCGATGCAATGCTCAATGTCCTTGATGGAAAGTCCTGTCGCGTTTCTCATTTTTGTCGGCAGCGGTAGATTGTTTTTGAACTCAAAGCTATTGTGAATGCACGTTTGAACGAGGTCATGAAAACCTGCCGGTGGGCTTGTTCCGCACAGAAGGTTTTCGATAATTCGGATGTCATCTTCTTCAATTCTGCAATTGCGGCTGGTCTCAACATCTTCATCCCTCAACCCGCACAGTTTAGATGATAAAATTTCGTGGCGATTGATTAGATAGTTGAAATAGGCAAAGCCAACCTGCAGGTCCCGTGGGTGCCGAAATCGATGTTCTGAGTTAAGCTGAAATTGCTGTGGAAATATGCCTTTGAGCTCGGTAAGTATTTGCTTGTTCATCATATGAGGCATGTGAGATGGGACCCTCCGGAGATGCTTCGTGAAAGGGAATCGTCCTTTGAATGCCTTTATCACAGATCTAATTGCATTAGCAACCAAGTCATCGGCGTGGGGGCACTGCGAGAATGCATCTAGCAGCGCAGCAAGTTTTATTCTGGTCTTGGTGTCTAGTCTTGGCATGCTTTCTGTCGTGTTCGATGCCCCAACGTCCTCTGAGGTATGATTATGGATTGAGTGTAAGGCAAGGTCAATGTGGCCATGTTCTACAGGGACATCACTCCCCAAAACTTCGGCAAGTAAAGACTGCGGGATCTCTGCTCCTTCCACATCGCATGCTGATGAGGCATGTACTTTCCCAACTAGCCGCTCAATTTTCACTCCACCATCCCCATCACCCACAAACCCGTAGTCATCAAATTCGAGCTCACATGACACTTGGGGCTTATCTGAAGGAGTGCTGTCAAACTGAGCCCGATACTCCGGATATGCATCATAACCCAATGGAACTCGGTGGGAGAGGTATATGGTTTGTACCCCAGATGGTGTGAAAAAGTCATCTGGCCATATAGGCGCAGCTAGGAACACATCGTCATTGAAATAGAGGAAGGTGTCACTGAGACCTGAGATTCTGTCCAGATTGCTCTCAATAGCGGAGGAAGAAAAGACCGGCAAGTGTGAGGAGTTTTCGAAAATTTCCGTGTGTTTGGCAATTGTGACGCGAGGATTGCCCAGATCCAGCCAAGAAGGAACCTGGCCATTCGTCACGATGTATATATGGCGTATCCAAGGTGCATATTTATCCAGGGAGCGAATTGAATATCGGAGCTCGTCATTGTCTCGGAAATGATTATCGGCGAAAGCATCATCCGCATTATCAGAGCCATTGTTCTGACTATTCTGGACGTCTGGAGTAGGTGCATCATATTCCTGGACCCAGCGCTGATACCAAAAGTCCCTATCACTCTTCCATAAAGGATCTGACCCATTAACCCATGTGTAAACCGCATCTATGGGTCCAAACTTCAATTCCTGTGAGTCGCTTTGGCCAATGTCATATGCGTTGGCATAAAGACGAGTTTCCTTTTTTGATATACCGTTCAATATGAAAATCAATAGAACAAATGCAATGCAAGGCTGACAATTGAAGATAAAGGACATGTCGTCGAGCCACGGCAGTATTAATACACCGAGATCTGTTCAAACCAGCTTGACAATCTGGAAATTTAAAATACCATTATGACAAGACCAATCGCAAGGTAGACAGCGATTAATCTCAACAGTTTCCTCGATGCTGCTCTAAATACATTTTCTAGCTCATTCAGCAGTAGATATAAAAGAAATCGAAATGTTTCGTGCGGAGAGCAAAGTGTCGCGTGAGCTAAACTTGAATTGTTGGAATTCAATCGTGCGGTCGCAGGTTCGATAAATCTCGTCGTTCCTCGGGCTTGAAAATTTCGGGTCGAGCCTTGATTCCACAGCCCCACTTTTACGACATGATGATTTGGATGGATAGTCATCTGAGACGAGCGAATCGCATATATTTCCCCGCATGCAAATATATGCTAATTGATGAAAGCGGATTCGTCAATAATTCGAAAATAACTTTCCAAGGGTGAAGGACTGCAGACCTCGCTCAAAGGCGGGTCGGGTCGGTTACGAGTCTGGACTCAATCTTATCGAAAGCCAAGGAAATGAACCAGAGTAATGTAAATTACATACCACTAGAGATCATAAGTACTCTGAAATCGTGGTGCCGCATGTGTAATCTCATAATACATGTATTTGGGAGGTCGTGCAAGTCCCGAGTGGCCGACTTTCCCCCTTAGGTATCCGAGACGGCAATACCGCCTGGCCTAGGGGCCATGGCGAAGGGTTTAGTGGTCAAATTGAGAGGGGATTTAGATAATTGCTAGTTGATTTACTGCTCGGTATTATATTTGCCGTATCACCTATTCGAACTGTAACACAGGTACTTATGTGACTGGATTTGGTTCACACACAAATGGCATAGAACCAGTTACCAGCTGTCTATATTATTATTTTCTCAGCTGTTTCTTCGGGTCCTTTACTTTTCTTGTTTCTATTTCTCGTAAGTACACATTACCACAGGGTTACCTAATTCAAGAGCTATGGCTAAACGAACTGGTACAGTATACCGTAAAATAAGATGAAATGTTCTTCGTAATGATTCTTCTGAGCCTTGGTTTGTACCATTTTGTTTTAGAGCCGTTCCGACCGATAGAATTTTGACGGCCGTAGTCGTAAATCAACCCAGAGGCCAGTCTGGGTTAAATTGCGTTGTCGCTTGATTCGTAGATTGTACTCTGTGCCAAACCTTGAGATTGACTGGACCGCTGTTAAATTTCGTATTAATATAAACTACAATACGAGCGAAGAGCCAACCATGGGCTGCTGCCATCTTCAGTCCGTAGTTTTGAAACTCTGGGTGAGCGATATATGATGAATGGGGTTTCCCACTCAATAGTTCATTCGCTAATTGAGAACTATGAATCATACGAGGAAGAAATCATAGAGGGGCCTATCTAGAAGGATAAGCTGGTAGATTATTTACTGCCTAAAAGAAAAACCATGACAACCAAATGCCGAGACTGTTTCAAAAAGAGCATGTGTTTAATTTTCATAAAAGGATTCCTGAGCTTTCAAACCAATAACACATTTTTAACAGAGAATCTCATATCATCCTTCCAGTCAGTCCCCCTTCGCCAATTGGGCGGTGTCCTTTACCATTCAACCTGTGCACACCACAGAGCTACTGTTTGAGGAATTCTAGAAGAGTGATTAACTTCCAAGCCGAGGAGACAGGCAAACAAAAAGTATATGAAGGATAGGGTAGACTAACAATCTTAGGGTAGATAATTTCACCCTTCTTGCAGCAGAGCCGATCACGACTATCACAATAGGGATTATCTAGTGCTTGTGAGTAAGCCGAATGGGTAGACTGATTGTCCTACTCACCTTGACCGCATCGAGTTCCAGCTATATTTTTCACAACATAGCCAGTGCAGCAAAAACAGCCAGGAGGATCGAATAGTCTCTTGTCAAGGTCATTGTCATCAGGAGATCCATCGGCAATAGAAAGGCTGGTGAATGCAAATAAAGCAAGAAGAATCCTGAAATTCATCTTTGAGGGGGTTGTTTGTAATGGAATATAATACTCAGGATAAGTAGTTTTGGTGAATAATAATCATCACGAAAGTTTTAGTTATTCGAGTAACGAGCTGGTTTTAAATAACACCACCCTGGGTCTAGAATATTCAACTGCAGAGTCGGCCCTCAGATGATCATTCAAGTCAGCAGTGAGCGATACCACGGTAGGAAACCTTGTATCATGGATACACCACCCACGAATACGAAAGCAGACTAAGCCCATTCTTGATATTGCCAACCGATGCTAAGTCTAAGGTTCTAGGCTGAGCGACGAATCTACTTAGTCTCAAAGTTTGACTGACATCTGGGACGATCCATAAGTCGAGCACCGCACTTCAAGACAGATCAATTGCTCAATTTAGGTTGTTTTTACGGCTCGCACGGTTTTGTCAGACCGAAAGATCCGAAAACAAGATGATATATACTAGGCCTCAGGCAAAATTGCAAGCGAATAGTTCTTATCCATCTCCAGACCTGGAGGGCTGTTGCCAGAAGACACAGAGAACTTGAAATTAGATGAAATAAAATAAAGTAATAGCGTATGAATAGTGAAAAGAGGGATAGCTATTACAGAGTCAGTTCCATGGGAAGTATGGTGTAGAGTGAAAGCCCGTCACGATCATGTTCGTGGTGAAGATCGAACGATCGATGTGGCTGGATGAGGGCCAGCCAATAAATGAACATAATAAAAACCAGGAATTGTCGGTCTGACAAGACTTGGGCTCGTTCTAGATCGGTGCCGGAGGAGACTCTTTCAACTAACCAAATACATGCGAGCCTTGGCCGAATTCTCAGTATCATCATAGATCGTTCGGTGTTTTTCTAGAGTGGTTAGCTTTCACTACTCAGCCAATTTAATCGTTTCATGATTGCATCTTTCTTGTCTTCATTTTATAGCCTTCCGTAAAGTCCGACTTGTCCACTGTGATTGCCACTGCTCCTCTGACAGATGCTGAGCCCACTCTCCTCTCATAAATTCTTACCTACTGTTTTGTGACTTCATTTTACACTTGGTGCTTCCTTTTGCATATCAAGTATTTCTCCTTATTTGCTACCCCATACAAAGCCATAATGTCTCTGGTGCTCTCAGACAATCCGGCTCCCCAGCCTCTCACTGATATATTCACCAACGACACCAATATTGTCCGTCGCAAGTGCCACCGCACAGTACCTATGAAAGTGCTTGCCCTCGGTGTCGGCCGTACTGGTACTGCCTGTGAGTACCCTAATTGAAAGTCCGGTCGAATTTCTGTCAAGGTCTGAATCAAAATACCATTAGCCCTTCGCAAGGCACTTGAGCAATTGGGATACGCCAAATGCTACCACATGCTGTGTGCCAGTGTCGAGAACCCACCCGATTGCCTGATGTGGCACGATGCTCTGAACGCTAAATACAAGGGCAAAGGTGAATTCGGCCGCAAGGAGTGGGATCAACTTCTAGGAGATTGTCAGGCCGTGTGCGACTGGCCCGCCTGTGCCTTCGCCAAGGAGCTTATAGAGGCGTATCCGGACGCCAAAGTCATCCTGAATATCCGAGACATCGATCAATGGCATACCTCAGTCACAAAAACAGTATATTGGCGTGTCAGCGATCCAGAACATAAGTTCCTGGCGAACTTCAGTTGGGCCGCGGGCATGTACTATCCCATGCTTAACAAATTCTTCGAAACTTTCTTCCGAGGTGACTTCCCCAACAAGGGCAAGCAAATTTACAAGGAACATGTTGCCGAGGTCCGCAGCCTAGTACCTCCTGAACGTCTTCTAGAGTACAGCATCAACGATGGCTGGGATCCCTTATGTAAATTCCTCGAGGAGGAAATCCCTCATGACTCCTTCCCCCATGGCAATGACGTCGCTGATTTCCGCAAGCGTTGCAACACCCGTAACTATCATCAGGCAATGAACGCTCTCCTACAGGCTATCACCATAAGTGGCTCACTGTTAGTCACTGGCTTGGCTGTCATTATGGCCTTCAAGCACTTCACTCGCCCAAGCCGCTAAATGTTAAGACGCATACATATTCTATCTTTGCATGTTTCATTATCATATTATTTAATCACCATATATTTAAATTAAATTTCAAAATTGACCTCAAGTTCCACATAAAGTGGAAAAATAGATATCCTGTTGGAACTGCTTAACTGAAGAAAGCCGCCATGATTCAGGATGTGAATGACCATTAGTTGGAATCAATAACCTGCAGACGCGGCTAAGTAAGGCGTTGCTTTCACAGATCGCTACTGAGCTACCAAGCTTGATCAGAGAGATCAAAGTTGAATCCGACCACTGCAGAACTCGCCCACGAAGGCTTGGTAAACTCCGGATTACCATCGACGAGCAGATGTCGTATCATTTGAATATAAGCCAATTACCGGAACTCATGAAAGCGGCTATTGTTTAACCATTAATGCATCAACACATCCAAACGTCAGCACATCAAATCAACATCACCACGTTCCCATAACTAATTACGACCAACAGATTGCTTGAACACACCCAGGAATGAGGTGAAATCGGAGCCAAGATCTCGTTTGACGAACGGTTAATTATGCACCGCAGAGTTGGAGCGGGTCGGGCTTGTCTAATATACTTACATTGACAGTGAGAAGGAAGCGTGCTCAACATATAGTGATAAACATGTACTGGGATTGAACTGACCACAATCCCGAAAAAGAGTTATATGGGGTCTTTGCACCCTGTGTACGTGGCCGCCCGCGTGTGTAATATTCAGTTCGCTTAAACCGAGGCTGCCACATTCACAAACCGCAAATTGGCCATCATGCCCATATTTCCTTTCGAGAGATTCATCACAGTAAAAGGCCACTCAGCTCGATGGAACCATGCGTCCCTCTGCCCCGCTTTCCGCTTGGCCGACTACAAGGCGCAGGACTCGACATTTATACCCGCCGCTCTCGCCCTGAACATCAACCCTGAAGCGTGGATTTAGGCTTTGGCTCACCATATGTGCAGTCACGGTCTCGGTCACTCAGAGGTCTTCACCTCCTGCAAAGGACTGAGATAAAACATTTAGCTTTTCTGCTTAATCCTCAATTGTTAGACGAGATGCGCAGACTGCAGGACCTTGAAAGGGACAGCTAAATAGCTGGGATGCGAACAGCATCCGTAAGAAGCTGATAGTAGCCTGGCGGAACTATCTACGACTAGCCTGTTTGCTTCGTACTTTTTGATCGTGCTGGGGAATTATATCTATGGTGTGGTCGTCAAGGTTTTGTGGACGATTCCGATATGGACCCCTGGGCCAACTACGACCCCGTCGATGATTCAACCATATTTTTACATCTTAGGCTACACAATTGGGCAGCGTGATCACTATAATATAATGCGGGGGTTTAATTAACACGCGAATAGGACAGACTAGCGCTGAGTCGATAAGGAGTTGAAGAGAAAGTGAGTCGAACATGAGATAAGAGTGAGTGTGAGCAGGATGAGGCGGGTGATGTAGGTCGCGACTGAATTAGCCAACAGATTCTCCGAAACATGAACAAAAACCACATTGCTCAGTGATTAAATAACGCTTCTTCGATTACGTATCGTTCTAAAAGAAGTAATGATTCCTGGCGCGGTCTGAGCAAAACGATTTGTTTGGAGCACGATCAACAAAGATGTCCCACAAGTCGTGCCCTTAAGTCTAATCGAGACCCCTACGTGCCATACCGATAAACCATTCATCATAGAAAAGAAAGAGCAGAATGGTAGAGGAAGCAGGTTCGCTTGAAAGCCACTGACTGGGAGAAAAAAACCGTGATCTCTCCTAGGGGGCGCACTGCCAGCTTTAGTTTTTCTTCTGTCCGAACCTCTCTTTAATAAATCTTCATATTTAAAGACCGAGAACCAAATATTGTTGTTTTGCCAGAATACAGCATCATTACTTAGAATAAGTTGACAAGTTGCTGGAAGAATCAGAATCAATAAACTTGGGCCAGGTATTTGTGAACACAAGGTTCTTGACAGACCTCTCGGCTTTGTCGAAAGCAGAGGCTGTGAAATCCAGAGGAACGATAACAGAATGTGGAAGACGGGGCTCGATATGCATAATGCTCTGGCTCTGTTGAGGATAGGCATCCAGACACAGAGCGTGGGTGTCTTCTTCCAAGGTTATTACAGTAGAAAACTTTTTTCTATGTGTAGGGACCATGTAAGATTCGGGGAGATTCCTGTAAGTGCGTATTCCAGCTCCCCCTGGCACAGATTGGCCGATTAGCTGGACAGCTTCACCAAAAATTTCCGTTAGATCCGAGTAAATCCGAGATTCAATGTTGATGGGAAATTTCGCGATGGTGAGATCGACGCAGGCTGCATATATCTCAACCGCGATCTTGAAGAAATGAAGTCGGTGGTGTAGAGGATCGCGGTTCCAATCATATACCGGCTTCGATTCATTGATCTCCACCCAGGCAGCCTTCCAGTCGCGCACATAATTCAGGAAGATGATATTCTCTCCGCTGAATTCCTTGGCCGCGGCAAATCGTAGAAGCGCGCTCGAGTCGTCTTCTAAGCACCTTTCCAGGGCTTTTCGGGAATACACTTCAGGCAGGCGGCTGACTTCACTTTGACTTCGCGGTGTTTCTGAATCCAATTCGTCCGCGTCATCTGCCTTCTTTTCATTCCATGCTTGGAGTTTCCCGAGGATACGATTCCTTTGCCTCCTGGAGACGACAAGCTCATAACACGGAAGGAAGATAGTCACAGCCTCCATTGTCATAATACCGGGAGCAAACCTGCGAGAGTTATTAATTTACTTGCTTGTATTTGATGGAGAGCTTTCATTACCAGAGAGCCGGCACCCAGTATCTGTTTATAGTTGCCCAGGTTTGGGTTGGCGAATACAGGGCGGTAAGCCACATGGGCGAACCAGGTAAACTGTAGATCTGTTAGTATCGGTGCTTGGTGGCGGAGATGTCGAGGAATGTGGTAAATTTCTCACGCAGCGATGACGCAGCAAGTGATCTGAAGCCGCCAGTGGTGTATGTCATAGATGTTGCGAATTTTCCACAGAACGTATGGCGAAAATATCCAAGACCAGAAGAATTGCCAGAGAATCGAAGGAATCCTTGAATTTTCATGGTCAGACAAAGTCGACCACATTATCATCCGGCAGGCAATCTTACCATTCAGGACCTCGCCGACATTCCTCAGAACTTACATGTTCAGAGAATGTGCCGAAGGTTTGAAATTTTCGAGAGGTGAGGAAAATAGAGAGCGACAGAAATAGCTAGAGACGAGAGATAAATAAGTATGGCAAATATCAACAGCAGTAAGGGCGTAGGATGCACTGACTTGAACCACCATCCCAGCCACAATACCCAATTCCGTTCGCTGGACGAGATTCAATTGTCTCCATTGAGACAGGTAGCGACGAGGAGATTTTGTACAGTCAATGAAGTGGGGTCTGTACGGCTGCTGCGCGGTGAGGAGCAGCTTCTCCTGGATGCCAAAGACGCTCAGGAGCTGTATGCTGTTTGCTTGGAAAAGAGCGATTCCCAGAGGCAGATAGATGCTCATGACCCAATATTCTGCAGCACAGGGGTACTTTTCACCCATCGAATATGCGACCATGCACAAAATCCAGTAGACATGTAGACATGACACCGCACCCAGGGAGAGAAGCAGGTTGCGAATGCGAATGCATTGCTCGTGGCGATTGACAATTAGAAAGGCGGAGCCGAGGAGCAGGGAAAACGTCCAAATGATGGCCACAGATGCATAGAATTTGGCTAAATTGTCGAAGGTAGGCGCGTCGCGGTTGTTTTCCCCAGGGCGAGTGGACGCCATTGTGGAGGGATTTTGAGACCAAAAAATGCCATCCAGAAGAAACTGGAGGCTTAATTTTATGGGTCTGGTTCAGTGAAGGAGTGACAGGGTTGACGAGACGAGGTCCAACGCTTGGTCGAACGTGAAAGGGTTAGCGGAGATATTAACGAGTCACGAGTATTATCCCCAGAACTCACCCCCCCCTCCCCCGCTCCCCCAATCAGTCGACGCAAAAGCGCCACAAAGAGAACAATTCAGTTAAATTTTGTCTTCCACAACGCCCAGGCACAAAAAAACCAAGGCTTTGTTCAAGGTTTCCACCTTCCTCAGCGTAAACTCTGTTGTCTGGCCAAGTGCCCAGGGGCGGCTGCCAGGGAAGGTTCGCTAGTGCTGGCGCGGGCGTCCTCCGTCCCGTCCGCCCCGTGTTAGTGTGTTTCATCAGGATTGCAAGACGCCAAGCAGGACTAGTCTAGAACTTCGTGGAGATATCGAGGGTGAAGCTTTGGAATTGGGGACTCCGCAACGCACTGCTGCCGCAATAATGGCCCATGACGCCCACCTACCTACGAGTTGTGTGTGTAGAAGTATTGACGAACCGAGTGCAACACTGTGAGTCCAACGGACAGGTTTATTCATCGTCCGTCAATTCCTCCCGTCTGTACGGAGTACTCCGCATGGCATGGTTATCGCGTATATTCGAACATCGCGTTGTAACACGCTATAGCGTCCCCCCAAGATCACTCCACGGATCCTGGGAAAGGGAAAACACGCCAGTGGGGTCACTTGTACGTATTGCCCAAGGTTTGATACACAGCAATGTCATCTGTCCCGATTGGTGGAATCGGATAAGCCAAGTCGGGTACGGATCCACGCGGGCCGTCAACTTTCCATAAAAAAGAAAAGTTTAGACGAACTAAAAAAATTTGGGAATAGTGGGACGCACTTGGGGAAGTCAGGGAAACAAGTGGGCAAATGGTGACCAATAAAATCAGATCACAAAGGTATGTCTCGCTCATCCCAAGTGCAGTTCCTTGCTGTCGCGGTGGCGCCCCTGGTGCTTTTGTATCGGGGCGTTGGAAATCGGCGGCACAGCAAGAATGTGGAAGCTCGTTGACAAGTGGTCTCAACAGTTGATTCTGGAAGGATCGTGTACTCGTAATTTCATTCTCTGACTCTAACTTTAAGAGTCGAAGATCGGTCCAAAGGCAGGAACTCCACTTTCCTTGAGCTCAAAAACTACCTTTCTCGTGAGCCGCGGGTTGCTGATCACACACACAGCCTCCGCATCAAATTCCCGTACGAGTTCTTGGACAATTGGGACCATATCCACTCTTCCACTGTTACCGGTATCAATGAGAAGAGGGTCGGCGTCCAGCTGGTGCACTAGGCTGAGAACGTCACGGCCGTACGTCCTGTTCGGATTCCGCGTCTGCCAGAGGACTCGCAGTTGCGGTCGATTCTTCTCGCTCAAAAACGAAAGACATGGCCCTATACCAGATCCCGTGGCAACCACCACCACCCTACGGAAAACCCGCATCACGTGGATAAAGCCGTACATAAGCACTCCGCGCTTCCACATATGCGTCGGTTGCTGATTGATACACCGCGTTGTCCAATCGCCTGCTCTGGATACTATGCAAGAAAAGCTCTTGCCATCGGGATCGGGGAAAGTTGCAAAGCTGTGCCAATCCTTGAGCGGATGCTTAGAGAGTGCTATTACTTTGCCGAATGCCGTAGATGTGTGATCGAGGTGGAGTCGGATAGCATGCGGTGAGAGATACTCGGGTTGGACCTTCACCCAGCGGAGAAGTAGCCAGGGATGGACGATGGACGCGATGATGACCAGAACGAACCAAAATGCTGGGAGCTCGATCAGGTATTGTCCAAGGGACACGCCTTGCGCATGTCGGGCTTGGTCTGACATGACCAGCAGGAGAGTCAGGAAAAGAGCCACCGCCAACCATGCGGAGAATCTATGTATGAGTTCGAAATAGTCGTGTCTTTTCGCCCGGAAGGTGGGGTGTGCAACCACAATTATGACGACGAGAACGACAAGCAAAACATAGGATAGGGCAATCACGGGGATAGAAATCGTCACTGAGTTTCGATTAACCCAATATTCCCATGATATAAGAGCCACGAGGCCGGTATACCATAAGAAGGCAGCCACACCGCATCCGCTGTGAACTCCACCATAGTGATATGCTTCTGCAGCCCTTTTGCGCAGCGCGAGAGGAGCTGACTGCGAGATGCGGCAGAAGCTGAGAAAGATGGCATTCACCACTAGCGGGTGTCGCGCAAGACCGCAGACTAGCAAATTGATGGCCGCTGCGTTGACGAATGCAAGGAGCTTCTCTCGACTCTCCACCATAATAATAATGAATGCGATCGCATTGGCGCAATAAACCAGCGAAAACAAACGGCGGTAGATGGTGAGAATGAGATATCGTATTGAGGCAATACTCAGTCGTGGGTCACGTTGAGCCTCGATATCCGCATTAGCAGAAAACCTCTTCCAATTCCAGGTGCTGTCTTTGCTAAAATATGTATCGACTGATGTTGCAAAACTCGGCTTGCTTGAATGTGCGAGGGGAGGTCTTTGGGGCGAAGACACCATCCTGTGTATCGTGTCGCAAATAAGGGCAGCGGAGATATGGAAAATGGATTTTATATAAAGGGTAAGGTGCAGGGACCAGCGAACTTAGAAATTAATAGCTCTAAAGAGAGCAGGAAGCTTTCTCATGGGTTCAATGGGAGGCCGACATGTTTGTCACCCAACAACCCTGGTTTATTGTGGTAAGATAACCACATTAGACGATGTGGAGATTTACGGGTCACCCTAGCCGCTTCGGTTTTGCCGCGCATGTGGTGGGATGAAGCCAGTCTCTGTCCAAAGTATTCCCACTAGATCCTTCGTTCGGGGATCGGCGGAACTCCGTCAAGTGAGAAATCGAGCCCCGAGTAGTTCAAGGACCATCTGTCCAATCGCAGAATATCCTAATGCACTAGCACTGAGGGGGCCAATTGAGACGGCTGAATGAAGAACTACTGTACGCATGAGACCACTGTGTTTAGAGCGTCTCCACTGGGGCTAGGTTTGCCATGTCATAACACGGGTGTTCCGAAGTGACCCGGTTTACCATACAGAGACATAATTATGAAGGAGTGTACGGACGCTGGATCAGCTGGATTGATCGCAGGGGGAGTGATATGTGCACATATTTTAAGAGACAGATATGCACATTTCACTCCCCTGATCGCAGTGAGACTCTTGTAACCCCGTACCCCCAAGCAAGGTGTTTGAACGACGCACCAGGTACCCCTAAACAACGCCACTGTACCATAAAGCAGAACTAGTCTTTTTGTATTCAAATTACCTGATTTCTATGGAAAAGTAGAACAGGGGAAGCGAAAGTCCCTTATATTGGTACTTTTGACCAAATCCAGCACCAAGATTACTCAGGGGTCTCTGATCTTTAGTGATTATTGACCGATTCAACGAGATGCTTTCAGATCATGAACTTCTAAAGCATGATATAAAACCGAGAGATCAGTATGTCTGTAGCATAATTAGCAGTATGGTATGGGCATCATTTAGCCTTTCCTCCTCATACCATGGCGATGACGATACCTTCGCACCATAGCCAAAACCTGCTGAGATCGCTTAGCTATACCACTGTGCCCTTCATCGCGCATTTAGCCTATTGCCCAGTATATTCCACTGTGTATCGGAAGTCAACCATCTGAATCTGATAAGCCTTACCTACGACCTTGGGCAGATAATAAGTTCAATTTTGGCGCAATATCGTCTGTAACCCAACCTGAATTGGAAATAATTGGATTTGGGGCCTCTGCTCAGGTCTACGGAGTTAATGACAACATAGCTCTCAAGACTGAGTCAGTTAAGAACGAGCAGAAAGCACTCGAGTTCATCGCGGAGTGAGGAGCGGCAGAATTCGAGACCGTGTAGCACGCCAACTTGAAGTCTTTCAAGATGGAGCGATAAAGAACGAGCAAAGATTACTACTAGTTCCTCAGTTCCTCTAATTTGAAGAGCAAGCAGTCAGATGGAGGCGCCTCTGGATCTAAGGGGAAAAGGAAGAAAAGCAAACGTGGTGGAAAGCTAGCAGGGAATTCAGGTTTTAGGAAACTATAATTAAACTATATTATTACTATTTCCTTAAACTGCTTGGATGGTATAGTTTTTGAGTTTTGAGGTACAACCCTGATTCCAAGGTTTATTACAAATAGTCTGTAGTAGGTTACTTATACGGATAAGGGTATTAACGTGCTACCCGCAACCCGCAATATAGTACAGATTGCGGAGGGGATTTCTACACTAACCGCGGGTATTTCATAGTCTACTTAGTAGGATATAATTCAGTGAAACTAATTCTTTAGCTAGAGATATAACCTTCAGGGAATGGGATCCTTATGTATAAAATAGGTTTAATACGCATTCTTTTCTTTTTAGGGCAATATCTCACTGGTCATTACCTTTTTGTCGATATTATTAATATCAACGAAGAGATAGTCACTTTGTCTAATCTTCATACTAATCTCTACTAAAATGGTGGCCAAGTGGGGGATCAATAGCAGGAGCAAGGTAAATATGGACTGGGGAGTAAGAGCAAAAACTCCCCATTGTCGCTTAAGCACATTAGAGTACCTCATCTATTCTTTCCCTGTCAACAATCACAATATGGCTTTTGCATGTCAGATTCAGCCCTTCGGGTAAAGGGCTGAAGGGGTGCCCGATAGGGCGGCGAGCCGCCTAGGACAAACTCATAGACGCTAGATGGCCCATCGACATACACAACATTTGTTGTATCTTTTATTTTTGCATTCTGTTCTTTTTTGTCATTTTTGTTTCTGATCGACAGATTTCAAGTCAAATTCGGATATACTGCGCCCTTATTCAGTGTTTCATCCGGATATCCATCCTCAGGGTAGTTAAAGCATTCGGACTCAGTCGTTGACAAGCGCCGAGGCTTACCAGAAAGCTTCACCGTGACAACATGTGGAGTGGTAACGAATGTCATTCCATGCTAAGCTTCGGGATTACTTGACCGGCGAATAATTACTCGGTCTATGACGTCCAAATTACTGAAAACGCTCGGCGTTTAGAGATGTGGAGCCCAGAACCACCTAAGTTGCTTGTAATATTTGTGAATTTATCCTAACAAGCATATATAGACCTAGATACCCGGCTGAACGCAAAAAGCCCCTCGATATGAAATCCACTAGAACAACTCTACCTTAAAACCATGGCATCAGATTCTAGTCCAGGCGTGGAGACTATCAACACCCCCGGCCCGGGCACTCACTATCTCCGCTCGGAACTCAAAGACTTGAACATCATCGGAGTCGAGGAACATGTTGTTTTCCCTCACTTGACAGCCCGAATCCCCGACACGGGCCTGGCGGAGCATGCGAAACACATCTTCAGCCAACTTGTCGGCCACGAGGCCATGCAGTATGCGCGTGGTCGTTCCACCGAAACCGGAGCCCAGCGACTTCAGGACATGAACGAAGGCGGGATAGCAATGCAGATACTCAGCCTAGCTGGGACCGTCAATTGCATGCAAATGGAGCCGGAACCTGGACTTTCTCTGGCGCAGGACATAAATAACGAGTTGAAAAAGGCCTCCGATGCAAACCCCGACCGATTCAAAGCTCTTGCAGATCTACCTTTTCATGCGCCAAAGTTCGCAATTGATGAGCTTCCCCGCTGCGTGCAACATTTAGGCTTTGTTGGAGCCATTATGGCTGGCTCGGTCGGTTGCACTGGCAAGTTCCTCGACGATCCTGAATTCGACGATCTTTTATCGGAATTCGAAACACTCGACGTGCCTCTTTATCTTCATCCTGGAATTGCCCCACCTGCGGTCATTGATAATACACGTTCCCGGAAAGCCCAAATTATCAGCGACGTTGGCGGGGATGGGGTGGGGCTGGCATAATGAAGTTGCTATCCACGTTCTCCGGCTCGCTGTATCTGGGACTTTGGACCGACATCCCAAGCTGAAGGTCGTGGTCGGGCATCAGGGTGAGATGTTGCCGATGATGATACAACGTTTTGACGTCATGTTCGATGAGAATATTTTCTCATTAAAGAGGAGCGTTGGGGGGGGGGCTTTGCGCAGTCAAGTTTGGGGAACGATTTCCGGACTATTTTCGTTGCCGCCTACCCAGATCGCGATTCAAACCTGGGGAGTTGATCGAATCCTCTTTGCCAATGATTATCCTTACATTAATTCTCAGAGAGTTCCGGAATCCATTCGAGCGTTGGGGGATATGGTTGGGCCCTCGGACATTCGTAAGATCTGCCAGACAAATGCTGAAGAGCTATTCAAGTTTCGGGCATAAGGTGGAATGCAAGACAATTCATGCTTTCTTTTCTAATTTTTGCATCATTTATCTCGTCATGTAAAATATTCAACTTAAATAAAGTAACTAAAATACAGTGATTAATCAACGTTATTGCGATCTCTTGAAGCTTGGACATCTGATAAAGGCTTGATAGTCACTCAGCGAAGATCGTCTGTGAAATGTTGCATCAGTACAAAATATTATCTAGATGGATTTCTTCTATTTTGAGTAAATATTTTAGTGTTGGACATACTAGCAAATATTATTGCAAAGAAATAATGCCGTTTTATTTGATGCACAATCCCCACGTTCATTCGTTGTAAGTTGTACGGGTCGGATTTGGTATTGCCATATTTCCGGTTAACTCGGATGGGCCGAGTGGATTCAAATACACCGAACATTTTAGGAAGTCGGTACAGTAAATGTCCGATTTGCCCGACAGTCCCCGGAGGGACCAATAATGTTGGAGATTTGTTATATTGGTAGCCCTACCCCAAAAGCCACACCAAAGAACCACATTTACGTTCATCAACAAGAAAATGACTTCCACCATGGAAAAGCTTGCCACAGAGCAACAAATCAAGTCGCTTCTCATCCGTGAGCGATACTATCGCGACACCTGCCAGTGGGAGAAATTGCGTGGCAGTTATCACCCAGACGCTTCCCAGACACATATTGAAATCTCATGGTGAGAGTCTAATGACCATTTCCAAGCCACGTATGTGCCTAATACGCAACAGGTTCCAAGGCGATATTGATGGATTTGTGGCCGGCTCGGAGGGTATGACGACAGGTGGAACGGGTGCAATTCATACGATCTGTCCCGTGGAAGTACATGTAAATGGAAACAAGGCTATGTCGGAGTCAACAGGGTCCATATCCATTCGGTTCAGCTTCAACGGGGTGGAGTATGACTGTGTGTCCTTGACTCGCTTTATCTCCCGTTTGGAATATGTTGATTCGGAGTGGAAGTTGTTGACTCTGGAGGCAATTTATGATCGAGACTATATCACCCCAACGGTTCCAGTCTCAGCCCCTGTGGAAATTCCTTTGCTGAAAGAGGGCAGAGCCAGTTATAAGTGTATTTCATGGCTTCTCTCGCAGAAGGGCTTCAAGATCAAACAGGATCTCCCCGGTGTTGATGATCCTGCTAGTTGTAACAAATTGATGGAGGAAAGCCTGAATTATTTGCACTGAGCTAAGTATGCATGATATTCATAGCAGAAAATTAAGTCAACATATTTCCAAGGTTTCAGACTAACTTGAAATTTTGGGATTTTCCCGTAGCACACCCTATTCCGCCCTATTCAAATACGAGAAAGGCCTACAGCTTAGAAAGTAACGTTTCCAATAGACATTATACAAGTTACTGGCTGAATTTACAGTTGTGAAAGGGTCGCTCATGGAAGCGAAGTTTGAGGCCGGCTGGTTATTCCCATGGTACGGCCCGCTCAAATCGTTTCGACCTGCGGTGCCTATGTGACTCATCTTACGTTTCACTGAAGTCATCTACACAATCCGCGATATATCGACCCTGTTTCTAAAGATGGGCAAATTCCCGAGCCATGATGACTCGGAAAATGCACCGAGTCAAAACCTAACATGTTCTCGCGAGTCTACCGAGGATATTATGATGTCTACAGACTACTTCGAAAGAGAACACGTCTTCTTGTACGGGACATTAATGGACCCCGAGACACTTTATCGTGTCTTAGAATTATCGAATCGACCTCCTGTTTTGCGACATGCTAGAGTTGTCAGATATGAAACTAAACTTTGGGGTCCAAACTCTGCCCTTGTTAATGGAAAACCGCTTGTTCCAGTCTATGGCATGATGTGTGGAATCAGATCGCGAATCCACTTTGATCGACTCATCGCCTATGAGACAGATCAATACCAGCTTCGACCTTGCCAAATCGAACTCTTTAACGACAATGATCATGTGAAGAAAAACGTGGATGGTGTCACTTTCATATGGAATGGAGAACAAGATGAACTACGGGAAGGGAAATTTGACTTGAAACAATGGAAAAGGGAGAAAATTCTACGAGATATAGAGATGAAATCGGAATGACGACAAAAGTTTTCATTGAGCCTTCCAGCTTATGGTGAATCTCTCCGCAAATTTGGAAGCAGTTGGCAGATCGTCGTAAACTTTCTTTCTCGCGTGAAATCTAATCGGGATCTATCTGGATCTACAGCAGATCAACAAGCTAGTAGCATGGAAGAAGTCAAAACGACAACGCGCGCTATCCCAAATAAATACCCGATTGATGGAAGGTCTAGCAGCAAAGAAAAGTCAAACCTCGAAGGGTGACGTGCATCGTCAAATTCCTTGTTGTACTGGCGCCGTTACTTCCCCGCCTGAGCATCTGATCCGGCCCAGCTCCGAGGTCCGCTATTTTCTGACGGGTCTAGACGTCGTCAGCAACAGTCCAATCGGCCTTACCCAAGATCAGATGCCCGAATACCACTGGACAATGGTTTCGTCGAAGCGAGCTGCACCAAGGAAACCGGGCAGCGTTGGAGATCGACGGCCAAGAGGGGTCAAGCATTGAATATATGCTGCTGACCCCAGAGTTTACCCACTGGCACCAGAATAGTCTGTCCACTGCCAATTTTTCTATCTCGAGACTCAGAATATACTACGTCTTCCAATTTGAAGGTAGTATCCGCTACAATGAAACTCACGACAGCGCTTCTCTGCCTCGCAGCAACGGCCTGGGGCGCTGAACCCCAAAGACGAGATGCCACAACGGAAAACGGCTACAATGTTGCTTCTTTATCGAGCCAACTGTGAGACCTCAAATTCATCCACTACATGAAACTAATGAAGTTTTGCTTATTGCCTTTCCTTCCAGCGAGCACCTCACCGCAAACGCAACCAGCGGCGCAAATTTCGCCAACATCTCCCCGCCTCCCAAATCGCTCATCGGCGAGATCATCTCAGCTGTCCCGATGACAGTCTTGTGGGAATTAATCGATCAAGAATCCCGCCGTTCGCTGGCTAGTGAGTTCAGCGCCGGTACGACCCCAGCTTGGTACAGCAGTCTGCCTTCCGACGTGAAGAGTTACATGTCCGTCGTGCGATCGCAAGTCAAGGCGGGGGTTCTTACACAGACGCCCACTCCTACGGCCACGGGGACAGCGACAGGCTCGCAGACCGGGACGGGTATGGCGACGGCGACGGCGACGGGATCGAGTTCGACTTCGAGTGGATTGGCGGCGCAGCCTACTGCAATCACGGCGGTGGTCGGGGCGCTGGGTGTTCTCGGCTTGGCCCTAGCACTGTAGCTACAAAGTAGTGCGATGCAGTGCAGTGCAGTAGCGCGGTGGGGCCAGCACGAATTCACATTTGAGGCTTTTGGTTCTCAGTTTTCCTGCTTGAGAAAGTACTCTTTACCACAGACTTGATTTCCGGGCAGTTTTAGTTTCAGTTTCAGTTTTAGTGCAGCTGGAAAATGAGATAGTGATGATGATAGTTGCAAATAGACGATGCGATGAGACATGACATCAAGACTTGGATACTCCGTAGCTATGCCTCCCGAGGTCTCCCAACTTCAAAAAATGCCCTGAAGCGTGGTTCATGTTCATGTTCCTGTTCCACGGGCCCTGCATTTGTGGCGCTCCACTTCCCCTCATTTTTCAGCCTCGGTTTGAGTCTACTCGAAGTTGTACGAAATACGGCCCCGGATTCTGCTCGACGGAGTGTACTCATTCACCGAATCTCATGCCATTCAATTCCTTTGACAACCGAATAGATTAAATGCGGGATCTATCATCTTGATCGTGATAGTATCAGGAATTCTCAGCTCCACCCTAATACAACCATTGACCAAATCTGCACTCACTACGAAGATCGCTACTCAAGACGACCCGAGCTCCGGTGTCACATGGGGCTGGTCGGTCCGAGGGGATCCCTCATGAACCACTCAGGACGCCCAACGCCACTGACTTTCCCCACTTCATCATTGAAAGTGGCCCTGGAGAGCCGATCTTGTCCCCTTTCGACGCTATCTGGGGTGAGACCGTGGGATGCGGGGATCGGCTCTCGCCTTCCAGGAATTTTCTCTCCGCCGGGATTAGGTAGGTCATAGAGAGAGACATCACATACTCCGTACCGTATTCTCGCCTCGTCTCTCCTCTCCTCTCCTCCTAATCTCACTCTCACATGGAAGAGCTCATCACGGAAACTTACCTTACTAGCAATGATCGACCTCGGCGAGACATTGGGTTTCCGCGATCGTGCATCGCCCACGCCAATCCTGTGATGCGGCCCATCGCATTGGGCGGAGCCTCGGGGCTTTTTTTCGATTTTTGAGCCTGTCAATGGGTGGATTCCGCCATTTCGGTTGGCTCTTTGCTGGATCGCTAACGTCTCACGGATCTGATCTCGCCCCGAGCGTTGGCGTTGTAGTAGCTGGAGGTTCCAAGGTCTAGATGCCGCGGGGTGGCTTGTCTTAGTTCAAAGTCTTCCCTCGTGTAGTGCTTCTGATGCTCCAACTCGCTTATATGGGCGGGGGGGAAGGGCAGAGTGCAGTAGCTAGTAGGCTTGCTTCTTTTTTTATTTTTATTTTTGTATATCATCAAATCCATTCTCTTCTCTTCTTCCTGTCCTCGCTGTGCAAGTGCAACTTTGTCATCACCCTTCACCATGCGTCTCACCACTTTCCTCCTCCCTCTCGCCGCTGCTCCACTGGCCATCGGAGCTCCAGAGCCCAATCCTGTTGCTCCTCGCGCACCCGCCTCCACCGGCGGTCTTCTCTCGGAGTTGCCAGGCATTCTAGATGGTGTGCAAGATTTGCTGAGCAAGGATACCATCAACAACCTCGAGATCATCGTTAGCGGTGCTGCCAAGCTGCTTGCATCCGACAATATCGATGTCCTGCAGGATATTCTGACCAACGCCCACGCCCTTCTCACAAAGGAGTTTGTGGATAACACAACGACTTTGATCGGCGATGCTACTCCGGTGGGTGCCCATCTACGTAATGCTGATCATTATGTCCGGAGTCCGTACTGACGAATGTTTTTTTTTCTTTTCTAGCTTGTGGAGGATGTGTCGAAACTGCTGGGTGGAGTGCTGGGAACACTATAGAGCATGAGATGAATTTTCTACTACTAGTAGCCTAGTACCTATCATGATGGCAAACGAATTCAACGAGGGATAAATATATGCAATTTCCTTATAACAAAAGAAAACCCTCATCCACGTGTCAAGGCACAGAGCGTATCTCATAGCATAGCATGGGTATATACAAAAAAACATTATAGTAGATCGACCGCAACAAGAAGTATCTTAAATCACCCTTCCCTCTCCTCAAACAACATTCAACTTATCGCGCAGCTTATCCTGATAATACCGCAGCGGATATCCACGCCATTTATTCGGCATAGCCGGGTAAACAGCGACAGAGAACCCCATCCAAGTCCGGTAGAGGGTACGAGTGCTGGCGGTAGACTTAAGACCATAAGAATCTCGCAGATTGGGCGGGAGCATCTCGATAGTGACGGCGCGAAGGAACGGCTTCATATTCTGCACCCACTTAGGCATATCGGTAGACTCGCGCAGGTCCTTCGCAAATTGCGCGGCATCAGTGGAGACAGTCAACTTGCCAACTTGATCATCCCAATACGACCAGAAAGTCTGGCGAGTCTCGGGCCAAGTGCCCGCAGGCACGCCCATGCAGTTCATCAGCAGGCCAAACTCGCTATAGGCTCGCTGGGCAGTCTGGTAGTCGACTCTGCCGTAGACGCGCTGGTAGAAATCGGTCGCGGTGGCGTAGAGGGTTGCTGCCATCCATTTCTGCAGTGCTGGGTGGTGGGCGAAGCGGTTGTTGCGACCGCCACCGAGACCGGGGGCTTCTTCGCGTTGGAGCATGTCCAGGAGTGTTTTGCGCTCATCGCGCGTGCCGAAGACAAAGGTGGAGATGTAGCCCAGATGGGCTTGTAGAGCGTCGAGGAGCTCCGTGGCGAGTGTTTTCGAGTTGCTGTTGTCGATTTCAACTTCGCGGATGGCGGGTAGTGCTGCTTGGAGTAGCAGAGCAGCGCCAGATCCGGCAAAGAGGATGCCCTCTTGGAGCATTTGAGGGAGAATTTCTAGCTGCTCTAGGGCATGCAGACGACCAGAGCCGCTAGCGACGGGGACATCGTGGTCGTGGGAGACATCGGGCTTTTCATCCAAGGGGGATGGGGGAGAGGAAGTGGACGACATAGTGGATGAGATAGATGGGATGGGAAGAAGAACAAGTGAGGATGAAATGATCAAAATAGCCAAATCCAGAGAATCCTCAAAGAGACACCAACCCTTCAGTCCGGGGAAGAAAAGCTTGGGATTAAATCCAGACTGAAGGTTGTCCCCCCGCAAATCCACTGTGCATCATCCACCTTTCCTCCACTTCCAACAACCAAAAAACTCTCTCGGATTTGTGACCTACATGGATCACCGACCCATGTGAACCGCCCCTATTTCATCGCATGTCAGCCGCGGTTCGTAGGAGATCGCCATCTCCTGCGCTGATCCTTGCTCTGCTCGTGCGCCACCAGCTCCAGTCCAGCTCGTGGATCTTGGCCAAGAAGAGCAACGTTGCTCCGAACGAACCCCACTGTCCCACTCCGCCCAGGGGCTTTTATTTTTTTTTTGGTTCTCTTTCCCCGATATTTCGGCTGGAGCTCGTCATGGAATATCCTATCCTATCCTCTGTGGATGTGGGCTTATTTCGCTTGCCCGATCATTCGGTAGCAGTTGCAAGCGAGAACCAAATGGCCACATCCTCCCCGGACTGATAATTTCCCCCGGATGCAAAAGACTTGACCCCATCCTCCCCCGAGAAAATACTAATATAGTCGCGGGAGGTCCCGGTCCCCATCCTCTCTTGTCTTGGTCTTCCTTTCCCCGTTGCGTGGTCGCGTTTACTTCGTACACCCCTTCTCTCCTCCCCCGTCTTCCCTCCTCAATTCCATCATGGGCAAGACTGAAGATGATCGGCCAGCTTATTTGAGCGCCGATGACGCCAAATATTCCCTCGGTGTTCATCGAGGACCCTTGCCCCCCGCAGGTCTGGATGATACCGCCAAACTTGAGCAGGTCGAGTCCGCTGGTGGCTTGTCGCTGGCCACCACACGCACGCGCAAAGAGCGTCTGTCACGCCATTGGAAGCGATTCTGGTGCTGTTATCTTATTGGAAATGTGATCTTCCTCGCCATTTTCCTGCCAGTCTTGTAAGTTATACTCCAAGTTATATAAGCGGGTCTATGAGGTGGTTCTACCATATTAGACGCGTCAATTGCGCTTTCTACTCTTCGTGATCACAATCACTGACCATCCCAGCTTCCTCGTCGCGATCCCCGCCATCTCTCAACTTGTCGTCAACAAGTCCGACCTCGTGCTGGTCAAGGCGTCCGTCTTGAACCCACAGCCGGATTCGATCCAGTTGACTCTGCAATCGGCGCTGAATTTGAAAATCGCCTTGCCGGTTCGCATTGATCCTATTACCTTGGATCTTTTCGTGCGCGACGACGGCGCCGATAAGCCATGGGCCAATGTCACTATTCCAAGCATGACTGTCAAGGGCAACACCACCTTGGGCGTGGAGGATGTGTACCGTCCGCTCATCAACCAGGATACTTGGGTGGACTACGTTCACTCTGTTGTGTTTAACAAGGAATCGACCCTGTCTCTAAAGGGCACGACCAATTCCTATCTGGGAGTGTTGAAGTCGAAAGTCACCATGGACAAGGACGTGACTTCGCCGAGTAAGCCTATACAGACACCGCTTACTCAACTTTAATTGGCCAATCCACTAACCTCATTTGCATAGCCCTTGATTCATTCAAAGAGTTCGCACTTACTGACAGCCAGCTGATTATCCCAGCCGAAGCCGATGGCACTAACCTAAAAGGAAGCGCCTCGCTTCCCAACCCATCAGTGCTGACCCTCGACATCGGCACCCTGGTCCTAGACATCTACAGCGATGACCTCCTCCTTGGCAACGCCACCCTAGAAGACGTCACCCTGCGCCCAGGAGCCAACAAATTCCCCGTCAGAGCCCAACTCGACCTAACAACCGCCATCACCCACCTGAAAGAGCTACTAGCGGACCAAGGCGCATCCCTTTTGTCAAACGGAAGTCTCTCCCTAAAGACCGTCACGCGCACAGTAACCTGGAAAGGCACCCGAGTCCCCTACTACACGAAAGTGATGTCCGAACTCCCGCTCATGGCGAACGTGCCTCTCCTCGATACGTTGAAAAACACCATCCATGGCCTAACCGGCAGCAACGGCAAACTGAACCTGACCGGAATTTTGAATGCCAATTCTAGCAGTGGTACTGGCTTGCTATCGTCCTTGAAAGAAGAGTTCGAGGATAATAAGAAGGAGAAGCGCGATCTTTTGGCAGAGGCGTTGAAGGAGAATCTTCACGTTCGTAATCTGTTCGGCGATGAACATCCCGTTAAGCGGGATTTAATGATCGATACAATGGCCGGATTGTATATGAAGGCGTAGGCGAATGCGATGCGATGCGATGTGATGCTAACGCCAACGGAACGGTCGTACCCCTTACTTTAATACCGGGACGTACATGACGCCGACACGACACTATTGTGATTGCGACACTTGATTCTGATTCTGATTTTGATTTTCGATTCCCCGGGTGGTGGTTCTTTTGTTTGTTTGTTTTGAAACTTCCTTCTTCTTCACGGATGATGGACATGGAGTTACGGATTTCTTTTTTTCTTGTATATTTGTTCATACAGGGCCTGGCCTGGCATCGCCTCGCCAAACTGACTCGACGGATAGAACCTAGACCACGACTTCGCTGTCGTGTAGATTAAAGGTTGGGTCGGTTTACTAGAAACTATATCTAGAATAATACATAAACTTTACGATAGAAATGATTCTTGCGCGGGTCTGAAATTCTTCTACTAGAGTAGTAGTACATTTAGATTTACCCAGAAGAACTAGTAGTAGAAAACCCCGCCGGGGCCGTTGATCAAATTCAAGTTCGATTTAAGCTTAAGCTCAAAGGACGGCACTAGTGTCCGAGTCTGTTTCATCTTATGCAGGGGCTTGCTCACTCTCGCTCCACTGTCGTGCCCGGACCAGGGTCAACCGTTGTGATACCTCATATGGGCATTGTATGGCCGGATGGCTACTGACGGCTCTTTCGGTTTCAGTTGCGCCGGGTTTAGTTTGCTCTGGTTGGTATTGAAATTGTTTGAGCTACTAGCCCTTACTCGAAGTATTACTAGTACACCCCTGTACGGTATATGTATATCATATTCAAATACGCCGGGCGGCTCGTCACTCCGATGGTCGCCCGAATTGAAACTTGAGTGCCCAGGTGAAATTCGGAGATTCTATCCGATTAGACTGCAGTCCAATCGTTGATGCGACGAATTCAGAGGCAAGTATGCGCCAAGAATGGACTTTTTTCACGCTTGACATGGCGACTTCTGATTTGCCAATTCCTTCAAGGCTATACTACTATATGCATACCTATGTAAAGTACAGAGATGGGGAAAAAATTACTAGTACTTCTAAAAGGAAGATATTTTTGGAGTATGTAGTATGTATTGATTTGAGGAGTTATAGTTAGGCTAGATGTAGCCAGGTGGTTGTGTAGGTTTATAGGTTACCAGTATTACTATGCAATGCACGTTCTACGCTCATCGCAGCCAATATCCACGACCAATAGCCTGGTAAAGAGGTCTTGCCTCACGTATAAGCGAGCCACTAGAAGAAGGCCCAGGGGCAGGGATATCGACTGGAAAGATGTCGCCCACAACCGGCGTCTTCAACGAGCGCAGGGTAGGAAGGTTAGGAAATCGGATCTTAGGATCAAAACTGATCAGAATCAAAGCCTGGTTACCAAGTGGTAGACCCGGAGAAGAGATTGAATATAGAAGAGAGCGCTCATCGGAAATAGCATGTACGGTTCCAGCGCGTGTGTCGGGGCAAAGAAGGTGGGTGAGTTCACTCGGTGAATCCTCCGCTGGCCAAAGGTGGACGCCACGACAGGAAAATTGTTCCTCTGACCCCTCGACTGGTCGGCCGTCTGCTTCGGTCTGGGTGTGCTTGAATAAGAGGCCGGTTCCTTCTTCGTCGACGGGACACTTTCGTTTGCGTGAGACTGTTCGTAGTCGAATCCGATCGCGGGATCGAAGTCCGTCTGCCTCCGGGGCGGGATCGTTGACCAGATCTATGAATGTTGCCGCGGAGAGGTGATAACTGCGGTACTTGGTGCGCGCGGCGATAAATTCTTGTCGGTTGTTTTGGTCATGCGTGTGCTCGTATTCGGCGTGGTAGTTGCGGCGCAGCCGCTTTTCAGGTCGCTGGTCAAAGGTTTGGCCATGCGTATCGTGATCTGAGATATCTTTGAGATTGTCATTCTCGTTCTCGTTCTCGTCTTCGTCTTCATCTTCGTTATCATTCACCCATGGTGAACGTCTCAATTCTGCCTCAGCTGCCTCTTCCGGCGTGGGGAGAGGTTGGATATAGGTTGTCCGGTGATTCTCGCTCTTGCCGTGACGCCATTCCCGGCGACATTCGATAATGACTGGATTGCCGGTCTCCTCATGGGTGCGGATAGACAAGTCTGTCCACATCTCGTTGATAGGACCCTCACGGTGTTCACGGCGCCATACACGATCATTCCACTTCTGACCCTTTTGTCGGGGAGCGTGACAGAACCAATGGTAGAAAGAAGAGAAGCGCTCATCATCATTTGACGCGACTTGTGTCGAGACGGCGTATAGGTGCTCCTTGTACATCTCGAAGCACAACGTCTGGCCTAGATCGCCATCGACTACACGGTCCAATGGGAATTCAATTGTCTCCTGTGTAGCAAAATCCACACCACAGACCGACCAGACGCCATCAGAGTTAGCGGCAGAGGCGGTAAAACAGCCATACCACATATACGAGCGACTATTTCGCACGAAGATGGGCACATTGGACGGCACAACCGCCTGGAGAAGTAAGCGTCTCCGCCTGGAAAGACCGGGACGGCTTTCCATGTCAATGGCTAGTAAGCCATCTCCTAAAGCATCATCATTAATCACACGTAAGACGACGATACCGTCATGATAGTGGATAAGTTTGACCCGCTCGGCGGCATCTCTGTCCATCGGGCTGGATTCCAAGCGACGAAGGACATCGTGGAGATTAAGGACACGTTCACGCTGGGCGACACGATGGACGTCCAGGAGGCGAATTTCCTGCCCGACCCGATAACAAAGCACGCCCTGTTGATAAAGAAAATCGGAGCCATAGGCCAAGACAGAAACGGAGTAAGGGGTGGCCGTGGCGACCGCCTCGTTGATGTCAAAGCGATGGGAGACAGCCTTACGATAACCAGCCTGGGCCTGCAAGGCTATGGAGCCTTCCTTGCTATGTCGTAGGACATTCTGCCGATCATAGTTAGCTTTTGGCCAAGCCATGCCTCGTTTTGGCCCCCTTTCGGTGGAAGGAAAGGTAACGAGGGGAGAGGGTGAGGCTTAGCCCGGTTGGCTTACCTCGACGGTTTTCCTCGCGATGAGCTCGCTTTGCATGGAATCATGGATGATACGATTGGTACGGCTGAGATGAATACAATCACGGTCGTCCAGCGAGGTTGCGATTTGGTAGAATACATCGAAAGGGAGGTTATCCAGCCGCGGTGGCGGCATGGTGGGAGAGAGGGGGGGCGCAGTATTAACAGCGCATAATGGGGGGAGGCGGTGCAAGTATCACGGAGAGGAAGGGTAGAGGAGAGGGAATAGAATAGAATAATATGGAAGGGTGGGATTGAAGAGTAGAAAGAAGGAGTGGAGGGTGACTTTAACTGGGGGAGAAGAAGGGGAGGTGTAGAAGAGCCGCACACCGTAAGAACGGAGTAGTCTTCCCTTTCCTCTTGAGCCTCACGCCCTTCCCACTTCCCACTTCCCACTTTTACACTTTACACACACAGCCCCCCCTTGCCATCACTGCACTGCGTACACGATGTCCCTATTATCGGAAGTCACGCCATCTATGCTATCAGTGGATCCCCTCGTATACTCCAGAAGGCTAAAATGAGGCTCTTTTGCATCTGTTGGGCCCCCTCCAGTGCTTCCTTGAAGCCTGACTGGACTGGCTATAGCATCCATCCCCCGGCTGACCGTCGCTTTGACATTTCGAATTCGATCGGCGCAAAAATTCGGATTCCACAGATCTGAAATCTCACCTATCAAAAAATCACTCAACTCGAAACTGTTGAGCCGCATCGGTGACCGTGACTGTGAGGGTGACGCTTACACTAGGGATACTCCTAGTGTAGCGTCACCCTGTTTCGGAGTACGTTGAGGCTCTGCCCCCGCCGATCGCCGCTGCAGAACCTGAAGAACCTGAAGAGTCTCTCATTCCTGATTTATCATTATCAGATGCATCATGGTTAATCATTGCCTCATCCCGTTTCCCTTCTTCCTCGTTCTCTTCCCCGATCTCGGCCCCCCCGCATATGGTCTCGGCTGACGTGGTACACACTCACACTGACACACTCTCACACAATGACTGACTCGAGTTGCCCCTCAGACAAGACAAGACTAACCCGAATGGAGTTCCCTAACTGAAACCTAACTGTTTCCAGTCTACTCCGACTCCGCTCTCGTTAACAGTGTTGCCTGCAGCCCTACGGGATCCTCGGCGCATTTCCACGGTTCGCCTTCAGGGCGTCGCGGCTTTCCAGATTACCACACTTGGCTTTATTGACATTGTCATTGGAATTAGCTTGCTCGTTGCAATACCACTCTCTTTCTCTCTTTCTTTTCTCCCCTTCTCTCCTATCATATCCTCCAAACTCCCCCGGTCTACCGCCCACAACACTGGACGCCTCCCCCTTCAAAAACCGATCTGCACTGACCCACCTCAGCCAGCCCCCCCAGGCTTCGAGAAAATTCATTTTCTTCCTCGATTCTTCTATCACGAAAGAACTTCACATCTTTAAGACAATTACTTCCATCCTAGGATCTCTCTCATGTGGTATCAAGGGCAAGGACCGCCTCCCCCAGGCCCTCCGCCGCCTTGGGGTTATCAACAGCCTCCTCCTTCGCAATGGTCCCCGCATCCCCCGCCTCAGCCCTACGGTGGTGGTGGTCCGTACCAAGGACATCAGCGTCCTCATTCTTACTCTAACCCGCCTCCCCCTGCCCCAGGGGCCTATCCTCCAGGGCCATACGCTCATCACACCCCGTCCCCTCAGCCCTATGGACACAGTCCCTCACCACAGCCCCCTCAGCCTTATGGTCACGCTCCCTCACCGCAGCCTCCTCGGCCCTATGGACACCAATCCTATCCATCACAGCCTCATCTTGCTGTACACCAACCTGGTAGAGACCACTCCCTTTGTTCATCTCCCCCGCCTGGAAGAACTCTCGTCTGATTAGCTACTCCCAGGTGCGCCCCGCGCGAACTCGCCGAATTTGCCGCCTCCGCCGCCGCAGACCCTGCAGCATTTCGGTCACGGGGCACCATCCAACTACCAGTTCCAGTACTCCGCATGTACCGGTCGTCGCCGGGCGCTACTGATCGGCATTAACTACTTCGGGCAGCCAAACGCGCTCAAGGGCTGCATCAACGATGTCAGCAACATGTCGACGTTCCTGCACCAGCGCTTTGGCTACCGCCGAGAAGATATGGTCATCCTCACCGACGACCAGAAGAATCCGATGAGTCTCCCGACCAAGGCAAACATCCTGCGGGCCATGCAGTGGCTCGTTCGCGACGCCCAGCCCCACGACTCTCTCTTCATTCACTTCTCCGGCCACGGTGGCCGCACTCCCGACTTGGATGGCGACGAGGACGATGGCTTCGATGACGTGATCTACCCACTTGACTACCGTACCACGGGGCACATTGTTGACGATGATATGCACGCCATCATGGTGCGACCGCTGCGTCCAGGTGTGCGTCTCACGGCGATCTTCGACTCATGCCATTCCGGTACGGCTCTGGACCTGCCATATGTTTATTCGACCCAGGGTATCCTGAAGGAGCCCAACCTGGCCAAGGAAGCTGCCCAGGATCTATTCAGCGTCATCGGCTCATATGGACAAGGTGATCTATCCAGTGTTGCGTCCACAGCGATCAACTTCTTCAAAAAGGCGGCGAATGGAGGACAGGCGCGCGAACGTACACTTCAAACCAAGACTTCACCCGCCGACGTAGTGATGTTTTCCGGGTCCAAGGATACGCAGACTTCGTAAGTAATCCTGTTGACTAAAGATATATTTAGTGCATTGTACATTGTACATGATGTACTGTACATCATGTACGTGCCAGTGGCTGAGTCAGAGTGACTGACCAATGACAGGGCGGATACCTTCCAAGACGGCCAGGCGCGAGGCGCCTTGAGCTGGGCATTCATTAAATCGCTAAAGCAGTTGCCGCAGCAGAATTATTTGCAGCTGCTTAATACGATCCGGGCGGAGCTAGAGGGCAAATATACGCAAAAGCCGCAGCTGAGCTGCAGCCATCCCCTTGGTAAGTTCAAGTTGATGAACTGCCGTGCAACCGACGGGACTCGGGCTGACAGATCCGGCAGATACAAACCTGCGCTTTGTGATGTGAGATCTTCAAGTTCTCTACGGACTCGGTATCATTCCAGCATTAGCATTAGCATTAGCATTAGGCCCAGCGCCAGCGCCAGTGCCAGCATTATCACCTTCCAGCATCATTGTAGTTTAGAAACGAGCGCCAACGAGCAACGATTCACGTTCCATTTCATTCCTCTCCTCCCATCGCGGGGATATCCACCTGTAATACCCGTAACACGCGATCCACCTCCTCCTCGGCCTGTGTGCAGCAAAGCAAGACTCTGGTTTGTCAGGCGCCCGGCCCCATCCCATCTTCCCCACCACAAACACTGGGACTGGCAGACTGGAAGTTCAGCGCTCGGAGGATCCCAAGACATCGGCATTGAAAGGCCAAGAGGGGGGGGCTAACCCCCCTGGTGATCCTATTGTACCTACCCGTGATCCGAGTCCGTACTTCGTCCATACGAGGAATTGGGAAGAGGACAACATCTGGGCCGTTCAATCTCCCACGCGCGAGTTTAAACCCCACTCAACCTCAACCCTTAACTCAAATTTGCTAGCTAGAGTGTGGCTTTGCTTTGCTTTGCCGGTGAAAACGGAGACCGCATTGTCCCACGCTAGTTGAGTGGAAGAGTGGAAAAAAAATATCGCGCGATCCCATTTCCCCCCCTGAGCCACGGATCGGGCCAATCAGCGGGTAACGGCAGAAGATCTCCAGTGGGAACGGTGGATGCTGTTCTCTTTTTTTTTTTCGTGTTGGCGGGGATAGTCCCACGGTTTTCTTCGGGGAGCTGAGAGCTGAGGCGAAAGGAACGGGAGAGAAAATGGAAAGGAGAGAAAAAATGGAGTGGTGGGTGGGGGAGATGGAATTGGATGGGATGGGATGGGGCCGGGAGAGAAGAAACCACGCCATGGATGAGATGAAGCGCGCGTACTCTGTGTCAGATTTAAGACATTTATAGAGTGGTGTGCGGAGTATAGTGCTAGTCTTATGGGTAGAGGATTGAGTTAGGGAGATGGTGAAGAGAAGATTTGATAGTCAATCTAGGGATATACTCGTACTACTAGTAGTATACTAGAGGACACTACCGAGTCGTACTAGCAACTAACTCATAATGATACTATGCACAAGGCATAGGCCGCATTCAATATGTACATCTCCGTAGTAATATTAAATATGAAATAATAAATCATCAATACTAAATAATACCCATCTGAAACACATTACATCGTGTTACACGGGCCGGCGCCTGGTAGCTTGAGACTAACTACGATGTCTTGATCCACTTTGGTCTCTTTGGGAATGTCCTCTCGTCCTTACCACTGGCACTGCACTGCGCTTTTTTCTCATAGCTTTTCTTTTTCTGTCTACTCAGTATTCTTCTGTCTTCTGTCTTGCTTCTTTCTTCTTACACCTACCTCCTCTCCTCACCTCACCAGGACTGCCAATACCACCACCACCACCATGCTGTCCTCCAACTCCTCCTACTCTTACTCCTCCAGTGTCTCATCCTCCGACCCTCATCTTCCCTACTCCTCCCAACAGGCCTCTACCCTCTCACTCCCCGCTCAACCCCGACGCTCCCCCATGGCCGTAAAATACCCAAGATTCTATGCCACCCCGATCGACATCGACGACGGCCTCAGCACCCCACTGGAAGCCTACGGCTTCGAACAGCGCGAGCCCTCCATCATGGAAAAACCCGGCATGCTCCGCCGAGTCTCCTACGCCCTCGACGACATTAAAGAGGACTTCTCCCTAAACCTCGACCCCGCCCGTTCAACCGCCAACAAAATCAAGCGTCGCTCAACCCTGCGCTTCGACGCCAACTTCAATCCCGACCAGCGGCCCGAAACCGCAGGAACTCAAGCACACCCGCGGCCTCCGCGGTCGCGCCCGGTATCCATTATGTCCGTGGATCCTCGTCCTGCGCCGCAGCGCAGTCTGAGCCGTCGTCTCTCGCGCAGATTATCTTTCTTCTCTAGCAAGGGATCCTATGGGAAGCCTGCTAGTATCTCTTCGCCTGATCTGATCGGCTCCTCCACGCAATACGCTAGCCGCAGTCAGACCACTTTCATTTAATTAACCTGGGTCCTGGGTCTGGTGGGGGCTGGCCTGGGCTGCGGAGAGGACCTTGCGACATTCTATTTGAAACGAAAGAAAAGCCAAAAAATACATGGAAGAGAAAGAGAGAGATCCAGAACGCCTCTACTCTTCTCTACTCCACGAGACGGGTCTGTTCAGTCGCAATGCAACGCTCAACTCGATAAAAAATTATTGCGACCTGACTTGACGTTGCCGATCTCCCCACCTGCAGCGACGATCGATCCAATATATACACATCCCGCATATGGTGTTTGGTTTTTAATTGTTTGTTACCTTGACCTTTGGTTTTGGTTTTGTTTAATGGGGGGCTTTGGTTCCGGGTTTGGTTTGGTTTGGTTCTGGGGACTTTTCTTATTTTGCTGTGACTTAATCATCCCCTCCTTTTGTCATTATATCCACGGCAGTTCATACGCCTTACTGCGTCGGCATTTGTATTTATCTGATTTGCGTTTTGACAGGGTTCCCTTTTTTAATTAATACTGGGAATATTGCGCATAGCTTGGCGTTTGGGAAATCAAATCATTCATTTATTATTTACCATTCTATTCTACTCTCTACCTCGGATCTTCCCTGCTTCTCTTTCCGATCTATCTAGTATAAGCATAAAGTATGCCCTTGACGACGCCTTCCGCGTAGCTGCAGGCGTAATTGGCTGTAACCAACGCCACACCGGCCACGGGGCGTCCCCCAAGCCTCATAGTGGTGGATCGACGTGCGTCAGCCATGCGCACCTCCGACTCGAACCTTCGGGTTCGGGTATTCCTGGTGCTAAAAATACATTTTTCTCTCCCGTGGAACCGAAACCTGTCCATACATATTCACCACCATCGTTGTTTCTTTTAAAACTGTCTTGAATCGGTCTTGTAATAGCGTTGTAACGGTCGCAAATTTAAGAGACACGCAATTGAATTGTGTGCCATGCCAGGTGCCTAAACCACATGAGCCAGTCACGCTGTCCCTGTCGCTGTCGCTGTCGCTGTTGCCAACTATTTCCCCCCTCCCCCCTCCCAATCCGCTGGCTGACCCCCACTATGTATGCTCCTTGCATCACTGCGCATGAACATTGCAGATCAACGCTCACTCGTCTTTGCTCCACTCTCTCCACATCCCGTTAGACCGGAAGATCTTTGACACCGGTCTCATTCAATCTGATCTTGCGTGACGGGGGGAATCATTTCCCTGAAGCTTTAGACTTGAGCCCGCAATTGATTCGACACTCGAGCTTTGTCAATGTTGATTTTAAAACAAGCTGTGCCTTGAAACTTGAAGGAATGTGGGGCGTTGCTCAAATTGCGTTGTGGGTGAGCAAATCCGACATTGCTTGATCTCAGGCTCTATGGTCGTTAGTCTACGAAATTGAAATCCATGTCTGGAAGATGGTGCAATGGAAGATGATCCTATTCTCGAGGCCCCTTACGGGTGAATTATAGACGTAGGACACGTGAAACGCGTCGCGCTAGCTACTATGATTATAACAAAGGGGGAGGAGAAGAAGTAAGTGTATACTCGAGATGATCCAGATATCGGTTCTTGAGCAACAGGGCCTCCAATGCGGTTTCGAAATAAATGATGCCCAGGAAAGCTCACTTCGGGTAGTCCAAAGCCACGGCACCAACAGGCATCAAACATATGACTGCTTGCTTCCTGGTACGGTAATTAGGAGCTACTCACGTACTTGCACATGTAGGTACCTCGGTCCTGCGACATACCTGGAGGTTTGGCAACCGAGCAGCTTTGTCACTCTTTATCAAACAGGAATGGAACCGCTCAGCAGAGAGTAGTCTCATCCATATTTGTGCTGCTTAATCGATCCCGAATGTGTTCCTGCGACAGGGAGCACGCGTCAGGAACTGTTGGCCGGATAGGGGAAAGTCGTCAAACTTCACAGTTTCTGCCACCAAGGCAAGGCACCCCACAACATTGTCATTGTAGAGTTTATCATATAAGTACCGCACAAGCCATTTCATATCTTGGATCTGCGCTAGATCCTTTCTAGCCAGCGTTTAGGCTTGGTGAATCATGCCAGAGACCAAATCCATGACAGGTAGCTCTCATAGCGTTGTGCGACACCTGAGCAGCAGTTCCTTAAAACCCCCAATGCATATCATGACACTCAACTCCAGGAAATTCACAACCAGGCTTCAGAACGAGCTAGGCAAGGATTGCTTATAGTTCCAGGAAATTTCAAATCAGATCTTTCAACGAGGTTGACAAGCTTGGCGGCTGGTTTGTGTTCGGTCCTTTGGGGGTTGGCGGCTACCGCTGCAAAAGGCGATCGATCATACTGGCTTCGCTATTTTCGGTCAAAGCACGTGTATTATTTGTCGCTTGTTGGTAAGAAGTGGCCTCTCCTTGTTAAGTCGTCCAGCCAGAAGTTTATCATCAACTTTCTGCCATAGGGAGGCAGTTTGGGATATCGTCTGGCACAAGTATCCCCCAGGAAATGGTCTTCTGGGAACGGGCAGAGAGCTGTTGGTTTGAGTCCTTGAAAATGGACAGTACGAGGAATGAAGATGAGAGAGCAAGAGAGAATAAGAGAGGATCTATATAGTATTTCAAGTACTCCAGTGGGAAGGCGCCTGGGAGAGAAAAGTGCTCAGGTGGAAGGTACGCGTGGGTGAATGGGAAGGTATCACTAGTAGTATGCCTAGTGGATAGTGCCTTTCGTATAGGCAGCCAGTTACATTGGGATGTGGCACTCTCTATTGGGGAAACTATTTTTATTGACCAGCGGTGAATTGTTTACATAGGAATACTATATATGGAGGAAGGGATGACAGAATTGATAGCCGAAGAAAGAAGGGCAGGGAAGAAGACATAGACTACTTTTATCAGCCCCGCTCACTAGGGCTTAGCTTTCCTTTTATTATTGGCCTCATTGATTGATCAACTTGAGGGATTGTCCAGATAGCAGCGTATATGTCATTATCCGTGTCAGTGCCTGTACCTTAGGATATTAGTCTGGCGTATCACCAGCCTTGGAGTGAAACTGAAATAGTTGTTTGCTATTTGCCAAAATGCAACAGTCCTATAGTCCTTTGACTATGCCTTTTACTATACTGTAACGAATTAGGTTGTTGCCTCCCGCGGATGGCATCCAATTAGGCATCCACGCCAACATGTATCTAGCTTTCGTCTCTTCTTCCTCTTCTTCCTCAAGCTATTATTTTCGTCGGACGCGTTACTACTACCTTTGCCTGATCGCTACATCGTAACTTGATCTCTGTGATTATCTGAGTCTACGTCCGGCGCGACAATCTTATTGTTTGCCCACAGGCTGCCAGCCAAAACAACCTGGATCTGCAACCCGTGGCCATAAGCCCCAGCTTGTTACTAGGCAACCACGCAAGAGTTTTGTCCTAGTTCCTTCTACAGCATCAGTGTAGGCAGTGTAGAGGACTTAAGGCTTAGCCGTGTCCAAATTTGTATTGGGAACACAAGCAATTTTGGGACGTTGGTGTTGCTGCCAATACAACTGCCTGTTGTTGGGCGGTGAAGCGACTACAATCTAGGAGGGCAGTTTTCCCTGGAATGCGGTCAACCCGAGAATTCCCTCCTCTAGTAACTCGTTCTTCCTTCCCCAAATGCTATGAAATAAACTACATAGGGGATTTCTTGACTATCCTTCTCTTCACTTTCTGGATTCATGTTGAAGATGACGCCAATTCACCCTCAAGGTCTTGCATCGGACTCTACTTCGAACCCAAGATTTCAACAAAAGCAACGCATAAGTCACACCAAATCGCGAGGTGGCTGCTACGCCTGCAAAAATCGTCACGTTAAGGTACCGAGGGTCACATGATGTTCTGCAGGCATTATGGCTAATCCTGTCAGTGTGATGAGGCGCGGCCAGTGTGTGGGGCATGTTCTGTCCGATGCGATGAATGTCTGTTCCCTGATCCAATCACTACACGCGCATCAACCCGGAGGAGGGTGGCTGCTGATGCCCGAACCTCGAGCTCTCACCCGCAAAGCCCCCAAGAGCTGCAAATTCGCCCTCTGGATTTCAATGCTCCTTTCGCCGAGACTGCTCAACTGCAGGGGGTGAAGGATGACTTGAATATGCAAGATCTCAAACTCCTGCAGCATTATATTCTACATACCTCATTGCGGATGACTCTAAATCCCGAGAAAGCTCTAGTGTGGAAGCTTATCATTCCCGATATTGCTTCTGGAGCAGAGTATCTGATGCATTTGCTCCTAGCGTTGGCTGGACTCGACATGTTGACAAATCAATTGAATAATCCCAACTTAACCAAGGATAACGACTCATTGACTCGGCTAATCATAAGTCACCATCAAAAAGGATTGAAGGGATTTCAGCAAGAAATTCAATCGCGTCAAGAATCAAATTCTGAAGAGTTGTTAACTGGGACATTCTTAATCAATGCATTTGCATTTGCGTCCCTCCAGGTGGGGGATTTGGCTCCCAGGGACAGTCCTTTTGCGGAAGCGGATGTATCGCATGGCGCTCCAGAAACTCCTGAATGGCCTCGATCGCAATGGCTACATTTAATACGAGTCTCGTTCTCACTCGGGGGACAATATTGGATGCATCTCCAAAGAGGTCGACTGAGATCATTATTAGTCTTTAACAAGTCCAATGATGACTGGAAACACTCTATACCAGATTTTGTTCCTCTAATGGAGTTTTCCAAAGGCACTTTATCGGCGAGATTGTCAACTTTCTCATCAAATGCCATCCAAGCTATATCTGATCTCCGAGCATTCTCGCACATGCTGAAAGCGACCATCACCCCACCTTCTGACACCCCTGATTCTGGCTCAGGTGTGATGAACCCCACATATTGCCAGGATCAAGATAAAGCCATCGACGTTGTGGAAACGATGTTCATGCGCATTTTACATGTTCTTTGTTTACGTCGGACGGGAGCACAACCTTCCCCAGAGCTCGAAATTCAGTCCGAGATTGAGGACGCAGCAATTGCTTCGTGGCCAACTCTTGTTGACGGTGGATTTATTTCGTCATTAGACTTGGCGTGTTCCTTTGACTCAGCTCAAGGCATGTCCTTGGTTATTTTGGCACATCTTTACCTAACCCTTGCACTGCTTGACAAGATATGGTACTTTGGGGGTATTTTTGATTCGGAGATCAAAAAGATTGCTGCTCTAGTCAATCAAAGCCGTGATGATGGGATTGTCGCACTGATGAAATGGCCCATGCATGTCATTGAGCAGTGATATTCCAACTTGAAGGTTTTGGTATCACTCTCTTGGGAGTTTTCACAGAAAGGGGAACTTTCAACTTCTTTACGGGTTCATGAGAGAGTTTTGTGGTCATAATCTACATATTAATCAATTTTTCCTGACATGACGTACTGGATCATGAACGAAATCGCTTTCTTCTTTTTGTCTAAACCGGGTAGTATCTGAAGCTCTATGGAGATCATATATCTGGTTGAAATTCAAAGAGCCTTCATGTTGTCCCCAGGTTAGAGCCTTGGCAGTGTAATCTACCGATGGTGGTCTTAGGATTTATTCCAACAATAAACAAGGTATTATATACCCACAAGATCGCCTCATGAAACTGGAGATGGAGGAGTATGAAATGTGATGAAGTTTAATATAAAGTTCCGAGTCAGTTAATGACCCGTGGATCAAACAAGATCCCTTCACATTTATTCTTCTCGTATTTGATCCTCCAATTGGTGGCAGCCGCTTTTCGAAGATGGAGCTAGAACCCTGCAAGGGTGAAACACGTTCATCGCGATCATCGCGCAGAACATCAAAGCGCCGTCAAAAACATACATGAATACCTCATGGCTAATCAAATAGCCATCATTCCCCTGTGCATATTCCACAAGTCGGAAGATTGACCTGACCAGAATCAAAATACTGGCAAAGTACAGCCCCCAAAGAACAGATTCCCAACTGCGAACAGTTTTCCCGTGACGATCTTGTTGAACTCCGATAGTTCGTTGAGCGTATTTTGAGCGAATACGCATATGGAAGACAACAGATGTGATCACGAAGACGGTAAAGAAAAGGAGTTGCACACAGAGACCGCCGATTGTAATGTGTTCGCCTGTTGTCATTGCACTTATTGTGCCGCTTGCCATGATTCCTCCTCCTAGAAGAAAACTGTTAGCGATACTTTATAGCTAGAGGCAGTGTACGCCACAAACCTGCTGCCTGCATCACAAATGCAATTATATCTCCCGTAACGAAAATGATTGTTAGCCACCGTAAGGGCACTATACTGTAGCTCTCTGCACCAAGATGCGCGATGAGCCTCCCAAGGACCATGTAGATAGATACGGCGTAAAGTGGAGGCGCTAATAGAATCAAGAGAGTTTGGATCGAATAGATAGGTATACTCTTCGGATTTGAATGCGCCACGGCTCGTGCAGCATACCCGATTATCTGGACTGTTGTTTGATCTGATTAGAAAATAACAATCGCGATGTCAACGAGGTGAATTTAGTCTCACAGATTCCACCCAGAACGAACGCCGTGAAGTACCATGAGCGGCTTCTTATAAGCTGGTAAAGATGGTAGGCAGTCGTCAAAACAAACAAAACAACAAAGATAACAGCACCAACGAGAGAAGGTGTGTATCTGTAGAGTTGAAACTCATAGTATTGCCCACTTGTGTTGCTCATAGTCGATCGCGGTGTTAATTAGGTTGCAGAGAGTAAGGAGTATAAAGAAAAGATCAGAATTATTCAAAAATCGACCAAGTATGCGTATATTCCGGCAGCTTAATCTTCTAGTGACAAGAAAGTGGGAGATGGGAAAACTTTGATATTTAATTTTCAGTCAGCGGTCATACAGAACGGTCATACAGCAGATTTTCACCCCTGGGCGCTGTTACCAAGGATAGACTAATAATTTTAAGTCCCGGGCTGCCTAATCAGGATTAGCGTTGAGGGGCAGGGCTCGGGAAACCGAAGATACGGATATCTATCGATACGAGAATGCGAGAATGCGAGAATGCGAAACCAGTCAATCGCTAGATTCTTGGTGGGTCGTTCCAAGCCCCCAATAATTACCCAGATCCCCGTGTTGGTCTTGTCCAATATAGCTGCCTAAGTGGGCATCGCACCCAATAATAGATAGAGGAGCCGTATTTCACTATAGTAGAATCATCACCGTCATCGCGTTGGTAACGATGAATTATGATAATTGGAGAATTGGAGAGAGTGTAGAGATTTAGGCTCAAAAGTCGTCAGATCTTCAATTTTCCCATTCATGCGATCGCATAATATATTGGGCAATTAGAATATTGGGGTCTATATCGAGAAACTAAAATGTGGGAGCCTTGAATGAACCTTCGATTGAGGTCTTTTCGAAATTGTGGATTAGTGATTATCTGCCAAGAAATGATTAAATATGTTATACTATTTACTGAGATAGATCCAAATTTAAATAATGAATGATAATTACAATTCCTTGTCCAATCATTGTCTTTCGTTGAGGGGTATCCAACTCCCATTATCCTGTTGCATTGGTTCGCCGAAACCTGAAGGGAAAACATTGCCCGCATGAACAAAATGAAACATCACCTGCACAATGAACATCGGCACAGCATCAAAAATGTACATATAAACTTCATGACTTGCAAGATAACCGTCGTTTCCTTGAGCAAATTCCACAATGCGGTAGACGCATCTCAAGATGATAATGACAGCAGCTCCGAATAAGAGCTTTATCAGAGACTTCCACGTGTGCTTTCCATATTCTGGTGTAGTGTATAGCTTAGCAGAATATTGCATTCGCCTCCAAAATACCAAGGAAATAGTCAAGAAGAAACTGAAAAAGAGGAGTTGAGTAAAGAGCCCAACAAGCATAATTTTCTGTCCCAGAGCTGCCATATCGGGCTGGGCCATCATACCCCCGCCACCAGCTTGCATGAAGAACGAGATAACATCTCCGCAAACAAATATTTTCGTAACATGATTATGCGGAATCATGCTTGCGTCAGGTGAGTGGACAAAATTCACTATACGACCATAGATCATATATATGGTTGCCGCGTATAGAGAAGGTGGTAGGATGATAAAGAGCGACTGTATGATATAAGGCCCAAGCTCGAGGGGTGACTTTGCGGAAATGTAGCGGGCAATGTATCCAACAGTCATCACTAGTATTTGTTAGCAATGAAACAGGTACGACTTGAGGTATACGTACTTATAGCACCAGCAACCAATGAAATATAGAACCATGTCTTTTTTCTTATCATAACTATGAGATGATAGACAGCACTGACTCCAAACAGGGTAGCCATTACTATGGTTGCGGTTTGATTTGGCTTGTATTCGTAGATTCCATTGTCACTGGTAGTTGTGCTGTTTGCCATGATCGAGAAATCTTGAGGTTTGCCTTCCTGTAGTCTAAATGTGGTGACAGCGGACCATATTTATATGCCAGCCTCCTGTCTTATGCGAGTGCCACCAGACAAAAATAAGATGCAAAAGCGGCCAAGCGACCCAAAATTCACAAGAAGAGAAGATGAAACAGGACACGCATTGATAGATTAGTGTATGTGGATACTGATCAATAGTACTAGGCTCCACCATTACTGTTAGTATCGAGGCTATAACGTATTACGGGAACGAAGTGACTTATCTCCAGGAAGTACTGGGATTTCGATATCTCATGTTCTACAAGGTGTCATAATGGCAGTCATTTGAGCAGCTAATGAATGGGAGACCCTTCATGGGCTTTTAGCATGGGGAAATTGAAATAGAAGAAGACGATTTGTCCATGCCTCGTGAATCTTGGAATATATATTAGAGCCGAAGGAAGCTTCCAGTTCTGATATATATCAGTACTAGTAGCATTTGGCCGCACGGTAACTTTAAATTTTTTTAAGAATGAGTGGGGCAGAGGATGAATACGGGAATCCGAGAGTATTGCCGACGATTTACCGATCAATGAGTGATTCAGGGAGTTTTGTTTAGTCGACCATGATTAATTCACTGGGGGTGTTTTGGTAAAGTATTTTTCCCGATCCGATTGTGCCGCATCCAAATGTGTGATCGGCCTCCCATACGGCCTCCCATATTATTTAGATATTTAGACACCCATCCATATTTTCCTGTTCGGGAAACACTGTGTGCCTTCTTCTCATTACCCAGTGATTCCCTCACAGTATTCTGTTCTCTCCTCCACTTACCTAACCGCTCATCGAACTGCTCATCGAACCGATCTACAATGGACGCGTTACGACGTGCTGCCCAGCACTCGAGCGAAGACTCACCAACCTCTATGACCTCCTCACTTCGTTCCAACATCAATCTAAGCAATAAACTATCTGCAATCCTTGACCAGCATCACAATGAAACTGTGATCAACGACCTGGACCTCAATGAAAGCTCCTCACCTGACACCATCCTATCCCGCGTTCTCACCCCGAAATCCTATTCGAGTACGGTCTCCTCTTTTGCTCTCTTCCAACAGACCCAACAACCTCTTCCCTTTGTCGAGTACCGCGTCATCGGTTTTGGCCAGTGTGGGCTCGTTTTCGAAAAGCCTGGGCAAGGATACGTCCTGAAAGTTGCGAAACATTCATACGAGGACGCTTTATGGGCCGACTTGAGAGCACATTTACGAGTGCAAGAGGCCTTCGATAACCCCCAAAACAGCCGCATTGAATGCCGCGTTCCGCGACTCTACTCTTATGTCCCCAAGGGTAACAACGTGTGGTGGGAACGCAATATGAACCTTTTCCCTCCTGTCCACGACTCCATTACCCTACCCGCCATGACTTTGGTTTCGGAACGGATCCTCCCCATCCCCAAAATTGCGCGAGAGGCTTTGATCAACAAATATTGCTCAGCTGAATCGCGTGCGTTTGTCGCTGCAAATCCTACAAATCGTGACTGTTTGGCTCGCTTGTATTTGGGTCGTCGTCGTCTCACAACAACCCCTCCCCCCGAACTTCACGCTTCGAAATTTCAACCTTCATCTCGACCAGATGGTCGATCTCAAGTATCCTGTGCATAGTCTGGCTACAGCCATAGGCGAAGCTTTGGCCATCATCCATTGGTCAGCCAACGTAGATGCGTACGATATAGAATTCGTCCTTGGAAGTGAAGGGGATAGAAAGTACGGCCAAGATGTCCTTGCGACTCTTAGAATGAGTTCAGACGATGTAGCCGCTATGGCACCCCACACTGATATCGAAGCGCTTCTGACCGTGAATTTCATGCGCCGCACCACGCGGCTGTGGATCCTGGATTTCAATCTTTGTAATAGTTGGGATGAAACTGCGGCAGTAAACAATTCCGAATCCCTTGTCGCCCATCCTGTCGAAGCATTCTTCGAAAACGACCCATACTATCCTTTACCGCTCATGGAGGATGTTCTGGAGCAGAACTTATGGGACATGTTTCGTTCCAGCTACATTGCAAAGGCCAGTCAAGTCCTCCACGGAAGGGACGACCGGCTAGCTGGCCTTCCCCACAAGTTCATCGACGGATGTATCCAGCGGGAGAAGGAGAGTCTCGAGAAGGGACTCGGTCATGGATACCGTGAATTGAAGCAGTGATGTGGAGGAGAAATATCTATCTACTTGTACCCTTAATTTCCTTTCCTCATTTAGCTGAAATATCATTGCTGGTTATCACTATTGTGTTCAAGGTTTATGATTTCCTTTTATAGTAGGCACTCCGGGCATAGGGCTCGAAGTACTCCGGAATATTTTCTGGAAAGATCATCTGCCATCATTACCAGTGCTCCATTCCACATGCTCGGCAAGCTCCGGCTGAGCAATACCCTTCCCCGCAGCAGTTCGCTTGATTTCTTCTTCTTCTTCATGATCGATATATCTTTGCGGTCGGCCTCTGCAAACTGCGTCTCGATCCCCGACCACAATGAGAGACGGCTTTGTCCGATAATAAGCATCGATGTCTTCCAGACTCCGATTGGCTATAAAATGTCAGCTATATCTTGAAGTATAAATCAAGGATAAATTTGACAGACCTGTTTCTGGATAGAGAAAATATATAATAGGCAAGAACAGGAAATTGGTCACTGTCCACACAATCCAAAATCTCCAGCCAATGTTTTGAATCCCTATGGGGGTGATTTCCACAATTATGAAGTTGGTGAGCCTATAACCTTGGTGAGCAACTTCTAAAAATGGAATAGGCAGTTTTCTTCTCTTACCAGTCAGTTCCAGTGGCAATTGCTGCGCCTTTGGTTCTCATAGGTAGAGAGTTGATTTCTGTCGGATAAAGCCAAGGAACGCCCAGCATTCCAACACCAAAGCTGGCATGGAACAGGAAAATAAAAGCAACAGCAGCAGATCCATAAGAATCATTGTCAGGGTATATATCCGCATAACGAAGCAAAATTGTGATTACTAGGAAACACACAAATTGGCCGAATGTCAAAAGGAGCATCAGGCCTCGCCGTCCCATTCGCTCAACTAGCAGGACAGCGAGCCCCGAAAAGAAAAAGTATGAGATGGCATTGCAAGCGGTTAGCAAGCGTGCCATCTCATCAGAAAATCCCACGGAACTTTTGAGCACGGTCGGCAGATAGTAAGACATAATGTTGATACCCCCAAACTGTTGCATAAATTGGCTGCCGGCGCCAAGAAGAAGACGGCGAAGGGTGTTTGTGTCATTTGGGCTCTTCTTCAACAGATCGCGCCACCGAACGGAATTTTCACGTTCGTATTCAATGGTGAAATTTATTTCATTGCGTTGTGCAATGACAAAAGGATCGTTAAGCGATTTCGCCTCTAGACAACTGATCACCTCTACAGCCTCATCCTCTTTGCCGTGAGCCAAGAGCCATCTAGCGGTGTTTGAGAATCAGCTTTGTATCGAAATTCCAGTATTTGTCACTTACCGAGGTGATTCTGGGAGCCAAGGGGTGGTGGACCACAAAACAAAGAGGAACAAAAACTGCAATGCGAGTGGGAGTCTCCAGGCAATGGCGCCGCCTGCAAAGGATAAGCCGTAGTTAACCCAATTCACAAAGGCGTAGCCGGCAATATTCATCATCATTTCGAGGATTACTAGCTTTCCTCGCCATTTAAGCTGCGAGGTCTCTGCAAAGATAGGATGTTATTCTCTTAGCCAAGCTAAGTCATTTGAGAGAACCTACCAGTTTGCCACACAGGGGCTGTCGCAGTGTTGACGCCATTCCCGATTCTGCATCCCAAATTATGGGCTTAATAGGCAACGATTTGCAATAAAGAACAAGTTCAACTCACCCCGATATGATGCGCCCTATAAACATTTGCTCCAAACTGAAAGATGTCGCCTGCAGGATGGCCCCCACAGCCATGATGGTAGTTCCCGCCAAAACGGTCTTCTGTCTACCAAGACCTTCACCAATTGTAAAAGCCAGAATGGCCCCAAGAAAACAACCAACGTCGTAGATTGCTGTCACCGTGGATAAGGTTTTGGTTTTGGTCGGCCCGACGAGATCATGGATTTCGAGGAAATCTTCAGTGATTACCACGCCGCTGAAAACGCCTTGGTCGTACCCGAAGAGGGTCATGTCAGTTGCGCAAGCAACCTGGGGTTTCAATTTATCAGCGCTTGGTCAAATGAGGATGAGAATTGGCTGGCGAAGGTATACCGTCACCCAAAAGGTCAGCCATCCCCCAGTCAATCCGAAATAGGGCCGACTCTTTTTCTGCGGTGCACTCGTCATTCTCGAACAACAGCAATAATGCAGCTCTGCGTAGCGTGTAGTCAAACAAGCAACGGGTATGCCCCGCAAGGTATCCGTGGTTTGCAAGCAAAATGAAAGGCAAAGATAAAATCAGGCCACTGGAGTGGGGGTTGCGCGGCCATGTTTATACTGACCCCACTGCAGGACGCTAGCAAGCAAGGACAATAACTGCAAATCCGGCTAAATCGGGTTCGGCCCCCCCTTGACGCTTAACTTGCGGCAAGTCGATGAGGGGAATACAAATACGGCAAACCAAGCGAGCTCCTTGCTCCAAATCGACGCCGAGCGATCATAGAGTCGGCCGCTTAAAATGCCATTTGTAGCATGGTATCCTTCCTTCGCACTCATTAGAGCGATGATTGGTAGGACGATCGTCGCGTGCCGCACTTGAACTGGGTATATTCCGTCATTGCGTGGGGGGGCCTCAGCGTGGAGGAGTGCGGAGGGAGTGGGGAAAGTCCGGGGAAAAACCCAGTGTATATTCAGCTCAACGTAGTGGGCTATGTTATGATGAATTGAGATGCTAGATGCATGTCAAAAATTAAGAAGGTATCGGATAAAATGAAGAGTCTGAACGGGGCTAAGAAGATGCTCCGAAGGCGGAAGTTGCAGAATGTAGGGGCTGGACAGGACGTGGTTTAAGTATGTTGGGTTTCCTTAAGACCGGCTAACTAGAAGTCGCTCAGATTATGATGCGCTTGAAATTAGGTGGACGAGTGCTAGTACTACTGAGTCTTTTCATGGATTGCTAGGGGTACGCGGATCATTCGGCGAGTGGGCTTCCCTCCTGTTGTATACACAGAACAAAAAGTAAAGATCTCACTTGCACCGCAAGTCATCTGTGTCCGTCCGCCCGTATTAGAAAGCCTCTAGACGAGAATATAAACATATCATTTAGATGCTAGCTCTGCTCTATCAGACTTAGTAAATAATAGAACGAACCGGCGAAATCCACCGCTAAAGCTAGGAAATCTTTCAACTTCAATCCTAGTAGTTGAGTGCATAGTCGCTGACATGAAACACGTTAATATTGTTAGACACCAAACCTCTACTTTCAACTAATACAGTAATTTTCGAAATCACCTATACCGCTATACTCTTACTACTTGACTGCCGGAAAATAATTCCGTATACCGTAAAATTATTTCGATGTTTCGAATCATGCTTTATTGCTGCACCTGGATTGACTATGTGAAGCAAGTAATCCACATCATGTATCGCTGAAGGACTTGTGTAAGGTTGCTATAAAAAACCCCCCCTCGTCTGGGCACCGAGCACTAGAAACCCCAGAAAAGACTCGCCGGAGACGTTGAGATTTCAACAGGTAGGGAGCACAGCGTATAAAGCACCTTTCATTCACATTCAGTCCCGCTTTGCAAGAAGTGCCCCAGCCCAGGCAGATCCAGGATTGAGTCGTTCTGGGTACAGCTCCAACATTCGCCAGTAGATATCTTCAGCTTTGGGATATTTTGCTGCGATTCGGTTGAAGTTTTCCAAGTACAACTTGGTCTCCTGAATGGCTTCAGGATCAAAGGGCTTGCTGGGGTCACTATGGCCTCCAATCACTGCCTTAGGCTTCAAAGCTGCGAGCTTATCCAACGCCCTTATCCACTCAACGCGGGCCTCTTCTGTTCCTGATTCGCCCAGGTACGGATGAGTGTTGGCGTATACACAGTCCCCTGCCACCACCAATCCAATTGATGGGACCCACAGTGCATTGGTTTCATCCGTATCTGTGTGTCCCAATTTCACCACCCTTAACTGCTCTCCTTCTAGCTCAAACTCGTCACCACCCAGAGGCTCCGCATCAACGAATTGTTTCGGAAGTAGCCCAGGAAACAATTTTTCCCATAAGCTTGCCATTCTTTCCGGAGATGTTTCGTATGCCATTCGAGAAACCACTTCCGGTGTAGCGATCACTTTGGCCTTTGGGAATTGTTTGAGAAGTGTGGAGCTGCCGAAGAAATGGTCACCGTGTGAGTGGGTGACAAAAATAGCGACTAATTCTTTCCCGCTAGCCACAACCCAGTTCGTTAATTCCTTGGAGGCTTCTAGGGTCAATTGAGAATCAACTAGAACTGCGTCCTTCTCTCCATATATAAGTGTAGAACTTGTGGGAACCCATTTGAGATGATCGGACCCTGCAGGGCCAGTTCGGGTAGCGCTGTTGCGTTTGCTGAAAAAGACCTTATAGCTGAGCGGCATTGTGGCTTGATATACTGGACCGGTGGGTAGCTGATCAATCGACAATATGTCCCAGTTCAGTCGTGGCGGGTCGGGCTTAATATAAAAGTATGCTACAAGTGCCCAGATGATCAAAATGGACAATCGTGTTTAGGAACTACACAGTCCTCATCCCTTGTGGCGTAATCAATCGGACATTTGAGCCTCGGTGGTATATACTATACCTCGGGAGAGATGCGATGAAATAATCCGATCTAGCGGACTACTAGTACTTGCCGAGGACTCGGACACGGCATAATTTGTGGGTCTCGGCTGCCCCACATCGTAAGAATATGGCAACCAGAAATCCACTTTATTAGCAAGAATGACCGACTCGCTTAGTATTCGCGGATATAGTGAATCGCGGACAGGGCCATCAGTTAGTGGTTGGCGACTAGTATGTCCGAAATACCGGGTAGGGGTTCACAAGATCACTATATCATACATAATACTAGAGACATAGTCAAGTGTTAGCCGTTCAACCTTCAAATATAGTTCCGAGAAAAATCGAGCCGAACCGGCCCGGAGGATGATTAATCAACGGTAGACTTTGGAGCCTCGGAATACGAGTATACTCCAGGGCTGCTGCGACAAACATCTATCCAAGCTAGGGCTAAAATGCGTTGCGACTTCTTTAAGATCTCCCGCGGGAAAGGGTTCAAATTGTTAAAAGACACTGCACTGCCTCTTATGAGAGACAGACGGTTTTTTTTTTTATTTCTTGGTGTTTTTGATTGATTGCAAGTCATAATGCCTCTACCTTTTCTCAAGTCTTTCCTTTCCGGTGCAGATTGGGCTACGAAGGGGCCACAAACCCCAGCCCAGCGATTCTACGGAGCATATGCGACGGCTATCAAAGGATCCGACCTTACCGCCTATGAAAAACACCAATTCTATTCCAAAAACGCGGTTTTTCATAACCAAAACGGCGTCAACTATTGTGGTGCGGAGATTTGGCCATGGATTATCAAGTTATTCGGCCAGTTCGCTCGTCTTGAACACGACTTTATCTCAATCTGGGAACTGGAGAACGATGACGAGACTGTCCATCTCATTGCTCAGGTCACTCGACATATCTGGGCTCCCGGCAGTGATATCAATGCCCCGCCAACCGTCAGTATTCCCTTGTCCATGACCTGCGAGATAGGTCCCAGCACTACCCCCGAGAAGACCCCCGAAGGTCTACAATTTCATCATGTTTGGATGTACTGGGACACCTACCTACTTCAGCCCTATTTCCCCAGGGATGCAATTGTCTTCAGCCCGGTCAATGTTCAGAAAGAACTATGACGTAGCAAAGAGCCTGCTGCTTGTCGGAGGAACACTCGCTAGAAAGCAATGTTTTTGCTACTAGAGGGAAACTATTTGATTACAAGGGCAAGAAATCATTATACTAGTAGTATGCATCTATCTGTATATATTCTCCGTGCCTACTTGCAAATAATTTGTAAATTATAAGACGTTTCGGGGATTTTTGGTATTTCAATTTCATACTAATAAATCGAATATAGTATGTGTCGGTGTAAGGACTTTCAACCAGGTCGGTTGGGATAAACGAAAAAGAGAGCTCAGAGGTGGAGTTGAGTAAGACCAATATCCCAGTCACCAATTCGGAGAAAATTTCTTGGCTTGCATTGAATATCCATGCAAGATTCCACGTTCAATATTTGTCTGTATTGAAGGTCGGAGTCTCTATTCTTTCCGTCTCAAAGAGAACCTTAGCGAGATTTATATAAGTGAGTTTATTTATAACGTACTAGTAGTACACAAGGCACTGGATGCACCAATCTGGGCAGTTATAACAACCTTTGAATTCTGCATACCATCTACCAAGCACCTTCTACTGACCTGGTAACCGATCTATCTACTCTGTGACTTCCATGCCAGTGAATGCGGTAAACAACATACCATGCAGGAAGGCAAATACATCAGCTAATTAAGGTATTGTGTAACACGCCCGCTTGTCAGACATTCTTGGATAGGCCGACGTGTCTCTTCAAAAATTCAAGTTGCGCCGCAATGTTCTTTTCGAACCAGGCTCCAGTGTAAATATCAAAATGGCCTGCCCCATCAAGGTAAAGCATCTGCTTCGGTTCCCTTGCTTTGCCATAAGTGGCCAATTGCGATGACGTAGTGACAAGGGTATCATTTCCCGGAATAACCATCAGGAGTGGAGTTGGCGAAATACGGTGTACCATTGCCTGGCCTTCAAATGATAGCATAAAAAGCTGCGTCTGAGTAGTGATGGAGTTCTCCCATGTCGCACCGCAGTTGTATGAGCCCCGCACATTTTCATAAGCATGAACGCCGGGGAACATCACGTTTGATGCCCCTGCTTGAGCTTCCTCCGTGGTATCTGCAATAAGAGGAATCCTCTCTGGCTCGGTATAGGTACCAGTGGCGTCATAAGTGCGATTATCCAAAAGTGTTGAGATCCGGTCCTTGAATGCCAAGGATCGTGTCTCCCCAGAAACAGCTGGACATTGCACAATGGCAGCCTTGATGCGCTTATCCACAGCAGCAGCGTACAAGACATTTCCACCCGAAAAGCTGGTCCCCCAATATACAATGCAAGAAGCATCCACACTGGAGAATGTAGTAACAAAATTGAAGGCGTCATAGTAGTCGGCTTGCTGAAGGGGTGGGTTTGATTCTTGACGAGGCAGGCCATCACTATCTCCCCAGTTCCGATTGTCATAAAGTAATACATTATAGCCAGCATGATGGAAGCGATCAGCAAAGGCCGGAAGCCAATAATGCCGAACACCACCCAGCTAGTAGTTTTCAATTGATCTCAGCAGAAGTTTCTCATCAGCAGCGATAGAGCGGCGGAAACACTTACCCCGTGTGTCATGATCACGCACGGAGACGTGCTGCGTTGCGGATAAAACCAACCACGAAGCAAGGTCCCATCGCGAGCTTTGAACTGAACATCTCGACGAGGAAGAGCCATTTTTTCCGTTCGTAACCCTCAGATGCTGGAAATAAACCTGTTGCGCCTTATTACTTCAGTGGTCGAAAATATGGATTTTCGGCCGTTGACTCTTAGAATGACAAAGAAGAAGGGACGAAATTTGTGAGGAAACCCCCGAGCTCTAGTATATCCACGGCATGAATATAAGATGCCGAAAACCTGCGGCCCGAAGTCCCTGCCTAGGCATAACTTTAATTGACCACATTTTGCTTTGACCGAAAGTGGGTCCCGAGGTCTCTAGCATCTCTCAACTTCGCCTCAATGCTGATTATTCAACAATTCTCACGCAGTCACCAATGCACGACATATAATCATGACAATACATACCCTAATCATAGAATTGAAAGGTCCAATTCATCTTACTAATATGTACCCGAGGCTTTGAAAGATGAAATATGCCCGATTATATGATGATTACATATCACCATCATGCATGAAGCCTCGGCCCTTACAAAAATTCGGCGAATTTTATGATTGGCTTAGATTATCTGCAATTTGCAACTTAAATCGGATAGATTGTACATAGAATAACGACGAAAAAGCATTGTCAACCGAAGCTTGCTCAACCAGACGAGAGATGGCTTTAGCCTTGTCGCAATCATGGCTCGAGGTATGTCCAACTCCAACTTTCGTTTTTTTGAGGCCAATCTAATCATTGAACAGATCGAGCAAGCTCTCGGTCAAAGGCCACAATTTTCTGGAGATGCACTGGCTATGAGGGAGCAGTACAAAGCTCTCGCAAATCAGATCAACGCTTCTAACAAAAGGTCCGCAAGCCTCGATATTGGTACGTGCCAATTAATTAAACGTGACAGTATTGCTTCATTTATGGAATTCTAAATTCTTTAAGAGGATATTTCTATTACGGAAAATCTTGGGGCCAGAGTTTATACCCCTGCTACTCCTGATGAACGACCATTGCCTGTTGGTGTTTACTTTCATGGCGGCGGGTGGTGTTGTGGAGACGTAGATACCGAAGACGGTTTCTGCCAATCAGTAGCTGAGGGCTTGCCTTGCATCATTATCTCAGTGGAATATCGACGGGCACCTGAGCATAAAAGCTCAGCACAGCTCCAGGATGTGCTTGAGGGTTGGACTTGGGTAAGTTCTATTTATGATAGTTAACACACAGTGAAGTCTAGGGATATTAACAATAAATAGGCATTGAATAATGCGTCTACTTTTAATGGTGATGCAGCTAGATATTTTGCGATTGGACAAAGCGCTGGAGGCCATCTTGCACTTGCTTTAACGAACATGCTTGTCGCATTGGGTCGAAAGGCTGAGATCCGTGGTGTGGCGGCTCTGGCTCCAATCACCACTCATCCTGCCCATATTCCTAGTGAATATGTGGAAAAGTATAAGTCATTCAATGATTGTGCAGAGGCTCCGCTGAATACGGCGTATGCTATGAAAACGTTCTTTGGTACGTTGCTGTCTTGTCAAGGTCAACCTAACGAGAGAATCCTAACTTGTCCAGAGTCTGTTGGCGCAAGTCCTGACGATCCAGACTTTTTCATTATAAACAGTGAACACATTTATGATTTTCCTGCTACATACATCGTCGTGTGTGATATTGATCCGATCCGTGATGATGGTTTAGTGATGCATAGCGCATTGAATCAAGCCGGGTAAGTCGCAACTCCTTCGTTGTGATCATATTTTGTCGCTCACGTCCAGATTTTAAGCGTTCCAACAAAGCTCAACCATTACATTGGTTTGCCACATGTTTTTTGGGCGTTAGACTGCAAACCACCAAGCGGAAGTTTTTTGGGTGACGTGCTCGAAGGCATCAACTTCTTAATGAATGAATGATACAGTGCAGAGTTGCCGAAAAATGTTTGATTCTTATTTCCAAAACTTATTAAGGTTGAGCTGCCATCTTGATTTCGGTTGATTACACGTCTTTAGATTTTATCGGAGATATTTGTCAATGAGAAGTTACTGGACTATGATCCCAAATCCACAGATTCCGGCCTCGGAGGCCAATATGTAGCCTCAGCCAATTTATTATCACACAAAAGCGATTTGGAACTTGAGAGGGCTGGATTCTGACGGTCGCGCTACCTTTCGTTCACGCTTTGTGAATGCCACTCACCCATTCCTTCTAGTTGGGTATCTGATCGGCACGCCTGGTACAATGCTGCCATTTCCGAGGTCGGATTTGAGAGAAACATTGCGTATTGACGCCCTGTCGCGAAAATATCTGGAAGAACCAGGGATTTTAAAGGACTGCTATATTGATTGGATTCGAAATGAATACTACTAGTATATGTTGCTCGGCTTGAGTCGGAAGTGCAGTGGATTCCTTGCCCGGGTGGAACTTTCCAGGTACTTAGGGTAGCCGTGCTTAGTTTCAATAAGGACGATTACTACATACTATGACCATTCATGGAAACAAGGGACAATATTTAATTTATATCTATTTCCGTTTTGAAGATTCTTCTTCGAAGAGTTGTCAATTTTTTACGTGCCGCAACCAAAGATGGATGAGGCTATGGGTCACATCGAATGTTAATAAAAGGCTCAGCTGGATTGTTTGCTATATTATTGTATTAATGTTAGCCAATCGCAATTAGATGGCTTCAAAAAGTGAAACCTAGCACTATCAGTCGGAAAAAGTATCGATCTTCATTTATGCAACTCAGAAATATCGTCGGGGTTATATCGGCTAAACAAACTTGAATCAGTCAACCGGGTCATAAAACTGATCGGCTGCCGATCAGTAAATTTCCCACCACTCTGGCAACAACACAATGTCTCTTTTTACCAGAAAGAATTGAGTTTCCGGAAATGATGCTTGTGTGTTAGACAATAGCCGTATGCCAAGCGTCAAACCGTTTCATCGTTGCACAGCCTCCCTGTTGTGGATTAATTGTTCTACCAATCGCAGTGAAGTATTAGCCCTGATGATACCTCTGACAGCGCCTCTTCAGTGATAATCACAATAACCAAGGAGCCCCCGTTATTGATTGTCTTGAAAGACTAGAACTCGTGTCGGGAGAAAACCATCGAATGACTCTTCAATTCAGGACAGTTGAAATTCCAGTCATATGGGCGTTAGAGTAAACAAATAACCATATTTTATGATACCCGAGGCAAGACCAACGCTTAGGAGCTAGGGAATAGAAATAAAGAATAAGCGAAAGATCCGGCTATCAAAGCAGGTACCGGCCCTGAAACTGATTATGGAAAAGAAGTACAACTGCCAAGATAATCAGTTTCTCCTGACTGTCTCATCATGCTATCAAGCTGTATATTAATTTAATTAGGAGGTGGTATAAAATGGAGGCAGAAGAAGGATCTGGATCTGAGAGAGGCAACTCCTTCTATTCTTCAAAAGTTTCATTGCAGAAGATTGATTACCTCCATCATGTACAACAAAGCAATCCTTCTGTCTTTGATTTCCACCACTCTGGCTCTTCATGGGTCTTCCTCCCATTCTCATCTAGAGAAGCGCTTCACTTTTCCGATTCCTTCATCCAAAGGCAGCGTGACCCTGGATGAGCCCAAGGTCATCAGTGGAAACATGACCTTCGATGGCGGTATGAAGACATATGGTCGCGGGGTTGACTGTTCCGAGGGTGAGGGTGGTGACAGTGACGCTGTCTTCTGGGTTGAGAATGGAGGAACTCTGAAGAACCTCATCATTGGCTCCGACCAGATCGAAGGAGTGCACTGCATGGGCGCCTGCACGATCGAAAATGTTTGGTGGGAGGCCGTGTGCGAAGGTTAAATCTCAAACGGATGAATTGAAGTAAAACTCACTAACTCCATTCTCTCTGACAGACGCTTTGTCCTTGAAGACAGGATCCGGCCCTTTCAATGTCATTGGAGGTGGTGCCCAGGGCGCCGAGGACAAGGTCATTCAGCACAATGGCCCCGGTACCGTCAACATCCAGGGGTTCACCGCATACAATTTTGGAAAGCTTTATCGCTCTTGTGGAAACTGTGACGACATGTATGAGCGTCATGTCACTATTTCCGGAGTTACTGCTGTCGAAGGGAGCGTTTTGGCTGGCATCAACAGCAACTTTGGCGATACCGCCACTATCCGGAGCAATGTGTGTGCTACCGATGTCGAGACTATTTGCCAGGAGTATGAGGGCAACGACTCTGGCGATGAGGTAAGTAAAAACGTTCCTCGTGCTTTGTTCAATTCCTGATGGAAACTGACCTGAAAATGTGAAAAGCCCCCTGAGAGCTCCTCTGGCCCGAGCTCTGCTTGCAAATACACCGAGTCCCTGCCTGCCTGTTAGATTTCGTGGAGTTTTCGACTATGAGCTAGTTACATACTACCGCTCACAGAATTTGGTTACTGGTCTCCTGCGCTCCTTGGGGCCACTTAGAAAGATTCTCCAAAAGAATGTCTGGGAATTCATCACTCGTTTTAGCTAGTTACTGCCTTGAGATTATTAAGCCTGCCGATTCCCAAACTTTGCATCCGTAGAAGTTGGTTATTATTTAGTTATCATGCACTCAGGTTCTCGAAGTAAGATTATTGGGGGGAGTTCTTCGAACTTTTCAGATAATGATGTAGGATCAGAGGTCAAAATGATTTCCAAAATCTGAACTAGAGCTAGAGCTTTAAGACAGTCCGTAACATAGTACACTCGATTACTTCCCTTCCACAGTAACATCCGGACCTCCGAATTCTCCTTTAAGGGTGAAAGTAAGAAGCTTTCCGCTCTTAATTTCCTCCCTCCGGCGCTCAAGCTCTTCAACATTCCAGCAGACAGAAACATACTTCCCCGACAAAAATGACCTGTCACCAGTGGCCAGCCAAACGGCCGTGCCGCCAGCGAGTTCGGGAGTATCTCCAATAAAAGGCTCAAGATAGGGGACACTGTATGCCATATCAGTCGCCACGACACCCGGGTCCAGATTAACAGATGTGATGGTCGGATGCTCCATGGCCAAAAATTGCGTGAATTTAGATACGGCCAGTTTTGCAGGGGAATACGAGCTCATTCCGGGCGCAGTACCCTGAGCTGCCATTGAGATCAGATTGATGATAGTCGTAGGTGCCGATGGAGTATCTCCTGCGTGCTTTAAGAAGGCTTTCGTTGCGATGAGTGTTCCTTTGACGTTGGTTTCCTGCGTTACTCCGGATTAGTTGTGCAGAATTTACGTTGGGGTTTGTCGCTTATAGCGGCTGGACTAGTATAGCTTACCTGGGTCTTCCACCAGGATTCCACGTCGGTGTTGACGATCGTGTCGAGTTTCACTAGTGCTCCTGCATTGTTTACGAGCACATTTGGCACGCCTAATTTCTCCACGGCTGTGTCGAAGGCTTTATTCATGCCGGCCTCGTCCGTGACGTCGACTGGGATTGACAAAACCTTCGTAGCTGGGTTTATCTCTTTGACTAGTCTCTCTGTCTCGACTAGACCCTCGCTCGATCGGCCGAGGAGAATTAGGGCGGCGGCATTGGCGCGGGCGAAGGATACGGCGAAGCCCTGGTCATTCATCAGCATTATGAAGTTCTTTCATGAAAAGATTACTCACTAATTGTCCTATTCCACGACTGGCTCCAGTGATAATAACAACTTTTCCCTCTTGAGATAAGTCCGGGCGAGTGGGATCGACGGCAGGGTACACGTCGCGATAGTTCTTCTTTGTGAAGGCGGTGCCTTTGACTTCGCAGTCGGGGTCAAATTCAGTCGTGGCCATGACTAGTTTGATATGAGAAGATATCTTGCAGGTTTGACGAAGAAATACTGGTATAGTGCATATATATGTATTGTTAGAGGAAGAAGAGGAATAAGCCAAAGTAGAGATCCAAATGAGGGGGGTTGTCATATTTATAGGTTCCGAGAAAAGCCCTAACTCTGGACTCGAAGTGGGGGCCTAATTTGGAATATTCAAAGTTAGCAACAACACTTGACAGTTGGGCTCACTCCTTCGAATCTCCCGAGTCACGTAGCGAAGGCTCTAAATAGTAGGAAGAAAGAAAGTCATGTATTATCCTTCGCGGAGCTATTAGGTAGTCTAAATTTACCATACTTATTTCGTACTCGACCTCGACCTCGACCTCGAAAATTTACCCCTCTTTGGAAATCTGTAAGCCGTTATCCGCTCTCTCTGCAGAAAGCCCGTTAAGATGGATCACGTCTTTAATAATCCTTTGGAAATACTCAGTAGTTCTTAGAAATATTCATCTCTTTTGCAATAATGTAGTTCTAATAACCAAAACGTAGCGTGATGCTGATACTTTCAGGTTCAGCCCCTTCCAACAAGTCTCAACCATTGCGTTATTTGTAGTAATCTTAAACCACCGCTTAATGCAGTCTCTGGAATTGCTCCCTCTACATTTAATTCATTCAATTGATGTAATTTATATCAGAATATCCGCTCCTTCCAGAAATATCAACACAATCGGTGTCATCAAGATGACATCACCAATGAACTACTATGATAGTCACAACTCTTCCATCAGTCCAGCCAATTTTCAAAGTTGAATCTCCCTTCTCTCCCATTAACAAAATTTGTACCTTTTTACTAAAAATGGCAGCTCCGCCTTCAACTCCACCACAAAGTGATCCTCTCACGCCAAATGACAACGATAGTCCCGAAAGCCTATCATCAGAAGATTCAATCGATCCAAGTTTACTCGACGAAGAAGAAACCCCACTAGAAGAAGGGGTCGCAAATAATATAGTGGTGCCATCAAAACAGCAACACGCCGTCGGTGGACCTGGACCAGGATACAACGCTCTAAAGACTTATCAAGGACAACTCTATAGCGGAATGGCAGTCGGGAGCTCACTTACATGGAAATATGAGCCCGGAACGTGGAAAGAAACAATGGAAGAGCCTTATCGGTGGAGAATCGATTACCAGACCAAGAAGTTACGCGCGCGCAATGCGCCCAAGGGAAGTGGTGCGCCTGTGGGCACGGAATATCACTGGTTGATTGTTGGACATCAGGTACATTTTCCATTAAACAAGTTGTTGGGTCTGGAAAGGAGTAACTATCAGCTTCCATCACTGACTAACTGAATTCCATATAGCATGTGCGCAAAATTGATGCCAATTCCTACGAAACACACCTGACAGGATCGAACTACAAATTGGCGCATAAATCAGTGTCATCGACCTCTTGGTCGATTCCCGCGGTGCAGGGTCAACGGGATCGGGAAATTGAATTACTACAGGATGCTCAGCGTCGAATGTATGGTCTTCCATCTGTGTTGGCTAGTGAAAAGGTCCAGGTGGAGCATAGGAAGAAGGGTCAATTAAGTCTTGACTCACTATTCAAACCGATTGCCGGGTCGGATGCCGGGTCGGAAAAGACATCTGGGTCTGTGAAGAGGAAGCGTGCGTAGAGCTACCACATTGGCTACTGCATACGCAAGACGGAATGAGGCTGATAAAAGAAGAATTGAGATTCAATGCCATTCGCGTATATAGGTGGTATAAAGTAGGGCTACAAAACAAAGACAAAAAGTGAAAAGAAATAAAAAAAAATCAGACCAAAACTCCCTCAAACAGAACGCCCAAAGTCGGGGTAATTGGCGAATGGTGGGTGGTGTGGGTGACAGGCTTCAACAAACAAGCCTTCTCCCCTCCTCCTCCTCGGCATAAACGTAGCCGCAGCTGTTCACCGAGGAAATCTGTGCCAGCCCAGCCCATGCCAACCGCTGAGCGATCGCCATATCAAACGCCCAAAATGGCAATCCCTCGAAACGCCCAAACCAAATTCTATTGGATCCAGTCCAACTCATTCGTGACCGGCGCATGCCAAGCCAATCACACTCTGTCGTCATGTTCAGCTCGGGATCAGATCTGGCCCGCTCTGCAGGCACCGAGGCACCGAATCACATGCTGCACTGATAAGATCTTATAGGGTTACACTCTCGAGATCTCGCATTACGATAGACATCTGCGCGCGCTTCGCCGCCTCCGCGACCAGACTAAAGTCCTGCAAGAAGGGGGCTGTCGCCGTCGGACCACCTAGCCCGTTGCCTCCTTCCTGCGGAAAGACATCCGCGGGCTGGGTGGCGGGTGGCGCGTCCGATCGTGGCAGTGATTCGGAAGTATGTCCCTGAGGCGCGAGTGGTATCCCGGCTGGGTGCGAAGGGTTGCCCAGGGCCTGGGCGAGAGGTTGTGTCTGGGACATGACGGATTCGGCAGCGCAGGCGGAGACGGAGAGGGGGGCTGCTACGACGGGCTGGATAGTCGAATTGGAGAGATGGGGATTGAATGGGTTGGAAGGGTTTGAGATGGTGGAATTGAGGGTGGAAGAAGGAGCGAGAGTCGAGGTTGAAGAGGAAAAAGTCGAGGGCTGAGCGGGGGCCTGAGGGGTATGGGCTGATCGGAGAGGGTCCATCTTCCGATGCAGATGCGGATGCATATACCGAAGCAGAAGGAGAAGCAGAAGCAAGAGCAGTAATTCAGGAAATCCCTTTCAAGTGATGGGGAGTATATTGACGCGCGGGCGTGAACAAAGGTATGCAGGATCGGGGGGTCCGCGATGACCGAATCGAAGCCACTATGGAGAGATCGAAGCGTCAGGGCCCCACGGATGAAGGGGATGGCTATCGGCAGACTCGGTGCAAGGAATCCGGGCGCTAAAATGAAACCAGACTAGAGAGTGAGTCTGGGGAGAAGAGTGAATAGGAAGTGGTGAAGGAATTTGAGGGAGAGGAGAGTGAAGGAGAAGAGACAAAAGCAAAGAAAAGTGAAAAGAGAAAAGACGTGATGGGTCGAAAGGAAAAGGAAAAGCGAGGAGTTCGCCGATCCCGATAATTACCCGTGTAATACGAGTGTATCTCCACTCCTCTCCACAGAATGTTGGGTGCACATGTGGCAAATTACGGTAATTACTGTATTGGGGTACGCCTCGGCATGTCGAGTCGAGTGTCTCATTGAGTGAAAAACAGAGAAAACAGAGGCCATACCGCCAAATATGAGATATATCATAAATGAGATATTCCATATATATCATACATGCTAGTATATACATTTCTCCTTATGATACACTACACACAAGCAGTACACAACTCGATTGACCCTTGCTTTCGTCATTGATCTACTACAGATTATGGAGTAGGTATACAGCCACGTGATTGGCTGCTGTCAACGTTCAGCTTTCAATCCAGCAAAGTCTATACACTTGGTCAATCCACACAGGATCATATATACGGTATGCCCGGAGTACTCCGTATAGCCCAGGAATCCCCAATTGTGAACAATTCACCATCCGCGATCAGTAAAAATCAGTAGTCCGGAGGTTCCTCCCTGCGAATCGCGCTGAATACTAACTAAGGTTAATCAAAAGTCAAATTTGCCTGAAATACCAGGCCAGAATACCCCACCGATAAGGCGATAATCAAATATTTTTTGATCCGATCAATTTGGAGTGAAGGCCTACTTTTGGAGGGGTAATTGACTATCTACTACCACTTTCACCACCTCTCACCACCACCACCATGGCCGAGGAAGACTTCTCCACTGGGGACATGTTCCAAGACCCAGAAGGGTACTACCCCGATGAGCCAGAACCCACCTTCGCCGAGCACACCATGCTGTCCGGCAAGAAAGTTCGCGTCCGACTCGTGGGCAGCCACCCTCTTTACGTACGTCGACTGCCCCCATTGCCCAATTGATAGCCTACCAGATTAACTAACCCTAATCTCACTCCAGGGAAACCTCCTCTGGAACGCCGGCCGAACCAGCGCACACTACATCGAAGAACGAACCGAGGACCTCATCCGAGGCAAAGACGTCCTCGAGATCGGCGCCGCAGCGGGAGTCCCCAGCATCGTCAGCGCCATCCAGGGCGCCAATACCGTCGTGCTGACCGATTACCCGGACCCGGACCTGGTGCAGAACATGCAACACAATGCGGAACTGGCAGTCGATCAGATCCCCAAGGGCCCCGATAACCGGAATTCGTTACATGTTGACGGCTACCAATGGGGAAAACCGGTGGAACCCTTACTTGCATATATTCCTCCCTTGGCCGATGGCTCGAGGGCTACGGGCTTCGATGTACTCATTATGGCCGATGTTATTTATAGTTATCCCGAGCATGGCAATCTGGTCAAAACTATGCAGAAAACCCTCAAGAAGACCGCTGAGGCTGTTGCGTTGGTCATTTTCACTCCGTATCAGCCATGGCTGTTGTCTCAGACTGAGCGATTCTTTCCGCTAGCGGAAGCAGGGGGATTTACTGTGACTAAGATCTTTGAGAAGTTGATGGGTGAAGTTCTTTTTGAAGATGATCCTGGTGTACGTTGATTGATCTTCTTACGGTCGAAATATGTGCATGATTGAGTGCTGACTATGATTTACAGGATGAGAAGCTGCGCAGAACAGTCTTTGGATACGAGCTCCGCTGGTCGCCTGACCAATTGGGCGAAGGTGGCTCGAAAAGCGCTTAATTTGAGATTATATTTGATACCCTCGCATTTGCATAAATTATATAGACATCGAGGCGTAGTTCCAGTCATTTGATGCGGTACAAACCCCTCGAGATGAAGATTCGAAAGCCATATTTTCCACTAATTGTACCAGGCACGGTCCTCTTGACTTCCTTGAAATGAGCAGTAGTGGTACTTTTATTGAGTCTTTGGAATCATTTTATGGCTTAGACACTTGAATGCAGTCTAGTACTAATAGAAGTAACATTGGCGTCCCATTATCGTATGGTCAAACCCTCAACCCCGCAGGGAAAAAGGATTCGCCACTACATCTCCAGAATATCCCAGCACATGCCATTAAACGGGTACCTGCAGGATTCCTGCTTCCACCAGTCTGTTTGGTTGGATTTAGGGGTCGCCGATTTGAACTCCTTCTGCGGGCTTTCGAATGGTGACTGAAGAAAGGGTTGCGAATTGGGGACGATGAGGGCCGGCAGACCTCCCCTTGGGAAAATCTTTCCTTGTAGTGCTCTCGAAGCCTCAAGAGCATTGGTGGGGGCTGGCCGCATACTGTGCATCGGTACATTGAATTTCGCAAGGGACTGGTCTGAGCTAAGCCATGATGGCTCTATTCTTGAATCGGGAATTGGGGTCCAAACAGAATTCGAAAATTGAGGGAGACTGTGACATGGACTTGGGGCTTCAACGGAATTGAAATATGAATTAAAATCCCGGGGCTCTGAGTATGCTGGTGTGTAGATAGCTCTGGACCATCGATATGTGCTGTCATGGCCGTGTTGGGATGGGCAAGCGCTGGAGTGAACCGACAAAGACGCAGAGCATAACCGACAAGACCGTAAATCGAACCGCTCCGGGGTATAGCTAATCATTCGCTAATTGACCAACCATCGAACTCGGCAGCAACTTTCTTCACCATTGGACACGATAGCACCTTGACAAAAACTCCATTGCCCACGAAAACTAGCGTCGCTATGGCTGGTTCTCGGGGCCGGAGGGGTTGTCTTGGAGTCTGGTCTTCGTTCGCTTGCAGATTTGACAGTCATCAACATATTGATGAATATTTTCGCTTCTCCTCAGCCAATATCAGCGAGCACAGAAGAACCGGAAGAGTTTTACCTCTCTGTGATGTGCTTGACGGTAATCGGTGCATCTCATCATGTAATCGGGTACGGAGGTCTCCATTGTCGGAGACAACGAGGCTTCTTTCAAGCAGCAGTATTATATCCTCCAACCCGGTAATGGCCAGGTAGACAAAGCGCCGACGTGACAGAATATCATGCATCATGAGACATAATAACTTCATAGGAGAACTCCAGGGCTTTTAGGTGAGTGTAAAAAGGTGCGAGGGAGGGAAGTGGAAAGTGGAAAGTGGAAAGTGGAAAGTGGAAAGTGGAAAGTGTTGCCTAGCAATGGAAGGTGCAAACCTCAAGTGCATAGTGACCCGAGGCAGAAAACAACGGAAATAACATCGCAGGCTACTATATAATAATACGGTAGCAGGTGGACTACCCCGGTGTCTGATTGCCTTACGATGAACAGCAGTGATACTACCAGCAAGTACTAGTAGTCGTAACGCCATGTTGTCACCAGCAGGGAAGGGTCTTAGATATAGATCAATATAGTATTCCAGAAAGTTCCAAATTGAGCAAGAATGTAGTTAAATACTGCACCATAACACGCAGTATCTACTAGTAGTTACTAGTATCTATATTTAGTACAGTGCCGACCGTTATTGCTTTCCATATACTGAGGCAGAAGTTAAGTTACTATACCTCCCGCCGTATTCACCGGATTTTTACCCTATCGAAGAATTCTTTGCTGAGCTAAAGGCCCATATCAAGAAAGCTTTGTCAGTATACGAAATAATCCTGACCAAGGGTTCTATACGTTCCTTCGGTGATGCTTGTACGAAGTAGGTGCGAAACAAGATAGTGCTGAAGGCCATCTCCGACATTCAGGTATTTTAATAGAGAAGCTATGACTGGCTGTCGTATTTGAGACCGTCGTATCTACGTAACATCTGTTTCATGTTCTCACATTGTGCCAGTTTGGTTTGTTCGTGTTTGTGGCTTGTTATTCAGTAATATTTTGTACTGGATGAAAGACCCTGTCTCTTGTCGTCGTTGTAATGGCTGATTTTGTCAGTTGCTGTTATGATGAGTGGGTAAAGGAAGCTATACAAACTAGAAGATGGCCCGAGCCGGAATCCGTCCTGGTCATGGATAACATATCTTTCCATCACACTGATCGTATAGAAGAGATGTGCGTCAATGCAGGAGTAAGGTTAGTGTATTTAATATACTCCCCTGACTTGAATCCTATCGAGGATTTCTTCTCAGAATTAGGGTAGTCTTCCAAATCATTTATACTTCCACACATTAGATGGTATAGCACCTGTTTCGTAATATACTGGCTAAAAATAGAAATTTAGTGGGGTATAAAGAAAGGGGATTCTCCAGAATGTAGAAGTTTCACCCGCTCATCATCAAGCTTGACACAACTCTTTGCTTCTAAACATCATCTGTCTCAACGGAACCTATATATAGGGAGCACCTCTTTCTTTGAATTCGAGCTCCACTCCTTATATTCGACAATCGCCACCACGGACAGAATGGCTCAAATCCAAGGCCACTGCGAAGCCCGGTTTTCTAAGCTTCGCGACTTAATGCAAGAGTTCATCGCGTCCGGACAAGACATTGGTTCAAGTCTGTGTATCAATATCAACGGCGATAATGTGGTAGATATATGGGGGGGGCTACGCCGACGCATCGACCAAGAAACCGTGGGAAAAGGATACGGTAGTAAATGTCTTCTCGACCACGAAACTAGTCACCAACCTGGCGGCTCTAATGCTCATCTCGCGTGGTTTGCTTGCCCCCGAGGATAAGGTGGCCCAGCACTGGCCTGAGTTTGCTGCAAACGGGAAGTCGGAGGTCACTGTCGGCCAAGTCCTAGCCCACACGGCGGGTCTCAGCGCCTGGAAGGACAATATGAAGCTGGAGGACCTATACGACGTCGAGGCGGCAACCGACAAGCTAGCGTGCCAGGCACCGCTGTGGCCTCCCGGAACCGCCATGGGATACCACGGGATAACGCAGGGATTCCTCGTCGGAGAGCTGGTGCGAAGGAAAACGGGGATTTCAATCGATAAGTTCGTAATGGAGGAGATTTGCCAGCCCCTGGGCGATGGGACTGACTTCCAGCTTGGGTGTCGCAAGGAGGACTGGAACCGGGTGGCCCCAGTCGTACCTCCACCGGGGCCTTCCATCCAGGAGGTGCTTAGCCAACAGGCGGAGTATGAGCAGGACTCGATCGTCATGCGCACGCTTTGTAACCCCGAGCCCACGGCCGAGGACGCTAACACTGAGCTCTGGCGGTCCAGCACGTTGGGCTCAGTTAACGGCCATACAAACGCTCGGGCGTTAGTCAAGATCCTCTCTTGCTTCTCGCTCGGTGGCACATGCGCGGAAGAAGGCCATCGCCTGCTGTCGCCCGAGACAGTGAAACTGGCGCTTACAGAGCATGCGACAGGAATAGACTTGGTGACGGGGCGGAGCGGGAGGCGTGGACTTGGGATTTACCTCACCGGACCTGGGTCGGGAAGCGTCGAAGGCAAGCTGCCGAAGGGCAATGTTGGATGGGGTAGCGGATGGGGGGGGGGGTTCGATCGTGGTTATGGATAGCGACAGGAGGCTCACAATCGCGTATGCTATGAACAGGATGCTGAGCGCGGAACATCCTTCCCCAGTAGCATATATCAAGGCGGTTTATGAGATACTTGGAGCTTCCTAAGCTGCCTAGGATCGGGACGAGCTTGGTTCAGAAACTGCATAATTCTGGGTTTGACAGAGGTAGATCATACTAGGCAAGCAGTGTCAAGGTGTAATAGATACTAATCCAGTAAACTTCAGGCCCTGTTTTCTTCACAGTAGATCAGACGGCGCATGCTATAATCTCGGTAATAACGACATATTCAAATTCATCCTATAAGCCGATAGTCGCAATATAAAATATTGAGGCACCATCTAAAATAAATAAAACGCTCCAACGCACAGAAACCCCGCCTCTTAACAGTATGAAGCCAATCAGATCCTAGAGTAAGAAAGATAGCCGTCAAACTTATTCGGCATCAGCAAGAATTTCCCTAGCGCCCTGTTCAAGTAGCATATTTGATTTCATCATTGTAGCCCATTCGCTTATATCACGTAGGAAGCAACGGGCTATTCCAATTCAGATTCTAGAGTCTGGGTCCTCAAGGATCAGTTCAAGATCGAGGTAATTCTCCAACGTGACCTGGCAGGCCTTCCAGAAATCTGCTCTGTATTCCTCGTCAGTAGTAAGTGATTCCAGCTACTTACAGTATTCCCTTACTGCTGCTTCTCAAGACCCAGGAATTATAAGAGGCTCGTCAGGTATATATATGGGTAGAAACAAAGTCACTATAGATACACCCGCTGTTTGTGCTCACAGAATATTAATAATGGTTAGGGGATATAGTTATCCAGTCAATATTATATCCGTCTTTTTCAACCTTCTACCTATCTGGCTTTCCAGAACCAGATCCTGACAGATCTCGCTAGGGATATCATTATAACAGTTAAGGCTCCCTCTATTATTAATATACTTAATAAGTCTCTCTAGATATAGGGCTCTCAGTTTATAATGTTTCTTGTCTGTCAGATCCTCCTAGTACTAATCAGACCTAAGCAGGCATAACTAAACATTGTAATACATATGCTTATAAATAAGACTCTATATTACAGTTCGCCTAATTCTCTCTTCCTCGGCAGCAATATAGGCCTCTTACTTAGCCACTATTCTGCTTATTACAGATATATAGCCTCTCTTTTCAACTCTCCTTAATATAAATATAGACTAATTATTATCTTTACTCCTATAATTAAAAATAAGAACTATAGTAAGCTTCTTGCTAATATACAGCAAATTAATCTATTTATATAGCTGCTTCTCCACTGATTTCTAGTCAATATTAGTAGAATTATAGAATTTTTTAATCTTTCTCTGGGACCGGTCGTTCGATTCTATCATAATATCTGTACCCTTAGATCAAACTCTCTAGTAGTGTTTCTTTTTTATTTACAGTATACCTTCAACATCTGCTTTCAGAGTCTTCTCCTAATATCCGCTAGGGGCTATAGCCAAATTTTCTTCTATTACTCTACCTACCGCCTTACGGTTCAGTATAAACTTCTACTTAATTATATAGTAAAGATTTTTCAGAGGCTCCTTATCGTATTCGCTACCTTTTTCCCATTCAAAAAAGGGTAGGAAATTAAGTTAATCCGATTATAGCTAATCTGTAGCACAATACAGGGCAGGGCTCAGGGAGTACAAGATTACAGGTATACTAGCAAAGTTACCAGGAGTAGGGGCATATTCCCATAGGTCGATCATCCGGGATTAAGCGGCATCTTCAGCAAAATAGCTCTGGGTCATCACAAATATCTCTGGGGGAGGGGAAAGCCTCAAGCTATAAGTGGTCAGCCAGGACTACCTAATACCCAATAAAGACCCAAAGTTGCCACACAGCGATTAGCGATAGTAATCACAAAACAAATCTTACTGTCAAGCCTTACCTATCACTTTAGCTCAAGATAGACACTCAGGACAGCGCCAGACCCTCTGCAGTAAATCAACTGCGGGATAGAGGAGGAAAGTTGACAAATTCCCAACGGTTGCCTAGTTTGCTCGGTTTGCATAGATCCTTCTAGTCGTACACCCCTGATTGTTATACTCATACAGATGGGTACAATGCTAGGTATTATTACGCTGTATATACAAAATTGGTAGCTTACACCAAATCCGTATTAGGTTAGTATATCATATAATTAGGGCTTGAAATAGTATCTCTACCTGTCCCGATTTGGAAGGCAGAAACGGCTGGCACTGTACAACTTGAAAGCAACTTGAAAGCAACGCGCACGGGGACAAATAATTGTGTGTCAAAAGACCTAGAGCTTAATCAACAGTGATGGTAATAGTAGTGTTATTGAGTTGTGAAACACATTATGTGGGCATAATTCCTGTATGCATTCTAAGATGGTGGCATTTCCATCAGGGATCCCATTGTATAGTTGGAGTATCTAATCGGGTGGGTCACATGCCTAGCCTCAACCCCGCGGGAAAAAAGTTCGCTGCTACACCTCCGCAACAGCCCACCATGCCAGTAAGAACACCCACTAATGACCCTCGAGGCTTGAATTAACTCAACCGCAGCTCGTTATCCTCACCGGGTATCCCTGCTCCGGTCTCAGCTACCGCGCAAATCAACTTGCGTCGCTCCTCGAGAAAGCGCAAGATGAGATCTTCGCGACCACTGACGCAGAGTCGCCCCCATCACTAAAATTCCGGTACAAGATCCACGTCGTTTCGTCGCACGATAACAGCTCCTACCCTCGTACTGTCTACGACCATGCCAGAACAGAGAAGGAGGCTCGCGGTGTCGCATATGCGCGTGCGAAGCGTGTGGTGGCCAAGGACAGCATTGTGATCTTGGACGGCATGAACTACATCAAAGGGTGGCGGTACCAGCTTTGGTGCGAGAGTAAGGCGGCGGGGACTTCATGCTGTGTGGTAAGATTTCAGGTTATACATACGTGGAAAGGGTAGACAATGGCTAACTGAAGTTCGTCTAGGTGCACGTTGGTACTCCCGTTGATCAGTGTGTCGCGAATAACAAGGCCCGTTTGGATCGGGATGCAGCCCAGGAAAAGGATACATCTTTGCCAGAGCAACCGAATCCCTCAAGCGATACTACCGCCCCAGTCCAAACATCAGACACCGAGCAAGCTTATTCGCGCGAACTCCTCGACAACCTCATCTTCCGCTACGAAGAACCGAGCACACACAGCCGCTGGGACAAACCTCTCTTCACAGTACCTTGGGAGGATGCCGAACCCCCGGTAGCTGATATATTCCACGCCCTCACCGGGGTAGTCCTTCCATCCGCCGAGGTACCCGTCGTAACGCCAGTCTCCAACCTCATCGAATCCCTCACCTCAACCAACCTTTCCTCCGCCGCCAGCACAACAACCACAGCGCGAACCTTTACCCGCGGAACCTCAACTCGACCCAGAATCGTCGCTCACCAAGCCACAACACAAGCTGCGGTCACAGATCCAGGCGCTCTCTACGCAATGGAGAAACGCACGACGGCCGTCGTCAATGCAATCCGCACCTTCACCCTATCCAACCCCTCCGCCGAAGAAGCTCTCGCGCAGAGCGAAAACCCCCACGGCATCGCGATCGATGTCCCCGAAGCTTCAATTCCTATTCTTATCCCCGTTCACGTCGCCACAAGCGGGACCACGGATGAATTGGCCGGTGCAGGTGGAGTTCTCGCGGCGCCGAAACTGCAACGCCTGCGGAGACAGTGGATTAGTTTGAATCGGAGATACCTTAGTCACGGTCATGGTGAGAAGCAAGGTGGTTTGGCGGCTGATCAAGTCGGGGATGCATTTGTGCGCTTTTTGAATAGTAGTATTGGAGGTGAGGATGGATTGGAAGCATAGATGGAGGACGCATCAATGCTGGCGAGGAAAAAATGCCACATTGCACATTCTGTTGATAGGAGCTATTGAGATATGATTAATGAGCTTATGATATAAATCTACAGTCATATAAGATATTATTCCGTCTTAATTAAGCTGTAACAGAATCGGGACTGTCGTTTTTTTCTTCTTCTTTACTACACATTGAGTGAAGGTCAAACTTAAAGGGGAACGCGCAAATCAAACAGGCATAACTATGGCGCTCTATATCGGTAACGGACTCAATGGCCCCCTATCCCTCCCAATCCATACCATGAAGAACAGGACTATTGGTGTATCTACATAAAATTCCCGTTCCGAAATTCATTTCATATTTGCGATGGTTTGTGATCCACCATCCCTAGGTATAAGGTCCTTGCGAATCCAAAGGTTGCTCGCGCCTACAATACAAATGTAATCTATTCAATGCAGAGCATATTTCAACGTCATCAGAATGGCTTGGAAGGCTATAAGCATCATAATCAAGCCACATTTGCCTTGTTCTCGGAGATTTCGCATCTGCCAATGGCTTTCTGTGACGTGCCATGGTTAGACAGCTTCAAAGATCGATAAAAGCGAACTTACTCATGGCTATTGAAGACTGCAAATCCAGCGGAAATAATGAGCACAGGCCGAGCAAGATCAGCGATAATCTGCTTGACTGGCGCGGCAGCAAAGGGTGATATTATGATTGAGCCTTCGTCAATTTCCGCAAATCCTCCTGCTCCGTGAGTTCCAACAATTTTGAATCCCTTCTTGGTCAGGATATCTTCTGCGACCTCTGTATACTCTGGGTCTTGGGCAAGCAATGGCAATGTTTCATGGCCACGACAAAGTTGAGCGATAGTAAGAGCCATCGAATGCTGGATCATGCAGCCCGTCACATTTTTGACCTCCGAGTTCTCATCCCAAGTATCGTCCTGCTTTTTTAGCCATTCAGGCGCAGTGCGGCAAAAATCACCAAGCCCATAGCAGAGAACTTTCTTCGCAGTTTTTGTACCAAGTACATCTTGGACCAAGGCTACCAATTGCTTGCAGGTCTTGCTATTCTGCCACAACAATTGTTTCTCGTCAAAGATTTGCATAGGCTGTGCTATAAGCTCTCGAAAGTCTCGTGCAGTCCGATTGCTCCAATCCACAATGTAAGAGCATAAGTAAGTTTCGACTGGGCCCTTAGGTTGTGCTCTCACAAGTTGCCAATATTCTTGGTACCTGACATAGGGTTTCCTAAGGCAAACTTAGATTGCAGGCCGAAATTCGGTCAGAATACCATACCCACGTACCAGATAGGATTCTGTACTTGGAACATAGGATTGGAAATTTGGATTATGCTTCCATCGATTCGACGGACAGAAAATCGCTCCATCGCATAGGATTGGCGCAATTGTTGTTCTATGTCTTCGAGATCCTCTTTCGCCCAAAGCCTAGTACCAGAACTGTATAGATCTGCGGCTCTTTGGCTACTGATCCGCCAATCCGTGCACCCGTAGTCGAGCGGTCCTAGAGTTTGTGGCATAGTCTCGTAGCTGCTAGTCGAGCAAGGGTGAGGAATAAACTACGTGGCGGGTTGTTGGGAGGAAAATGCCCAAGATTGTTTGGAAGGGGATAAGTTTATTCGTGTACAAGGCCCAGAAAATAAAAGGCTAGAACTGAGCTGTGATACACGATTGTCTGCTTATACCACATTTCACGCCACGTTCTACCCCGCTTTTGATACCCTATTGTTAATTGGGAGGAGCGAGGTTTGACAGCGTATTGGGACGCTAAATCTAAAAGGGCAAAACTAACCAGATCTAGTAGCTCACAGGTCCGCCGTTTACACTGTCTAAATAACGTTTCTTCGGCGTATTTGGGGTCCTTTGGCCGGCTTGGACGGCCGCACCACAAGTGCTAAACATATCCATATATACAGGCCTCTATGAAGAACCAAGTTCATTTTGTTGTTTAACCCATAGCAAAGCCACTTGGAGCCACTTAAAAGTCATTACGCATATGATGCTTAGCATCTAAATTGGACTGATAGAGACTTGGTTGTACCAAATGCCGATTCCGAGACCGGCATGACTTCAAAATGTTACAGGCTCAGGAAACAAGAATTATGTCATAGCCCGCAAAAAGGCCTTCGCAACAGAAAGTGTAGCTACATTTCGAAACAAAATGGAATATAAATGAAATGCACCATAGCATACATTTGAATGATTGGCTAGTACTAGTAATTATAGTAATTGTAATGCAAGAACACCCGGGGCTTCACCTGACAATCCATAGAAGCCTTTAATACAGTTTTCAGCAGTATAAAGGCTGGTCCAACCGAACCTTCTATATATTAATGTTGACATGTATCTAATATGCTTTCTTGGCTTTTCACTGATGGAGCCAAGGACTGGACAAGGCCCAAAACAAAATCTTCGAACCCAGTTGCTTTTCGGCGAATGAGGTGAATTCGTCCTTTGTGAAAGGCTTGCTGGTGTTTGGATTGATAGCCGCCAAATCTGGTTCCTGCACTGCAACCACATTGATAGGGACCTTATTCCGATATTCCGACATGTATGGGTAGGCGTTATTCTCCATGGTTTGCTTGAAGGGAATATTGTCTGGTCCACCCACACCCACACCATGGTCTGCAAAGAACTGGAACGAGTCGGAGAGGTAGTTATTCTCGTTTGCCCAGCCGCAAGGCCAGAAGTTGACGTACTGGACGGCAAAGGAGCGACGGAATACCTTGGCTGCGTAGCGGGCATTATCTAGAGTACCCTCGAAATAGGCTTGGCAGGTATAGCCGGTGGCATTGTTGTTGGACTGAACTTCGATTGCGGTCTCTGGGAGGTTGAAGCCATAAACTTTTCCATCGAACTTGACTGCAAGAGCCTTTAACAAACTCTGGAACCTTTCACGGACATGGGAATTCCATTGCGCTGCAGCCCAACCGCCTGCGACAAAGTCGCTGTCGCAATCGTCTCCATCACACTGAGGCACGCTGCCGTTGTTGTAGATTGGTTTATGAAGGTATCTCGGCACAGGATTGTATTCGATGCTGAAAGAGCGGTCCTGGATCTGGACCCAGAGATGTTTGCCCTTGGACCGCGTATGGTTCAAATCTTTCTCAATGGCAGAGAAATCGTATTGGTCTCTCTGCGGCTCGAGAGACTTCCAGCTGTAAAGGTTCTGGATACCTTGGATTTCTGGGTGCTCCAAGAGAGAAAGAGCTTCCTTGTCGATGTCGCTGGTGTATAGCCAATGAGACAATGAAGAGTTGGAAGAAGCCTTGCCATTGACCGGGCAGATGACAGACAGGATGCCGACTGCCAGGACGTGAAGGCTCAACTGCATGCTTGTAATGTCCACAGATTTGGAAAAAGAAAGTCTTTGAGTTGTTATTGATGTCAACCTAGACAGTTGGAAATGCACTCCCCTTTAAGTACAATGAATTCCTCCTGCCTGAAACATTAGATTTTAGAAACAAACCCATATAACCATTGCGCGGCGTAGGCCGACCATGTAACTTCGATCCACTTTTTCCAAGACATACTTGTGCCGAACTACCAATTGGACTTTCGCTGAAAACCCATAAAACTCAATCACAACTGTGCTGAAGAATGCCATTTATTCTATCTTCTGGTAGCGAACTGGGTTCTTCCCCACATGCCGTTCTTGCATCGCGCTAACAATTTTACAGGTAGTATGAGTAGAACAGGGCGGTTCTAAAATAGATTCAGTCTCTCAACACAGCTTTTTTCTCCAACCCCTATTCAGAAACACCCTAATCCATTCATGTTTAACTCTGTTTCAAGCATTGAATTGCATTGAAAGTTCATATATGTGAGAATTTAGATACCCCTTCAGCAAAACCCAGCTCATGTAGCTCTTTAATCGACGAACAGTCGAACCCTTCATGATTTCTGCATTAAAGTATTCTTGGAGTTATCAGGACTCGATCCTGAAATAACGATATGCAAAATCGTCGTTTTATTATGATATGGAACACTGCCCTGTCCTTCTTGTACCTTTTTTAGCTCCACGGACATGATGACATAAACAACAAATGCTCAATTTGGAAACTTACTCAATACCCGGAAATCGTTGAAAACTATTTATGGATAGTTCCCACAGATTCTGGAGCTTCACTGTTGATGGCTACAAGGTTGGTAGCAAACCCGGCTCAGGTTTGATCCATATTGCCGACACTGACATCACCTTGCTCCTTCTGAACAATTTGGGATAGTGAGGCACTAGCTAGCAACGTAGGTAAAGACAAACAAATTTTCTCAACAGGAACAAATCAGTTTGCCATTGTCTCAATCCTTGTTTGGCTCTGGGAACTACCGGCAGTACCATAGTACATACTACTTACTACTGACTGGTAAGGGTTGATCGGGAGCGACCTCGGATGGGGCTTACTGCGGCTACGGCATACTCGGCCGATGTGCCCTCTTCTAAGTAGTATTACTATTTTATCCTAGAATTCAAATTGTATGAAATAAAATTATTGATTTTTCTTTCATTTTCATAATATTTTTGATATTTTGAAGGGGTGATGGAACGCAGTGCAAAACAAACAAGCAGAACAAAAACAAAAACAATGCACTCTATAAATCAAAACACCTCCCAATCCACCATTTCTACTGTCGAATATTTCCATATTTCATAGTTGGATGAGATCGGTGACTGGTGCACCTGATCTTCAAACCCGTCCACCCCGGAGGTGAAGTACTGCACTGCACTGCAGTAAGTACTTACTCACTCCGAGTCTCAATTTCCAGGGTTTAGCCAGAATTTCTATGGGCAATTTCAGAGGTTCCTTGAAATCCTGCGTGCGGTGCTGTGAAGTGCCCGGCTCCAGTGCACGCGTTGCGATGCCTTCATCGATCCTTTGGGGAATTGGAATAACCGTGATGCCTGGTGGCTTTCCTCGACCTGGTCTATGCGGGGTTGAACCGGAGGGAAGAGGGAAGGGGAGTGGGTGTATCTCCTGGGCGAAAGAAGGTGCAAGTGAAAGTTCAATTGCAAATCAAGCCCTTGGTGATGACGATGAGAGTGGGGCCATCCAGGTGTTGAAATATCACGGCAGTCAGCGCGTCCATTTGAGTCCACGGTGGGTAAGTTTTAAAATGGTCCTCGCGGGGTCCTGAGAAAATCCTTCGCTGTGGTATCTTTTTCGAATGTTCGATCAAGATTCACAGGATCCTCGGTGTCTCTTCACGCAGGCAGGGGCAGTCCGTGCGGCATCTGAGAAACATGGCTCGCGTCGAGTTGGCGGTAGGTGAGTCCAAGGGTGAAAAGCTCATTGAGAGTGGCATTGACTTGTTCGTGCGCGGATATGTCTTGCGGGGTCATTTTTCCCACATGTTCAAGAAGACGTGCGTGGCACTGGTAGAAGTTCCGTTCGGCATTCTGCAGACGCTGTCCGTACTGGACAGTAGCCTGGTTGGCCTTGGCCGGTCCGTGGGAGTGGACGGAGCGGGTGCGCTTCATGGTGGGTGCCGGGGTAGGGCCGGTGACTCCACGTCTCTTGCGGCTGGCAGCTTCCTTCTTCTTGGCCGGGACGGCGGTAGGGGAGGTCTCTGGGGAGCTAAGGCGCTCGGAGGACTGGTAGTCGTGCACGCGGCGCATGTGGTCGTACAGGTTCCATCTACGGGGGAATCCATTTCCAGAGACGGATCGTTCACATCCCTCCCAAAGGCAGAGGTGAGGGTTGTCTCCGTGGCCATGTAATCCGTGGGCTTCGCGCTCATGGCGGAACAAGCACGCGTTGGAAGAAAAGCGCAGTTGGGTATCCACGCAGGCAGGGACCTTGCAGCGGTAGGGCTTCAGGTGAGAATCCAGATACTTGCTATAGGCGGTCTGTTAGCGATACTTCTGAAATATGAGATGCTCAAAGGCGGAATAAGGGAACTTGCTGGTAAGCGCATTTTTGCGTAGTGGCGGGGTGGTTGCATGGCTTATCTCCGGAGGCAAAAGGGCAATAGTACTTTCCGTCACTTTGGGTGGGCATGGAATAGTAGGGGTGCTCTCGCGGGCTGCGAGACTCGGACCCTTCCTTGGATCTCTGTCGGGTTGGCTCACGGAGGGGTGGGAAGAGCTCGGATTCCTGCTTGACCTGGGGTTGGGAGCCATTTGGCAATGTACCTCGGCGGGCAGGCTTGGAAGGCCGCATAGTCCTGTTAGGGAAGGGGGTTAGATAGAATTCTTGGTTGTTGTTTTTTTCGTTGCCTGTTCATGACGGCTTAGCTAGAACCTACCTGTTAGGGTCCTTTTCGCTGAGAGGGGTAGGGAACAGAGGCTCGGCAGGGTTGATTCCGTGGGCGGCCATGGGCGATGTGATGTAGTCTCCAATGAGAGTATCATCAGGTGCAAGATATGAAGGAAATCCAGGATGGGAGCAAGAGGAAGTAACAGAAAGATCATTACTAGCTTCCGTTAGAGGCGGAGAGACTGGCACAGTCTGGAAAATGCTGGATGACAGTTGATCAAGTGTAGTTCCAGGGTAGCCATCAGGCAGCATAGTATTCCATGGCTCGTGGCTGGAAATGAAATGGCCATCCTCAGTGTGGGAACTGTGTGCAACAGAGAGAGCATCATCCGGTGTGCTCGACTGTACATAGACATCATTATCCATGGAAGAAAGATCCACAAAGGAATAAATATCCCGCGGCAACTCATTATGATCATGCAGGTCTGTAACTGCTGGGAAGTCCACGCCTGTGTACATCACATCATGTGGTCCGACCGTGGGGGTCATGAGTTGAGAAGGCATTTGGAAAGCAAGCATTTGCATGTGAGGGGATTCCTTGGAAGACATGGCCTGGTCGAGGGAGTCTGTAGTGTTTATGTTCCAGTCTTTAATGTCCTGGTGGTTTCCATGGGGAATTGAGCACAAAGACGAAGTGTCATGGCTCGACAGTTCATCATCCTGGAGTGTTCTTGGGGCCATATTTGACATTCCTGTAACCATGGAGGCGTGTCTGGATTGAGAAAGAGAGAGCCTCTCGGGCTCGTTGCTAGTCCTGGGAGACATTGTGATATGTGTGGGTGTGTTGGAAAGCACTACAGAAAGCATCATCAAGTCAGTAATCATACACCTTTCGAGAGCGATAAATAAAAAAAAGCAGAAAGCAAAAGTGTAGAAGCTAGCTCCGGTATCCAGAGTTCGAGAACCTGCCAGTCATTAGCGAAAGCCAGCAGTGCGCAGGCGTTAAATTTGGACGCACCAAAAGCTCGTGGAAGGAAAATTAGTCCAGATTATGGAGGTCGACAAGGGTCCTTAGGGAATTCGGGATAAACGCAGCGCGTGTTAGGTCCATTTCGAAGTTCGGTGAGAGCCTGTTGCCAGTAGTAGGGTAACGGTTGAGTCCAGTTCACTTGTTGTCAGGGCTACAGTGTTGTCGAAGCATGATGATCCAAGGGATTGTCCAGTGTTTTAAGAAAGCATTATTTCTTAGTTCGGCCAGAAGCCATTGTGACAGGTCGGATCCATTATTAAGTCAGTGGCCAGAGTGAGTTATCCAGAAGCGGATGCTTCTATTTCGTATCTCGAGACAGACCGAAAGGTCTCAGGAGGTCCAGGGAGAGTTCCATTGGTTTGGCTGCGGTTCACGGCTGGTGATCAAGAATTCCATGGGTAGATAATTATATTTCCTTAGGCTGGGGTGGTAATATATCCAGGGCAGTTGGGTCCAGTAGAAGCAGTAGCAAGAAATCCAGGGAGTAGCAAGAAGCAAGCAGTCCATCCACTCGACTTCAGGGTTGAAGTGAGGGAGATCCATGGGTCAAAGTCAGGTCAGGTCAGGCCAGGGTCAAGATAGAAATCAATCCAGGGAGAATGTCCAGTGGAGAAGGAGTATCGATTGAGTGTGCAATCATTAAACAGCACTCATGAGAGTCCAGCTCAGCCAGCGGGTCGCCGACGAGCATCCGTGGCAAAGAAGACATTATTCTTTGGAGTTGCCAAGAGTGGCAGCAGCAGTAGCATCCAGCTAGATCAACGGATCTAACTATAAGTTCCAGGAGTCCAGGGGAATAAATTGAGATTGTCGAGGTCCAGGGATATATATTGACAAGTGGCGATTGGTACAGGTCCAGTTGTATAGATCCGGGAAAAGGGCAAGCAGAAAGAGCAAAAGAAAAGACAAGTGCGCATAGGGAAAGTAGAATGAAAAGGTGACGGGGACTACCTGATGTGTTTCGTATTGAATGCAGACTAGAAAAAAGCCTGGAAAACAGCAAAGCAAAGTCCAGTTCCGGGAGAAGTGGCAATGAGTAGTCCTTTGGGCAAGATAAACCAGGGCAAGGTTTGGGTTAAAAAGGCAAGTTGGTTGTCCGAGGGTCCAGGGACTGAATGGCGAATAGGGGTATATGTATATAGTGCAATGTAGTACTAAAGTCGTCTTGTTGTAGGTGATCGCAAGAGAGAAAGGGGTATCCTGAGTTGGGAAAGAGAAGAAGAAGAAGACAACAGGAACGGGGGGGGATCAGCAGCCTTTTTAGAAGCGGCCGGAGCCCACGCGGGCGGGTTCAGAAGAGTTCAGGAGAGAGTGGGGCCTATCAAAGCGTGTGCCAGAGTCGCATAGTGCAGCGGTGACCTGCCCTGTTGGCACCAGCGAGCAGCCAGTATTTGGTCGAGGGTGATGGCATCTGCATACTGGATTTTGCGTTGGCGGCATCCGAGTGGATCAGACGAGAGGGTGTTTGTAGCGGTGAGACGAGACCCGCGTCTAGTGGACTTGGCGGTGCAGTTGTATGATGATGATTGGATGGAAGCCAGGGCTGACGCTGCAGGATGATGTTCATTTGAAACGATCGGCATGTTCTCTTCGTGTGCTGATGGGGATTGTGTGGTGAAGAGGCGTCCACGTCGGGGTGATGCGGAAGAGAGGTTGCAGTCAGGTGCGGGATGTGTGATTGTGGTGGTGGTGGTAGTCTACTGTACTCTACAGTCCACTGCACTGTACAGGGTGATGAGAACCAGACTTGCATTCGCACTCTTTGATTGCATTCGTATTGACTAAAACTACTATTGTATGTACTATAAGGAATGACGACGCCATCATGGCGGGCCGGGGCGAGACCCACGTTGGGCAGCAATGCAGAAACTCTCGGAGATTGGGTATCTGGATCATCATCTGTTAGCCAATGATCCCTCATCAAATTGATGTGTAAAGTTTTCCAGAAACAAGTGGAGAGTCAGAAAAGAAAGATGGATAAAGGTTGTCGTTCAGCAATCCGAAGATCTTCAGTTGAACTATGCTTTGGTAAATTTGTTCATCATCCAGGTTGAGCTCAAGTTCGAGCTCGAGCTCGAGCTCGGCTTGGCTTGGCTTGGGGGGGGGAGGTGTGTGTGTGTGTGTGTGTGTGACGGAATTCAAATGAGACAGGGGAGTGCTTACCAGGTGGGGCAGTGAGAGTCGGTGATTGCTGGAGGTCAGTGATCAGACAGCGACAGCGCATGCGCTGAGGTGTTCTATGGTCAAGTCCATCATTGGGACGATTGGATGAAGGAGAAAGTTGGAAAAAGTGAGGCGGCAGTTTTGTGTGTGAAGCGGGTTATGTCAGCATGTCTTGGCATAAGTGGGCACTCCCTGGTCACACTAAACCAAGAAGGGTATCTACACTCCTCGTACACTCCATGCACACACTTCAATATGAACTGGACTGGCGGCCAATTGCGTCGCCATTCTGATCGCAAGGGCATCCTCTCTCAATTTCAGAGACAAAACTTTGCCAAGTCCCGCCAACGTGCCAATGACCGAGGGTCTCGCCAGCCGGTTACCTTCCCGGGCTTTCTCAATCTGAGGGACAGGCTCACAGTGGACGAGGGCACCGAACTGGTAGAGGAGAAGCAAGACGAGTCAGTACTGATATCATCGCTATTGCTTTAGCACTATTGCGCTGTTTCGCTTTGTCTTGTCTTGCCTTGCCTTGCCATTCATACTTGGGTCTCTGCCCGCGCATCATACTAACATTTCCAACGAGCTCCAGTCCACCACTCAACATTCCTCTTCACAACCCCTCCAAGCACCGATTTCTGCAAAGTTCCGACTGGGCTGCTGTATCTTTATCTCGCCCGCTGAGTATCAAATTCGCCCCGGCCGAGGAAGTCGAACGATTTGGCAAACGGCGTAAATTAAACGACGCCGACCGCCAACGCCTGTCCGCTGTCAACGGAAGACCGATCCCAGCCCTCTTTCATTCCCGTAGGAAAGCTCGAAGGCTTTCTTCTGAGCGAGATATCTATTTATCAGACCAGATCCAGATCCAGATCGATGGCCAACCGACTGATCTGCACCGACAGTCCAATATCAGACCTGAAATAACGCCAAGCCATCGCTCATCAGAATCCATTATTCTCGGCCAAAGCATTTCCGCGGCGCCCCGTTCTTCCGCCCATACTCACCAACAGGACAAACTCAAAAGCCCATGGCAAGGTCTCGGTGGTCTTCGCTCCAGCCTTGATTACCCAACCAATGCCTCAAGGGCCCTCTCGACCATCCCAGAAACAATCATACTACAAGATGCAACATTCACGACTCCATCCGGGATCACTGTTCGAGGTCGATCATTTCACAAGATAAACAACCAGAATACAAAATCAACTCAGCGTAACAGGCAGACTCTTACCCCTCCCGGGGGAACAATCCGATTCTACCGAGACCTTTCACTATTGACGACCAAGTTCTTACAGAGCAAAGGGGTCTAGATAGCTTTTCAGATACTGATCAGCACGGTATTTCTAGGTCATTGAGTCTGGTTTCTACGCTGATCGCGTTCCCCCTGAATGAGACTCAGATACAATCGAGTCAGCATGCCTCAAGCTGGCGACCGGAGCCTCGTCTTATTGACACACCACTTACAAACCATCCATCCCACGATACTGATTTTAGTGGTCCCCCCGAACCCAAAGGGGTGAGAGTGTTTGGCCAGCTTGTCCGTCTAAATACCGATGCTGGAATTAGCACATTCTGAATACGAGAAGGAATCATCATTGCTCTGTGGCTGCCAACGATCTCTTCAAGTTGTACTGATAATTATTATGTTAGGGTCGATCAGTCATGATCAATATAGATACGTCAATCACGGCCAAATAAGCCCCAATTTTTGAACACAACTTACAGTCATATTACTACTAGTAGTATCAGTCTTGGAGTCTTCTTGTATCAATTGAAAGTAGAAAGTAGTAGTAGTAGTAGTAGTAGTAGTAGTAGTAGTACACCTGCATAGTTTGGCTCTCCACATTCAACCCAAGGTTCGGGCACGTGCCGATCGGTCCCCGGATTCGGAAGTTCCAACGGGGCTCCACCTGACGACATCGTCCATTCAAGTTCAAGTCCCAGCCTCAAGATTCCCCCAACCTCCAACTCCAACATTCATCCATCGCTTCACCAAATTCACCACCATGCTACGACTCATCCCAATCCTAGCCTCGCTAGCAACAGGCGCCATAACCGCCGCAGTCCCGAACACCGTGACCAACTTGGACACCACAATCCAACTCCCCCTCGTAATCTGGCACGGCCTAGGCGACGACTTCGAACGCGAGGGCCTCCAATCCGTGGCCGACCTAGCAGCAACCACAAACCCAGACACATACGTGCACATAATCCGACTATCCGACACAGGCAGCGGCGACCGCCAAGCAACATTCTTCGGCAACGTAACCGAACAACTCTCAACAGTCTGCGCCCAACTAGCCTCAGACCCGATCCTCAAATCCGCACCCGCCATCAACGCAATCGGTTTCTCCCAAGGAGGCCAGTTCCTCCGCGGCTACATCGAACGCTGCAATAACCCACCCGTCCACAATCTCGTCACATTCGGCAGTCAACATAACGGGATCTCGGAATTCCAGGACTGCAAAACGGGAGACTGGATCTGTAATGGTGCCGAGGCTCTCCTTCGCTCGGGACAGTGGACAGATTTCGTTCAGAGTCATCTCGTCCCCGCGCAGTACTTCCGTGATCCTGAATCTCTGGAGGAGTATCTTGAACACAGCAATTTCCTCGCCGATATCAATAATGAGCGGGAATTGAAGAATGTGGACTATAAGAAGAGGTTGGGGTCGTTGAATCGGTTTGCGATGTACATGTTCGATGAAGACACTGTTGCCGTGCCGAAGGAATCTGCGATCTTTGCTGAGGTTAATATTACCAGTGGGACTGTGACGCCGTTGCAGGAACGTGCGCTTTACAAAGAAGATTGGCTTGGGTTGAAGAGTCTTGATGACGAGGGTAGACTGGATTTCAAGTCTGTTCCTGGTCAGCATATGCATTTGACTGAAAAGGTTCTGGAGAGGACTTTCAAGGAGTACTTCGGTCGCGTGGAGGAAAAGCAGTTACGGGCGCAGGAGGTACTCCCTGAGAAGGAGACATTCGGTGATGAGACGGATTCTCGGTCCCAGGGCTTGTTGGCTCAGATGCAGCCTGGCTTTTAAAGGGGATGATTCTCTTTATTTTTCTATCATGGCGTCCCACTGATCGATTTTAGCGATATTTTGTTTCTGTATTGTTTTATTTTGCTGGTGACTAGGAGTGGACTCAATGGCGAGTTTTCGGATATCTGTACAATGTATGGCATCATAGCTATATTCATTACTAACTGTGATTCTTTCTATAGAGTCAACTGATTCAAACCTACATCTACTACTACAAACGGCTCCTTTTTCCAAGTCGTAAAGACTCCAGCATCGTCTATTTTAAGTCTACCGACAATGTAGCTAGATACAGAACCCGCATTGAGCAGAAACCAGCAGTAAAAAACGGACACGGGTTATCAAGAATAGATCATATGCACGAATAGAGAAAGAAATGAAAATAAGACGTAGATAGGAGACCAGGTAGCGGACCGGGATGAATAGGTAAAACGAAAGGGAAAAAAATGAGGCAGTGGGCAAGACATTAGACTGCTCGATCAAGAGACGAGTCCAAGTGGGAAATTCCTCGCATTGCAAGGGCCGGGATGGGAAATTATAAACATGTACAAAACAAGGCAAAGAGAAACGAAATGGTGAGGGTGTAAGGTATTCGGCGAGTTAAATCGTCGCCGGGTCCGACTGTACAAGGGAGGGACTTGCAAAAGAGGGATGCAAAAAAATGAAAAACTATTTTAGTATGGCGGTCGTCCGATGCCACCGCCACTGACATGCCGCCTGCTGTTGTAGCCACCGCCCACCAGGGACTTGGAGGCCGGGACCGCGGTTGCTGGACGATCTCCGTTTGCCAGCATGCTGCCATCTGGTGAGAGATATCCGTCTAAGATACGTCTCAAGTGGTCTTTTTGCGCGTGGTCCAGGGAGTCGGTGCCATTGGTCTCGGCACCGCGGAACACCTCTGAGATGCCGGCAGCTAGGTTGTTATTGGATCGACTTTTATTGCGAGTCAGGTGTGCGTTTCGTGAGTTTGGTCCTGACTTGCTCTGGACCGAGGACTGCCGCGAGACATCAGGGGCGGTGGATGGGCGATCAATTGAGATCAATGACCGTTGCGAATCATTCGGAAAGCCACCGGGGATATGCAGGGTTGGAGGGATGGGGGGAACAGGCGGGATATCTTCATCAGAGTTCACCCGGCTCAAAGTCGGCTCATTGTTATCTCTGATAGGCTTCTCTCCCGAAAGAGCAATTTCTGACGCTGATGCTCGTGGCGTTTCTACACCCTCTTCTTCAGGAGTTTGGTCTCCATCTTGTTGGAATCCTTCCCCATCTACCTCGGAGACGGAGAATGACCCACTAACCATGCTCTCGCTACCAGAGGAAACGACACTCTCATTCGAGGTATCGAGCTGATCTCGCAGCGGGCTGAGTTTTCGGGGCTGAGAGTCGTGATTCACCGATAAAACTCGGCGCAGCTCAGTGACACGAACGGGGGATCCCCTGGTGGAGCTAGGCTCCGAAGTACGCGATATTTCGGGGACGCTGGTGCGACGGTTTTTATTCGAAGCTGAACCAGCAGGAGAACCGTTTGCGAGGCCATTGCCCTGACTTGCGCGAGCCATGGTACCCCCGCGCGAGCCGCTGATAGATAGTGTCTTGATGCTCTCCTTCTCCACAGCAGCGAGACAGGATTCACGGGACCAAGACGAGAGCATTTGCTCCTTGACGGCCGACGGGAGACCGCTGTTTGGTTGAGTTGGCGCTGCCACCGAGGCGTGGTTGAGAACCGGGAAGCTGAAGCCTCGTGCGGGAGGGGAGGTCGGGGGACTCTGTGGCGGGGGGGGAAATCGATTGACGGTATGCCTCGTCAATCCCATTAACAAGGTCATCGACGTTTCGGAAAGGCGTCAGCGTGGCTGGTGGCGCTGAATCCTCGTTGGTAGGCATTTGCTCATCCACGGCGATACCATCTAGAGCAGTCGGGGGCAATCTAATCTTAGAGAAATATTGACTCTTACTTTGCCTCTTCTCGATCTCGTTGCGAATTTCGACCCCAGCGTGAGTGGATTCGAGATTGAACTTCTCCGACACTGCTGAGAGATACCCAAGAACCAGGCTGCCGATGTTGACACGGGCTGCGAAGCTGCCCAGGTCGACCGAGGTGAACAGGTCTTCCTGTAATTTTAGTACCATGGGAAGCCCGTATTGCGCCGCATTTACTCCAAGATTCTCAACAAGGCTTGTCAGGAGAAGATGGAAAACAAGGACATCAGATTCGACAGTGGGGTTCTCGAGAGCAGCATCATAGATAGCCAGGTGCAACAAACGAAGGAAAGTTGACTGTGCAGCGAGCGCCACCTTCTCTCGTTGGTTACCCGGAGCTGAGGTGCTACGCCGATTCAGCTTGTCCCGTTGCTCGGTGTCGCGTTTTGATGCCGGCTTGATATACTTCGGGATTTCCACTCGTGCGTTAAGATCGTGCTTGTTCGTTTCCAGCGAGAGCCAGGTTAGGAAAGCATCGGCATACGCGCGGCGAACTTGCGGGTCGGAGTCCCGCAGAAGGCCTTGTGTCCCTTCCCAAACGTGAATGCCCACCTTGTTCCTGGTTTCAGAGGCAGTCGACGTGCTCGGTGCTCTCAAGGTAGAAACCATAAGGATGGCCTTGACGGCACGCAGCGCAGTGACCTTGGCAGCAGCATGAGAGAAACTCTCTGCTTGGGCCTTTTCGCCAGTAATTTCCCCCGTTTGAGATGTCTCAGCAGTCGGCGACACACCTGTTTCGTGAACCGTAGCCAGAGAAGACTGTGCAGCACTATCAATGTTCGCGGACGGCTTGAAGCGCTTCAGAATCGCGCGGATCATATCTGCGACTTGGTCACCATAATAGATGTGAGTTGCCAGATCACCAATACAGTGCTCTAACAGGGTGAGAAGGTTCCTCCTTTGAGGAGAGATCGACACGCCCCCGACGCCCTGATATTCATCGGTCTTTTCTTGGTTTGCACCTTTCGTTTGGTTGGTGGTTGATAGAACAGCGGAAATGTAGCGGCTGAGGCCAAACTGAACGTCCATAACACTCAACCCGATCATGTTAACCGATGATTTGAGTAGCCAGTCTACCACGGAAAGAATAGTGTAAGACGAATCCAAGGCATCCTCCGTTGGCTTCATATCGTGAAGGATGTCCATTGCAGCCACTAAAATGACAAATCGCACCTGAACTGGGCACCAGTTTGCAATTAGTTCAATAAGTGAAGTGGCCCAGTTTCCAACGTTCTTTCCAGTGCTGGATTCACCCCGGCTGGCCTGTGGAAATCGTTTGCCGGCAATGAATTGTAGAGTAACCGATGCCGCCAGGCGAATCTGGCCGCGGTTGCTTCCGGATACGATTATTTTCTCGAGGCAGCGGAGTGCCAGCAGCCGCGCATCCATCTCTGCCTTTTTATCGGCGTCGGCGGTTGACTGTGCCGCGGATGTAGGATCACCTTCGACTGTGTCCACCGTATGAACAGTTGCAACACTCATTCGGCGGGGCAGTCGAGTACCTTCATTCTCAACCTTCTCGGAATCTTGAAGCATCTGCTTCAGCTGTATCAAGACATCTTCTTTCTCCGAGTAGAGATTTTCCAAGATAACAGGTAGAATGAGCTGCAAAGATGTTCCTCCGTCGGCGGCAAGGCTCTCCGAGCTGACGACACCCTTGATAGCGCGAAGACCGGCATTTCTCCATCGAATTGCAACCGGAAGGCTGACCTTAGTAGGGGAGTAAGTCGAAGAAGCTGGATCAGCGAAACTGGCGTATGACCGCACGACTTCACGATATTGTTGGGCGAGGGTCTGTTCCGCTGCGATGAGTGCGATATCTTGGTGCTGACAGAAGGTCTCGAATGTAGCGACAGAGTCTTCGACCATGGAAATATCGTTCGATTGTAAAACGGTTTCGATAACGGTTAGGACGAAGCGCGCGTAGATGGGAAGGTCGCGCGGACATTTTTCAATGAGCGCGGTGAGGATATGAAGAGCGACTTGAACATTCCTATTTGCAATTGGGCGTTAGTTCCTTGCATCGTGCATGCACGCGAGACGCTAACTATCCCCATGAATTCCTTTCCACTCACCCTAATCTACGTCTCCAAACGTCCTTGGATACTCGTTTCGTGAGAAAAGCCCCGACCTTGGTCAGCTTGCTGCGACGCGTGCTCAGATAATATAGCAGATATGAGAGCTCGCTCGGGTTCGGAATGACTTCCACCACGCCCTTTTGGTATTGCGGATAGCATTTCAGCGTTAGAACCTGGTGCCTTGGTCGACAGGCCTGGCGAACGGAGGCCATGAAGGGTATGGATGCCTCCCCGGGGGCAAAAGTTCCGCGGAGGCGCGGGGGCGGATTGAACGGAGGTGAAAGGATGGGAAGTGTACTCGAATGGTTGCGCGAGGAATTGGTTCAGAGCCAAAATATGGCGACAAAGAGGGGGAGAGCGATCAATGGAAAACGTTCGGAGCCACGGTGGACGGTGGACGAGAACGGGGCTGTCTGATCTCAGGTCGTTGACGATCACCACGACCAGGGGGGAAGAGTGGGGCTTTCAACTCCGCCGCGCTGGAAGTAACCCCAGGGCGATTAACTGTTAGGAACAGGCGATGAAGTGGGAACTGAACCACCTGAGAATTAAAAGCCGGGGGATCCGGCGCACAGCGATGGGGGGAGGGGAGGAGGTTTTGTTGGAACAGGCCAAAGTCAGAAAGAAGAAAAGAAAAAAAAGAAGGTTGGGGGAGCTCCGAGCGGCCACGATGGACAATGACGATGACAGGTCACCATCTACACTAAGCTCTACATAGTAAAAAGGGACCCGGTCAGACTGGAATTTTGGAGTGAAATACGGAGTACGAGTAGTAGTAATTGGATTTCTCTTAAAGATGGGGCTCCAATGAACAATTAATTGCCTCGGAGAGGACCACCTCGCCGAATGCGGCCATCAATGTAATGCTCTTCTCTCCCACGTTTGCTTCCAACAGGACGCTTGGTCCTTTGCAACCCCGCAAATACCATCAGTGAACCTGTGGGTGCATCAAGCCGGCTTTTAACATGGTTTCCTGGAATTGAACCAGTCTCGTTTCTGTTGCTGTGTTTGATCGACAAACCCTCCCCGGGGGGCCGATCGGCCTGATACCTCGGTCGCACATGTAGCACGCTCCCCTCCATCGCATATCATGGTTGTGATTGTGCTATGAAAGGCCGAGTAAGTTGGCGGGCAGCCCTTGTCCCTCGTGAGGGGAGCTGATATCGTACTGTAGATCTTTCTATCCTGCATTCTGGTTGGAGAGGGCTAGGGCGGTTGTAGAACCGAATAAGTCCTTGATGTCCCACACACGATCATGTCTTTGTACCATTTTGGTCCTCTTGCGGTTCGGCAATTTGGTCTGCAGCATTACCATCGGTAGCTGTAGCTGCAGCTGCAGCTACCGAGGGGTCATTGAGCACGCCCAGACCTGCAAGTCCTTCGATAACCTGAGGCAAGATGATCTCACGGCGGAACTTGTCCTCCTGAAGCAAACGAAGCGCGCGCAGAGTCGGACCAGGGTGAGTCAGGAACTGCGAGTATTCCGAGGTTTTCCAGTAGGAGTAGAGATAAGCGAGGTATGCGGTGAATGCCTCTGCATCGGTAGCAGAGGAGGATTCGTCGTCATCATCGGCGCGGGAGATTCCAAGGAGGCTCGGATAGCTGACTGCAAGGTGGGACAAGTAATAGGGATTGGCGAGGGAGGACACAAACTCGAGTTCCAGAGTAAATCGAGGGTTTGTAAGAGTGGGAGGAGGCTGCACGCCCTGAGTGTCGGTGGGCTGCGGCTCCATGATGTTGCTTCAGTTGACCTCAGTTGAAATGAAGCTTGAGGTTGAATGAAAGAGTGAAGCTCCCGGCAGGCGCAAGCGGGAGGCGGAAAAGGCGGGCCCCTTGCACTCCTCTACTGTGCAATGTAGTATACTAGTAATAGTTAACTACTACTAGTATCTACTCATATCACACTATAAACATTGATAGGCAACCTAGAAACACTACTTTGGAATTGAAACTGAAACGGGCTATCAAGCCTTCTCAAGAACGTCGTCTGTCTATATTGCAATTTCCATGATATTATTTTTCCCCTAGCCTAGCTTCCCTCTTAGCAGATCTTCATGGCTCACATTATATACAAAGGCAGTTTGGCCGAGTGGTCTAAGGCGATTGACTAGAAATCAATTCTCTTCGGAGGCGGCGGTTCAAATCCGCCAGCTGTCGATTTTTGCTTTTCCTCATTTTTTCTTCTTATATCTAGGACAAGTTTCAGTAGCAGAGCACCTTATTTTTGCATACACACTAGACTATCACACAATATCCGGTCCTTTATTTACTTCAGGTCCATAGAGATCTGGAAATAAGACAGCTACATTCCACCGGTCTGTAAGAAATAGTGAATCCGTGTTGTCAAACCATTTGGCTTGAATTCCGATGACTATTTGACTAGCTGGATATCTTTGGTTAAGATGAAATCAAACTTGACGTTAGCATTACCAGCACTGAGGTTATAGACTGCCTTGATTAATGCAGGAAGGGCAATGGAATGGAGTATTCCGACTAGTATTCAAGTCGACATATATTTCCCACCTGGGGCAGCAACCTTGCCAGACAAATATGCAGTGATTGAAAGAACCCATACCTTATACTATGGTTAACAGATTTTTCTTCCTATTTTAAAGTTCAACTGAATTCAAGAACACCAGCTCCAGATATATTCGATTTGAGGAGTTGTAAACCACAATTGGCTAGGTCATTGCTCGTGGTTGTAAAGATCTAGCAAAATCCTCAATAAAGATCTGCCTGCAGAGTATCGGTTTGTTACACCGTGACTCTTAAATCCTAGCGATCGAGCCCGTGGGCTGGCAATTTTGCAGCTTGTACAGCTGCAATGCATCTCCGCATTCGAGGCGCAAACAAGCTAGTCTAGTGAGACGGAAAAGTCATTAGCAGCACCAATTATCACCAACCCTCAAAGTTCCCTCCACCCTCTTCACCCTCCTGGGCCCCACAAATTTCCCTTGATGACCGTGCAGGTCATGCCCCTTTGGACAATCTCACAATAACGGATCAGGAAGTTTCCTCCGTCCAAGACAAATTTCATCCTATTCAGGGGGGTTTGGTGGTGACTTGGGAAGTTCACAATACGAGAAGCTTAACTCCGAGCTCGCCAGACTCCCCACCCTCTACTACCAAAACCTAGTACAAGCCCTTATTACTCTGGGGTAGCTTCCCCACGCTCGTGTGGATATCCATTCTTCCGGGGTAGTCTTTTGCCCCAGGATTCCCCGAGAAATGGCCAAGCGTGGGCCAAAGTCCATTTGCGGAGTAATTTATTGCGTCTAGGGACGGACACGCTGCGTATCTATCAAAAGAGCGGGGTCTGGGGAAATGCTTCGAAGCGAGCTTTCATGAAAAGCATAAATACTCCTTGGAATGCCCGAGGATGGACAGGTGAAACTGAGCAGAAGCCGTTCGAGGTATCCCAATCGCCATGAGACCAAATTCTTGGAGCCCTCGGGCATTGAGCCTGGCAACACTCGCATGCAGTATTACTACTGTAGTAGCAACCTCTTTGAAAGACGTCTGCACTGTTGAATATGTTCAATCCAAACTCCCAGCATCCGATTTTATCCAAGGAATTACTCTTGACCCATCCTCTGTTACGACAAACGTTGTTTCCAATGCGTCGAACCCCACGAATGGGGCCTTTTTCCCGGCAGCCAGCTTTTCATACTGCAATATGACGTTAGCATATTCTCACAATGGCCGCGGAGATCAAGTTCTCGTCCAGTATTGGTTGCCAGACCCTGCCAAATTCGAGAATCGATACCTGTCGACCGGTGGTGGGGGTTATGCAATCTATTCAGGTGATCGATCCCTCCCAGGAGGTATTATGTATGGTGCGGTTGCAGGAGCCACTGATGGTGGATTTGGAAGCTTCAATACGCAGGCAGATGCCGCTATGCTTCTCAGCAATGGCACTCTCGACTACGAAACATTGTACATGTTTGGATATAAAGCCCATTGGGAACTCAGCAAGATCGGCAAACAGTTTACTCGCAATTTCTTCAACATGAAAGCTTCAAAAAAACTGTACTCCTACTATCAAGGCTGTTCCGAGGGAGGCCGAGAGGGTTGGAGTCAGATTCAGCGATATGGAGACGAATGGGATGGCGCAGCTATTGGAGCGCCTGCTTTCCGCTGGTCTTTCCAGCAGACGCAGCATCTCTATTCCAACATTGTCACGAAGACACTTGGCTATTATCCGCCTCCTTGCGAGCTGGAGAAGATTGTCAACGAAACAATTTCTGCCTGCGATTCTCTTGATGGGTTGGTGGACGGCGTTGTCTCTCGATCTGACCTTTGCGAATTACATTTCGATCTCTCCACTGTGGTTGGTAAGCCTTATTACTGCGCAGCCTCGTCTGGCGGTTCTGGCTACGGTAAACGCAAGAGACAAATGGCCACGGCGTCAACACCAGCTCAAAACGGCACCGTCTCGAAAGAAGCTGTCGAGGTTGCCAAGGAGGTCATTCGTGGCCTTCGCGATTCGAAGGGTCGCCAAGTGTATCTATCATATCAAACTGCTGCCGATTTTGATGACGTTACGACTCAATATAACTCGGAGACTGAAAAGTGGGAGCTCGAGGTTGATCAACTAGGCGCTGAGCACATCGCCTTGCTCGTGGACAAAAATGGCACCACGTTGTCTAATCTTGACGGTGTGACTTATGACACTCTCAAAGATTGGATGATCAGTGGAATGCAAGAATATGGTTCAACACTGCAGACCAACTGGCCCGATCTCACGCCATTCCAGAAGGCCGGTGGAAAAGTCATCCATTTCCATGGAGAAGCGGACAATTCTATTCCCACGGCTTCAAGCGTCAGATATTGGGAATCGGTCCGCAGCATCATGTACCCCGACAAGTCTTATACGCAGGGCGCCGCCGCCCTGCGAGACTGGTATCAGCTATACCTTGTCCCTGGTGCCGCTCACTGTGCCACCAACCCGCTCATGCCCAATGGCCCTTTCCCTCAGACCAATTTGCAGGTGCTCATCAACTGGGTGGAGAAAGATGTTAAGCCAGTAACCCTCAATGCTACTGTCCTACAGGGCGAGCATATGGGTGAGAATCGCCAGATTTGTGGATGGCCACTTCGCCCGAAGTGGAAGAAGGGTAAGATGGAGTGTGAGTACGATCAAACCTCCATTAATACTTGGCATTATGACTTGAACGCTGTCCCACTGCCGGTGTACTAGAGATGCGCAGTGTAAGTGGTAAGGGAGAAGGGGCAGGAATGCCCAGAGCCTCGATGAGACTCGGGGCACCCCTGGACTATGTTTTAGTAAAGCTAGAAACTCTGAAGAAGCTTGAAGAAACTATAAATGATGAAGACATTGACAGCTGAGCATGCACTTTTATTTGGAGTAGTTCGTGGTTATAAGGCCTAGTATGCTCGGCGGTCCACAACAGATCGGTCCTTTGTAGCAATGGTAGAAACAGACGGCAATAGGTTTTGCTTGGACAGTCAGCTAGAAGACGACGTTCAAGTCCACGCTAATGAACCGAAGGATATTATTTTTCGTTGAGAAGAGCCGCTGTTTGATATGGGATTGTTTCAGTTTGTTTCAGTATCCACTGTGGAATTTGCCCGTCTACTCTGTGGGTGCTCTTTACTGATGGTCGTACTTTCCATTTCCATTTCCAGCCTTCCTCTACCTGTCAACCATCATCTCTGAGAATCGCAAGATTCACCACATCTCATCAGCACTACCTCCCTGCTACCTCAAAAACCATCATCTCTCCCTAATACGCATCTCCACAACCTTGAGAGGACCCCGACAGCCTGATAATCATGAAAGCAAACTTGGATCTTTCGAAGCAACCTGTGAAGCGAACGACCATAGCCGAGTTAGACACCAGTGCGACGAGGCCCAATCCTCAACAGTTATCGACTGCCAACACCCACAACCGGAGTCTCCTCTACACGGCTGAGAATACTGGCAACCCTCTTTCCACCGGAAACACCCTGACAGACGAACAGCGCGCTGATTTTTCGGACATGATAAAGGGTCTAAAAGAAGCTTCCCATCCCGCCCCACCTGCAGCATGCGTTATCGCTGAAGCAACGGTAAAACGCTTCAAATACCTCTTCGAGACGGTCCCAACCGACGCTCTGAAATGGTGGCCTGAGATATTCGTGCTCGGAGAATTGGCCGTGAGAGTAAGGGGCATCTCTCATCGCAATCCTGGTCTGCTGGACTCTGGAGTTCTACCACAAGAGGTAGTCCGTGCCTTCCACGAACTTACGGAGATACAACTCGCAAGCTCTGCGCGGGCTGAAGACATTCTGCACGAACTGAAAGAAGTCTTTCCTACGAATCTTTCCTTTGACTCCGTTATGACCACTGAAATGGAACAGTCCGGTTCCTCTTCCCTTTCCTCCCCGCATTCCCTTCCTGATGTCGTTTCTAAAGCTCCGATTTAAGCGGATATTACTTGCCCTTTTCTTTTTCACGTCGTCCCAGGTGATCTCGAGGATCTCTGCAATCTAGCACTATCTTTTCCGCATCTTTAGGCGGGGGTTTCTTTTCTGCCTAGGTGTTCTTTTTCATGGTCATCTACTTCTGAGCTGGTTACTTCTCTGAATTGATTTCGGATCATTTATGTGGCGTTCAAGATAACCAATTCATTCAAAGTTACCATTCTGCACCCTTCCTGGATACATATTCATACCTACTAGTACTACTAGTAGTAGCTACTAGCTAGTATAGCCACCCGAACTCAGGCTGCTATAATGATACGAATGGTTAAGATGTCATACTATACGGAAAACTACTCCACGGACCCTGAATAAAGTTATATTTAGTACTCCGTAGTACTAGCAGTACTAGTAACTACAAACGGGTGCCCAGGTGTCTCATCGGATGTGCATTGCCGAGCTCGGGCCCGTCACTTGCTGCCTGCGTCGATCCCACCCACCATTACCCACAACGAGTCGGTGCGGTGAGCCCATGAGGGATTGCAATTACAATTACAATTCCAATTACGATTCAGACGGCGAACCATCTGCAGTGGCCAGAATTCACAAACCATTGGGAACCCAACTGCTTCCCCCGAGTGAACCGCAATGCATGGCAAGTTCGATCGATCACATGTACCACGGCCACGGCCAAAGTGCCCAGGTACCCGAAATGCAGATGAGCATTTGGTGTCCGCCCTAAACTACAGACTCCGGAACTCTCTCTGTACGTCATCAGGGGACCGAGAGATGGGTTGGCACTCTTGAACTCAAGAGCTCGTACGGAGTACATGGGATATGTTGAATACTCGGGGGCCCGTCGTCATCATGGATCCTGCCAAGGTGAGACCGCGGCGGTTGAGCAGATCGTCCTGTCAACTACATAATATTCCGGTATCCCGGCGGCACTGGATCTCTGGGGCCGTGCGAGATCGCGCAATTGGCGAGGCACCGCACCTCGCGTGTGCGCCAGCAATACGGTGAATCCACATTCCGCAGGCCCCAAGATGACATCAACCGGGGGATGCTGGGAATGCGGACGTCATTCCAAACGGCTGGGGGCCGAGTACTTTGTAGGAGTATACTCGTAAAGAGCAGGAAAGGACTGGAAGGACTGTGGCATAACCCCCTGCCAGTCAAAGGATCTTTCTCTTGTCTGTGTGTCCTCTGTTAAGGGGAAAATGTAATCTGCCCGCCACCCACCGTGGACGCCAGTGCGGGTGGAGCCCTGTCGATCGAGGGTATTTGCCCCTGGATTCTGACCCTAATTCAAGTCTGGGGAGGTTCTGCAGGCCAGCATTTAGCGTAAGAATCGAGACCTGTGGTGCATATCCAGTGGATTGCAATGTGCATGATGAATGTGGTCGGGGTATCAGTGTGTCTTGAACCTAGAGAAGAAGAGAAGAGTAGAAGTAGAAGTAGACAAGAAAGAAAGAGAGACCCTTGTGAAGAAGAAGAAGCGGTCCTGGCCGATCGCTCTTTACGTACGCCTTCCCCCCCCTCAAGTCGATCCCGTGCCCACTCACTTCCCTCTTCCCCTTCTCTGTCTTACCACCACACACTCTCTTTCTCCCCCCCCCCCCTTCTTCTCTCTTCCCATCTGTCGAGACGCACTTGGCTTCTTCTTGTTCTTGTTCTCGTCCTTTTGGCACTGCCATCCAACTCCTCCTACACTCTCCGTTTCATCGTCGACCAACCTACCCACCCCCAGTTGACTCGTGCGACACCACCTACATTTACTACCCGCCTTCTGATTGATGCAAACGCATCACTATCGCTCTCCACTCGTCCTCCGTTTCATCTCATAATCATGAATGCCCCTCCAGCGCTCGGGTACCCGCCCGGCGTCTCGCTGTCACAGACAGGTGCGTAATGCTCTTTTCTTTGCGACGAATGAACGCCCCACGATTCGTGTACTTCCCCTGATGGCGTTTCTTTGTTCGGGTTGCTATAAAAATGCCACCGTCGCCCCCTGATCGAAAGATGAGAACCCCTCCGATTGACGAGAAACTAACGTGAAACGATCGCTGCTGGACAGACCAAGTCTCACCGACAGCTGCCAATTTTGGCTCCAACAATCCCTTTCGAAACCGCGCTCTGTCTCCGTCTGCCGGCTCTACCAGTTCGCGCCCGGAGCGTCCTAGATCGACGAACCCATTTCTTGACGACACTGAAGCGCTCTCACCGCAATCAGCCCCTGGCATTTCGAGCGGACCCAGCATGTTCTCACCGACCGAGAAGCCGGACGCCACTAACAATACCCGCGACCTCTTCGTATGTTCTGTCGCCGACGGCCTTGTGATGGATGACTTGCTAATAAGTTGTAGGAAAACCTTTCACTAGGCTCCAAGCCCACTACTCCCGCCACACGAGGCATTCGACCTCCCACCGATAGCGCTTCTCGCGATGCCCGCGGGCCGTCTAGCCGCCCGCGTCCTCCGAGAGAGCGTCCGTCAGGGCGCCCCGCAGAATCGCGACCAAAGGACCCGAAGGATCCATTCGATATTTTCGCCGATCCTCCTCCCCTATCCAAGGCTGCTACTTCGGGCCCCCCCCTAAAAGCAGCTCCCGCAGACGACGCCGCAATTCCGAGTCCTCGGTGATGGAGCGGGCCTCCAAGATTTTCGACGATGACGATGAGCGCCGCCGAAGGGAACGCCGCCATCGTGAACGTGAACGTCAGCGTGATGGCAAGTCCCGCTCGTCTCGCAAGGACCGCCGATTGGACATCATCGATAAGCTGGATGTGACTAGTATTTACGGAACCGGCAGTGAGATCTCCTCTAATCTAATTCCTCCCATTTTGCACTTTGCTGATTCAATCTAGTGTTCCACCATGACGGTCCTTTTGATGCCTGCAACCCCCACCGCAACCGAAAAGGCTCCCGTGTCGCGCCCATGCAAGCATTCCCAAAGAACTCTACGAATATGGCTCTGGGCGGCTCGGGCCCAAATAACTCCAACATCGACCTGAACCTCTTCCACGGTAGAATGGAAGAAGGCTACAACGATTTCTCAACCTCGGCCGCGCAACGCACCGGCACAGAGACCGTCAGCTTCGACCCCAGATCCCTCGTGGACCCCATCCACGGATCCGAAACCGCTGGTCTCGGCACAAGCACATTCCTAGACGGTGCGCCCGCAAGCCGCTCAGCAATGGCCCGCCGCCAGAGCGAGAACGACCAAGGCCTCGCACCTTCCGGCGGTCTCGCACGGAAGAAGAGTCTCGCCCAGCGGTTACGGGGGAAGAGCGGTACTGGTCGAATGATGTCCCCCACAGAGCCAAGCTTCCCTGCGCCTGCGCCAGCGGCGCCCGTGGGCTCGAGCCAATCTCCTTCGTCCCGCAACAACGAGCCGGACCCTTACTTCCAGGATTACGACGAGGAATATGACAAGAAGGCGGCGCGTATTCAGGAGTCGCGCCTGGAAGGTGGAGGTGGTCGTCTTCGCTCTTCCAGTAGCCCTAAGCAAGCGACTGGCTTGGAGCGCAAATCTACCAACGATCGTGCTTCGGACGAGAACAAGCTCAACGCGGGCGGTGGCGGGTTTCTCAACCGGATGAAGAGCTTGCGCAAGCCGCGAGTTGAGCGTCGTACCAGTGACTAAGTCATTTCATTTAGGAGAATATGATTGACAAGAGTTGATGAGTTGAGTTGCGTTTTGTGGCAAAGAAAGATAGACCTGCATGGTTATCATCTTATCCCATCCTATCCGTCTTGCACCTTCGCATTTAGGCCGGCCCCCTGGCATCGCCACGCATCGAATCGCATCGCATCGCATCGCATCGATGCCAGGGGTCTTGGTGATATCCACATTCCCTTTACCGGGAACGATGAATTTGTTATTTCTCTGTAATACCCAACATTTGGGGCGCCGTCAGCGTTCTGGCGCCCAACATGGCGTTGCTCTCAGTGGAGCCGGTTGATTGATTTGATTTGATTTGATTTTAATTTCTTGACTTTTCTTCTCCCTTTTTTTTTTTTCTAGAGTGAGAGTGCATGGAATACGATTGCCCTAGTGCGCAAGTCTTCTCTTTCATTCTCGTTAGCCTTGCTTCTTGTATTTTCTAAGCCACTTTCATCTTATTTACATGATGAATTTGACGTATGCCTTTGCAATTTTGGTCTTGTAGGCTTTAAGAGACTCATATACTACTACTTGTAATTTCAGATTGGTAGATGGCGCACATCTATACTACCTTCAAGAGGGTACTTATAGCTGTGGCATGCCTTAAATCGTAACAGTTGGTCACCTACCCCGCAAAAGTATCATATCTATCCATGGATTACAATATGTACGAAGCTACGTCCCCACGTCAACTCATTCAGATTATCTACTACTAATAATACCCATTTCATAACCACAGGAGTTCCAAAACATGATCTTTACCAAACCAGCCTACAGACAAACCAATATTCGCCACCTTTCATCAGTGAAGGTGATCAATATCTAGGTTGAAGATTCCAAGATTCGGTCGTCGGTACTCCAGACCTACAATAGCTATTGGTTACCTACTACGACATACTACAGCATATGAAGCTTTACTCTACTAGTAGAGAAAAAATATAAGAAATCATATTCATTCATTAAATCATGGCCTAACCAGCAAGGCCCCGTACAAACGCCATACACACCGCATGCAAACAAGATGGTATTTTACTTGAAAAGAAAATCACAGAACCAACCCAACGGACCGATTAGTGGACAGCCGAGGTACCCCGTGACACGGGAATACCCGCACGGCGCTTGGACTGCGGCTTGGGTCTTGCAAGCGTGTACCTGAGCGAAGACGTTAGTATGGGCCGAATAAGAAAGGGGACAAAAGAAATGGAACAAGGCGAGGTGAGGGATTGGACATACTTGGCAAATGCACGGGAGAGCGCCTTCTTGCAGCTGACTTTCTGGCTGCCGACAAAGGAGTCGACTGTGACGGCGATGGCGCGGTCAATGTCCACTGAAGAGCAGTACTCGGATAGACGCATTTTGCAGAAAGCTTCTGCGATACGCATGATGGCTTCCAGGTGACGGACCTGTGGAGGGAGGTAGTTAGTATATGGACGTGGCCTGCGAGGCTCATGGATATATGTGTAGTCGACTTACTGTGATGGGGTAGGCACCCGTAGCCAGAGACTCGCGGCGCATGTCCGCGAAGAGACGGGCGATCTTGTCTTGATCGATTTGGTACAGCTTCGGGTGGCATCGCTCGCGAGCGTAGAGGATATACTTTCGCAGTAGCTCTTGGGGGATCTCGCCTTCCTTCTCCTCGTCGGAGCGCTTCTGCTCGGCGGTGCGTTTGGCGGTCTCTTCTTGGGTGAGAGGTAGACGGCGGCCATCCCTGTCGATACGGTAGCCCTCAGAGTCAATGCGGTTGTTATCCGCATCGACGGGGTCGCCAGCGTCGTTTCGCAGGGGTCGGGCTGGGTTGGCGCGGTGGTGGGATTCGATGACGAAGTTGGCAAGGCGCTCGTCTTCGGTTGGCTCGACCAGATCGCGAACCACGCACATGATATCGAAACGAGACAAGATAGGCTCGGTCAGATCGACATTCTGTGCGAGGGGCTTGGTGCTGTTGTAGCGGCCGCCGTTTGGATTGGCAGCAGCGAGAACAGAGCAGCGAGCTTGCAGAGTAGTGACGATACCAGCCTTGGAGATGGAGATAGTCTGCTGCTCCATGGCTTCGTGGATGGAGGTACGATCTTGGTCGTTCATCTTGTCAAACTCGTCAATCAGACAAGTACCGCGGTCAGCCAGCACCAGGGCACCACCTTCCAGGGTCCACTCGCTGGTCAGGGGGTCTCGGCGAACACTAGCAGTCAAACCGACAGCACTGGCACCCTGACCTGTGGCAAAGACGGCTCGGTGGGCAGTCTTCTCAACGAACTTGAGGACTTGCGACTTGGCAGTACCGGGGTCACCAAGCAGCAGTACGTTGATATCACCACGAATATTCATCTTGCCTTGCGCTTGTTTGCTAACACCACCAAAGAGGGAAAGAGCCACAGCGGTCTTGACATCACTGTGTCCGTAGATACTAGGAGCCATAGATCGAATGATCTTGTCCACAATATCGGGATCGCGAGAAAGATTGCGGATCTCCCGCTCATCCTCTTCGGTCATATTGAAACCAGCGAGTTGATCATGCGATTTGACGACATGGTTAGCTTCGATGATGGTGGCGAATACGGGGAATCCGTTCTTGTTGTTGAGAGAGGCGTCGTAGCTGTTGCGGTAAATACCAGTGATTTCAATCTCATCACCGGGCTTAGCCAGATCAATAAGATCAGCCAGGAGAACAACTTCACGCTGGCGCGGTAGACGACCGGCAGGAACCGAGCCTGGTGACTCCTGCAGAGTCAACTTCTGGTAGTTACGGTACACGGTCTTCTCGGTGTTGACAGTGAATGGACCGCGAGACTGGCAGTTTTGGCAGAAGGAGATCTTGACTTCCGCGCTGGCTTCTTGCTGGAACGGACCCAGAGTAACACCACACTTCGAGCAGAGGAACATCACGTACTTAAGCTGGGGGAACACACCAGTCCGGCGGGTGACGACACCGCTGACGCGAACCAGACAGTTGAGGTGGGATTGACGCAGCTGACGTAGAGTGTAGATGATGGGGACGTCAGTGATACGGACGTGGATCTCGTTGTGGATATCGTGGTATTGGGGGTAGTGGAAGAGAGTCACATCGAGTGCAACCTGGTCGAAGACCTTGAGGACTTCGGTAGGTTCATTGGCAAGGAAGTATGAGAGAGCGGCCTTGGTCTCGCTCAGGTGGGCGTAGGACACCTCCAATGAGGCGGAGTTGATCTCACCAAGGGTCTTAATTCGGTTACCGTAAACCGATTGACCGCTAGGGTCGATGAACTCTGTCAAGAAAGCCTTGAACTCGCGGTAAATAGAGCGAAGAACCTGGGGCTGGGTGACCCAGTCGGTAATGTTGGCAGCCTTGACATCTGCCAACTCCTCAAGAGACAGCTCTTCCATACCCTCATCGGCCATGTCAATGTCCTCTCGTTCCTCATCATAGTGGTGGCGACGGCGACGGGGCTGGCGCGACAAATCCATCTCCAGGTCATCATCATCCTGCAAGAAAGCGGCGGGCATGCGGCGCCGCCTAGCAAGCTCCTGATCTCTCTTGTTCAAACGAGCATCTAGTTGACGACGAGTGGCGGCGTCGATTTCATCGTGGTCTCCGTCGTCGTCGATGTATCCCTCATTGGCATATTGCTCTTCTTCGCCATCGCGATAATCCCGCTCGAAGTTGTCGCCGAACAGATCAATGCCATCCTCGTCTTCAGCCAGCTCGTCCACATCGTCGATATCAGGAATGAGCTCGGCGCCTTCATCTTCATCATCGTCTTCATCGAATGGCATAGGGGGAGGGGATGAGCCCAGTGCGGTTGCTGTTTATCTTGTCAATTTCCATGATTTCCACGACCCTGCGATTTCAGGAGACAGGGGGTTGACTCACGGCTGGATGGAGGCAATGGGGCAGGAGAGGAAATATCTTCTTCTCTCTCGCGCTTGCGATTGTTCGATCTCGGACCGCGGTTTGCGGCCGAGTCGCTGGCACGAAGGGGACTGTTTGGGTGTTAGTCGGGCGCAAAGAAGATTTTTCTTATTATTTTGATGGATGAAAACTGACTCCATATTATGTTGTTTATCTCAATCGGAGATATTAGGGAGTGATTGAGATGGAAGGAAGAAAGACGTATGGAATGGAAGGGGATCGTAATTTTCTCGAAGACCCCAAAGCGGTGGTTGTGGTTAGCGGAGTGGAAGAAAGGAAGGGGAGGAAGGAGCGTGCAGAGTGGCTCCTGCCTGCAAAGTGAAAGTGGTTCATACGCGTCGATTCACGCGACGCGTTTCAATTTAGCCCAATTGGGACCATCACGTGGAGGTATACATTGTGTATGTCGCAATTGAACCTGTCGTCCAATGCGATAGATAGATAACCTGAATTTCTAAGACAGGAGGTACGAGTACATGTAAAAGCAAGAAATCGCACAGACGCACTGGACTGCCTCCTTGCATTCAAGTCCATGACCCCCACGGTCAATGCTGCATTTGCCGAATACCGTAAGAGAGGTTGCAAACCAGGCAAACACTTCGCGCATCGCGTTCGGCCTCGCCGCAACATCTGGGGAAGCGCCACCTCCCAAGCTTGCCACCTCTTTTGACTGGTTTGAATTGAAAGAGATCAAATTTCTGAATTGTGATTTCGCAAACCTCACAATGGATTCCTCACACTCAGCCGCCAACCAGCTGAAGACAGCCGAAAATCGGCGCGAGAGCTTCGGCTCGCAAACTTCCCAGACAGCCAGAGAGTGAGCGCACCCAAACAGCGGCGTCGTCGATGGATCGCAATTCCATACTAATACTCTCCAGATTCATTGATTCTCAGATACAGCTGGAAGCTGATGCCCGCGAAATCCTGCCCTATGTGAGATCACCAAGAATGACATACATACCATACCCATCACCACCGAGCTGACACTGATCGATATTTAGTCCTTCGACTCATGCACCCATGACCTCGGACCATTACGCCAGAGCCTCTTCGCTTGCCTCACATGCAACCCCGTTCCCGATAACTCCGATGATCCGTATACTCCTGCCGCGGTCTGTTATTCGTGCTCCATCGCCTGCCACGGCGAACACACCCTTGTCGAACTTTTCAATAAGCGCGGCTTCGTTTGCGATTGCGGTACGACTCGTATGCCGACTACATCCCCATGCACACTGCGCGAAGACCCAAAGACCGGCCGTAAGGGCGTCCACTCCCAAGAAGCTTCATCGAACAACAAATACAACCACAATTTCCGAAATCGATTCTGTGGCTGTGGAGAGAAATATGATCCTCACCAGGAGAAGGGTACCATGTTCCAATGTTTAGGTCTTGGGACTGTCGAGACTGGAGGGTGTGGCGAAGACTGGTGGCATCCGGAGTGTCTGATCGGATTGTCGAGGGATTGGCACAAGGCCAACGGAGTCGTTGCGAAGACAGAGCCGATTGGAGGAGGCGATGCTACCACCGATGAAAGAGCGCTCGAAGAGGACGACGAAACACCTCTCCCACCTGGATTCCCTGCCGAAGAAGATTTCTGGCAACTCATTTGCTTTAAATGTCTCGATTCAGCCCCGTGGCTCAAGAAGTATGCCGGAACACCGGGGTTTCTTCCACCTGTTTTTCTGAATGGCGGTTTAGAAAAGAAATCGGTCGCTGTAGATGAGACTAAAGATTCTAAGACTGAGGAGAAGAAGGAATCATCGGGACAAGAAGAGAAAACTGAGAATTCGAAGAAGCGGAAGGCAGAGGATGACAATGACACCCAAGAAGAGCCAACTGCAAAGAAAGCCAAAGAGCAAGAAAAAGAAGAGCCTGTTACTATCGACGAAGAGTCCTCCAACAAACCAGAAGCGAAAGAAGAAAAAGCAGCAGCACAACAACCCCTCACTTCAGATATCAAACAATCCACCCTCGCCACAATCGAAGAAGAACCCCCCCAAACCAAAGCACACCTCACTTCCCCCCTCAGCACCAACAACCTCCTTCTCCCTCTTCCTCCAACCAGATTTCCGCGACCACCTCTGCCGCTGCGCAGAATGTTTCCCAAATCTCGCACCCTTCCCCCAACTACGCGAAGAAGAAGACACATACGAACCCCCGCTCTCAGACGACGGCGAAGGCGAAGCTAACGCCGCAGCAAGCACCGGCACAGGAAGTCTTCTCGAGCGCGGCGAGGCTGCGCTCAGCAATGTCGACCGCGTGCGTGCTATCGAGGGTGCTATGATCTATAACCACCTCCGTGATAAGGTGAAGGATTTCCTTAAGCCGTTTGCTGAGAGTGGGCAGGCTGTTAGTGCTGAGGATATTAAGGGGTATTTTGAGAAACTTCGTGGTGATGAGCAGGGTATTCAGGATGCTGCCGGTCAGGCGGAGGCTATGGGTGGTGGTGGTGGTGGGAAAGGGGACGATGCTGGTGGTGATGGCCGGCGTGAGCAGAATGGTAAGTCTTGCATTTGATGGGATATGTTTGATGCTTGTTTATGCTAACGGATTGTTTGTCAGGGTATTGATTGCGCTTGATATTGCTACTTATGTATGACTTTCAATTGGGGTTCTTATTTGTTTAGGTATGGGATGGGATGGGATGGGATGGACGGGACAAATCTACTATCAGGATGCGATTACTAGTTGAGGGAGGAATGGTAAGGTATCCGGATACCTACGGCGTATGGAGAACTTCAGAAATCTTATTCAATGGCCAAGAACAGGAATTCGATCGTAGTATATACATCCGAAAGGTATCAAAAGGCCATAATGCACAACGCCGATGCCGGACATGAACGTAAAAAGGAAGCTTGGAAACACAACACCCATATAACCGGCCAACCACAATTCCACGATGCGCCTAGTCATTATGCAATCACCATACCAAGAAACCACTGCTCACTCACTCCCTAAGTCGTTTCGAGGCTCGCAGCAAAGATTCATCAGGCAGGCCACTACGTTTGGTTCCGGGAAGACTACCGGAGCGAATATCGTTATCGTCCTGAGTGACACGGCGGTGGGGGTATTTGCTCTCAATACCATCAAAGCAATCACCACTAACGGGGCCACCATTCGAGAAATACGGATGCTGCAGGGCTTCTTCGGCAGTAATTCGCTTGGTGGGATCATACTCCAGCATACGCGAAAGCAGATTGAATCCATCGGTGCCAGGCGTGCCAACACTCGAACTGGACGAGTATCCGCCATTCTTGAGACAGTTCTGATACCAGCCCTCCAGGTTTGGTCCGCGGTGGTAGTGTGGTGGCTGTCGGTGGAGGACCATTGATTGTAGCTGATTATATTCAGGCATAGAGGTGAGACCGGGCCAGGACTCTTTGCGAGGGAGGCCTAGAATTTCGACGATTTTCATCATTTGGTTGCGCTGGAAGGGGACGGTCTTTTTGCTGTCCATTTTCGCTTCTTCGCCTTTGAAGATTGGGCGGAGGGAGAGGAGTTCTGCGAAGATGCAGCCTACGGCCCACATGTCGACTGCGGGTGTGTAGTGTCGGCTTCCGAGGAGGAGTTCTGGTGCTCGGTACCAGATTGTGACGACTACTTTGTCGCCGGAGAAGAGCGAGTTGAGCGGCTTGTAAAAGAGTCGGGCTAGGCCTAGATCGCCGACGCGAATGGCGCCGCTGGATGTGACGAGGATATTGGCTGGCTTGAGATCTCGGTGCAGGACCCAGTTTGTGTGTAAGTATAGTAGCCCGTTGAGTAGCTGGAAGAGAATTGACCGGACCATCCGGGCGCCAATGGGGTGTCTCTGTGGCTGGGTGTGGTGGTGGATGATCTGGAGTAGGTCGTGTTCGGTGTATTCAAATACCATGAAAATGCATTTGTCCTCTAGAATAATTTCTTCCAGTTGGACAACATTGGCGTGTGAGAGTTCGGTGCACAGGGCCATCTCTCGAATGGCGGACTGCGACAGACCCGTATATTGGATCGTCTCTCCTTCCTTGTCTGGCTTGAATCTGAAGAGGCAGGGTTAGGCGAAGGACTTTTACAATGAATGGATGCAGGTATTCATCTAGACTTACTTTTTGATCGCAAATTCGCCTTTCTGCCCATTTTTGCCGAGAGCCTTGTAGACACGACCGTAGGTTCCGCTGCTAATGAAACCCACAATATGATATCGGTCTCGCACCCGGACTTTGCTGGTGTACCCGGAAGCTCCTGATGGACGGGAATCATAAGTGTCTAATCGGACGAAAGGTTAGCCAGGTTGCTTGGAGCTCGCCACGGCATAGAGTTGGAGAGAGGAGAACAGCGAAGACAAATCAACGGATCCAAGCGTTCAATCGAAGACAGCCCAACGAAGCGTATATAGGTCACCATACACCAGCGGAAATGAAATGCATGCCAATCCTCCCCAATATCCAGAGTCACGCCGTAACAGAGAGAGATAGAAAACAAAAGACATAAATTGAAAAAGCATCAGCTATTTCGAGGGAAGAAGAGATTACCACGCGAATGGAAGCCACCAGCAGAATTGTGGAACGGAAACCCCTTTCCAAACATGATGATGGGGGTTTGGGCAAAGATCAAGATCAAGATCACTTCCGGGTCCAGGTGAAAGTCAAAGACAAAGAGAAGCCAGTGATATAATTACCATCGACGGAGCGTTTGGGGGGACCCGGGCCAACAGTGGCAGTCCTTCTGGAGAGCGAGCCGGAGGAAGGTGGGTTGGTCAGACTCATTGGTGATTGGTGAGGCCGGGATGGGGGGGGATGGGGAGATGGGGGGAAGTGTGAGGAGAAAATTACTCCATCAGGCAGGTAGTAAGTAATTCAGCTCAATGAGAGCTGATGCGATTGTCCTTTCCCTGAGATAGGTGCTGTGCTAACAACCAGTGCTATGTTGAGAGGCACTGAGAGCAGTTCTTCTCATGGGACGATTGACTAGCCTTGGGAAGATTGGCTTGGCCCGCGCTTATCGGAGGCCGCCCTCACCGATGCACGTCATTCTTCGTGGAACCTCCCTTCGTGACAGCCTACACTCAACCTCATCCCCTCTTTTCATCCCCCCTATGAACCTCTCATACTCCTAAACATGGCCGGCCAGTCGACACAGTCGCAGGTCACCCCTTATCTGGTTCTCCTGGTGTTTATCGCTACCTTGGGTCCGCTTCAATTTGGTTATCACTTGGTATGTATTACCCTACTTGCGGGGGAACACCACTGGAAATTGTTGACTAACGAAATGCTCTTCCATCAGGCCGAACTGAATGCCCCTCAAGCTGTTGTCACCTGCGAAAAGAAATCCATCGGTGCTACCGATGCGACCTTTCATGGCCTGCCGCAATGCCTTCCAATGAACCCGTCCCAGTTTGGCCTGGTCTCCTCCATCTACACCATTGGAGGCTTCGTGGGAGCCTTGCTAGCTGGCCCCGTGTCCACTAAATATGGACGTCGGATAGCACTCCAAGCGACGACCATTTTCTTCATATTGGGCCCCGTGGCTGAGACCTTCGCCCCTGCCATTCCGCTCCTCGCACTGGGGCGATTTCTTTCTGGAATCGGATCAGGCGCAGCGATCGTCGTCGGCCCCATCTATGTATCCGAGATTGCACCTCCCCAGTCGCGAGGGTTCTTTGGGGCTTTTACACAGGTGATGACCAATGTTGGGATCCTGCTTACTCAAACATTAGGCTATTTCTGGAGTCACGACAGCCTTTGGCGGCTGATTCTCGCCGTTGCTGGTCTTATAGGGGTACTGGAGCTCCTTGGCCTATTCATGATACCCGAGAGTCCGAAATGGCTTGCCGAGCATCAGCGGACGGGCCAGGCACGCAAGGTCTTGCAACGCATCCGTGGCCGGAATGCGGATATTGAAGCGGAGATGGCCAGTTGGCGGGCTACGAGCACACCTGCGAGCACCCCTGCGAGTAACAATGCTACTACTCCTACGTCTGGCGAGGAGGAATCTCTACTCGCCCCGGCCCCGGCAAGTGAAGATGAACAAAAGGCGGCAGTCACAATGATGGAGGCGGTTCGAGACCCATACTATCGACCGGCTATCATCGCGGTGGTTGGCATTATGGTTGCCCAGCAATTCACCGGCGTGAATAGCATTGTTATGTACAGTGTTTCCCTTTTGCAAAGTATCCTGCCCGGTACAGCCGCACTGTTGACCATTTTGATCTCCGCTATCAATCTAATCATGACGCTCGCGTGCTCACCCTTGCCCGATCGGATCGGACGGAAAACTTGTCTGCTGCTCAGTATTGCCGGTATGGGCTGCAGTTCGATCCTCTTGGCATTGGGTATCTATTTCAATATCAAGATTGCGGCGGCCATCGCCGCTCTCTTGTTTGTCGCGTCATTTGCTGTAGGGCTGGGCCCCGTCCCGTTCATCCTGGCATCCGAACTGGTCGGCCCTGAGGCGGTTGGAGCAGCGCAGAGTTGGGCGCTGGGGGCGAACTGGCTTGCCACATTTGTGGTTGCGCAGTTTTTCCCCGTGTTGAATGAAGCGCTCGGAGGCCGAGGCAAAGTTTACTGGGTGTTTGCGGCGATGGCGGGAATTTTTATTATATTCATTCAGCGTAGGATCCCGGAGACCAAGGGCAAGGCCAACGTGGACGAAGTTTGGGGACGAGTGGACCGTCGGCAGGACTAGCTAAGCCTACGAGTATAAGCTAGGCTAGGTCTAGGTCTAGGTCTCGGTCTCGGTATGCGTGTCAGTGGCTCGCTTCACCAATCAAGTTAGACCTATTGCATCCGGATTAGTCCGAGTCTCGAGTGAGCACTGCACTGCAAGTATGAGATTGTATGTTCATTGCCTCCTCGCATGAAAGATTGCGGGGTATCGTGGGGCACACAAGGCTGATGCCATATGATGCTATGTAGTGCGTAGTATGTAGTATATACCAAGGAGTATACCAAGAAGTAGAAGCAAGGCAGACCGCCGGACAGACAAGGCATCCATGTTTCCATGTTTCTAGTGGAGGGGATGTGGAGCCTTGACGTCTATTGTTATCAAGAAATACACCATTTTTAAATAAAATGTCTCGCCCCACGATTTGCCCTCGTTTCGTTCTTTTGCTCTCGGACCTTTCCCTTCTCAACGCTTTAGGGGTCCACTGTGTCTTTCCACTTCGGACCCTGGGGAATTCCATTTGCAATTCTTATTAGCATATCCCGTGTTACTTTTCTTTTCTCACACTCCGTATCTACCAGTGGTGCTTGTACTCCAGACTTCCAAACTACCCACTCCCCCCCTCCCCCAATCTCCAATCTCCAGTCCAACTGTTGGTTCTGGGTGGCACCAAGTCTTGGCTCTTTGTCTTTCCATCGCGATCGACCCGAGCAGATCGCCCCAAATAAAAATAAGCCTGGGGTTTCTGGTGGTCTTGGAGAACGAGGGGAAACACAAACAACACTAACTCCAAGCCACTCTCACCGACCACTTGGGTAAACTTCCAGGGGGAGCCACTCTGAATCCCAATCAGGAATACTCTCTAGTGCTCTCCCTCTCCTTTTCTTCTTCTTCGTCTTCTTCTTCCCATTCTCTTCTCTTCTCTGCTTTTCCCATTCCCGTTCTGCTTTGCTGTCCTCATCCGCCATGGTCCGCCTGCCACTCCCGCAGCGCCTCAGCTCGCACCTCTCCGCCAGAAGTGCGAGCTCAACACCGGGACAGAGCAGGAGTACCAGTCCCTTGAGATCGAATGAACCCAAGCCTCTATTGCTCAAGGTGACCGTCATCAAGGTATGTTTCGTTTCGCCGCCTCTCCCACCGAGGCAAACTGGGAGGTCAATGGCAATGGCAATTGCCCCTCAGTTCCACACCGCGACCGCTTTTCTGACGCCATTGTTGCTGCTAGGGTCGAAATCTGGCTCCCAAGGATCGAGGTGGCACAAGTGATCCGGTAAGTACGCGCTTGACAATCGAGGCTCTTCCCTTTCGCTGTGTCCGGCTCTGTCCGGGCTCTGCAAATCCAATCCAATCCGCGCGATCTCGCTGACACCAATCTTTCCGCCCCCGCACAGTATTTGGTGGTCACATTGGGAGACGCCAAACAGTCCACCCCAACAATATCCAAAACCCTGAACCCGGAATGGAACGTGTCGTTTGAAATGCCCGTGCTGGGCGTCCCACTGTTGGAATGTATCTGCTGGGATCACGATCGATTTGGCAAGGACTACATGGGCGAGTTCGATATCGCGTTGGAAGACATCTTTCAGGATGGGCAGGTTTGCCAACAGGTGAGTGTGTCAGGAAATTACTCCAATTGGACTTTCTCCGTGTGGTGCAATAGCTGACAGTGGACACCCTTTGCAATGATAGCCCAAATGGTACAATCTCAAGTCGAAACGACTTTCCAGTCGCTCCACCCGAAAGAAGAAGAAGAAGGACAGCAATGTGTCGGGCGAAATCCTGCTCCAGTTCTCTCTTTCCGACTCTGCCTTCCCCGGAGCCTCGCCCACGGACACATATCGCAAGTTTAGAAACTTGGCGTGCATTGGTGAGGAGGATGACCCGTTGGATCAGATACCTACCGCCGACCTGGACGAGCTGGACCTGGACGAGGAGACCTCCGACGAAACCGACGATCAGACTAAGCCCGAGATTGTCGAGAAGCGTCGGAGGCGGTTGCGACTGGCTCGTTTGCGCCGCAAATCCTTGGCTGCACGCGCATATCAATTCTCGGGATCAGGGACCGGTGTTCAGGGTATTATGTTTATGGAGATCGTCAAAGTCACTGATCTTCCCCCTGAGAAAAACGGTAAGCCAGATTGGCACTCCGTGGCAACCCTTTACAGACGAGACCCAGAATACTAATTTGCTGCTTCATCCAGTGACACGAACTTCATTTGACATGGATCCCTTCGTGGTTACCTCTCTGGGGAGGAAAACACTTCGAACCCCCGTCGTGCGCCACAACCTAAATCCCATTTACCATGAGAAAATGGTCTTCCAAGTTATGCGGCACGAGCAGAACTATCTAATCAGCTTCACGGTAATGGACCGGGACAAGTTTTCAGGCAATGACTTTGTCGCCTCCGCGAGCTTCCCATTGCAATCCCTCATCCAGTCTGGTCCTGAAACCGACCCCGAGACAGGTCTGTATCATTTTGTAGAGTTGGATGAGCCTAGCCCGGCGGCAAAGTATAGTCCTCGCTTTGCCGTCAGCCCTTCGCCATCTTCATCAAATCTTTCCAAGATGAGCAGACCTGTATTCAAGACCCGCAGCTCCTCGGCGTCCGTCACACAGTCCATTGGTGACTTGGCCAACAAAGCACCTACATCTGTCCCAGACGAGTTGTCCGGCGTCGACAGCAGCAGCAGTACCCTACAGATTCCAATCGCTTCGAGCGAGACAATAGCAGACCCGCTTCCCATACCGGACGAGGAGGGCCTGAGGGCGTACACGATCCCCCTGACACTGAAGAATCGAGAACGGTGGGAAGACAAGCACTCGCCCGAATTGCATGTCAAAGCGAAGTATCTACCCTATAGCGCTTTGCGCCAGCAGTTCTGGCTGTTGATGCTCAGACAATACGATGCCGATGACAGCGGTCGTATTGATAAGGTCGAAATGACTACGATGCTTGATACTCTGGGTTCCACCCTGAAAGAATCAACAATCGATAGCTTTTTCGACCGCTTCAGCACTGAGAACGAAACCAGCGAGACCGCTGATCTCAGCTTCGATCAAGCGGTGATATGCCTCGAAGACACCCTGCGCGCACTGCAGAGAAAGAACTCTGTCTCCTCCCTGCCGCCCCAGAGACCCCCCCCCTGGGACCGTCATCAGTCGGAAGTCAAGAAAGTGAGGAGCAATCTAGCAGCGATGACTTCGCTTCGGAACCGAACGCCGCCTTTTCGTCAACCGCTAACCCCAATGGAATAGCCGTCCCGACTTTGAATAGTGATGAGCAGCCCAGTTCGAACGAGGAAGACCTTCGCCCAGGCGATCTAGCCGATGAGAGAGGTGAGGAGCACGTCGTGGAGATCCGCGAATGTCCGCTTTGCCACCAGCCTCGTCTTTCGAAACGATCCGATGCGGATATTATTACTCATATTGCAACATGTGCCAGTCGTGACTGGCGCCAGGTCGACAATCTCGTCATGGGTGGATTCGTGACTTCCAGTCAGGCTCAGCGCAAATGGTACTCCAAGGTCATTACGAAGATCTCTTACGGTGGTTATCGCCTTGGTGCCAACTCTGCCAACATTTTGGTTCAAGATCGTATTACCGGCCAGATTAACGAGGAACGTATGAGTGTTTATGTCCGACTGGGAATCCGACTACTTTACAAGGGTCTCAAGAGCAGGGACATGGAGAAGAAGAGAAGTAAGTTATAACAACACCCAACGCTCAGTTAATACCGGTGCGAGAATCTAATCATGGCATCCCCCTTAGTCCGTCGCGTTCTACGTTCGCTTAGTGTCAAACAGGGCCGAAAGTACGACGATCCCGCCTCGGCCGCCCAAATCAAGGACTTTATCAATTTCCATCAATTGGACATGTCCGAGGTTTTGCAACCTATTGAAAAGTTCCGTAATTTCAACGAATTCTTTTACCGCGCATTGAAACCCGAGGCTCGTCCCTGCTCCGCCCCCGATGAGCCCAAGATTGTTGTATCCCCCGCCGACTGTCGCTCTGTGGTCTTTGATCGTATCGACGAGGCGACTAGTATTTGGGTCAAGGGCCGAGAGTTCTCCGTCGAAAGATTACTTGGAAACGCCTACCCTGAAGATGCGGCCCGATACCACAACGGTGCGGTGGGTGTGTTCCGCCTTGCACCGCAAGACTATCACCGCTTCCACATCCCTGTTGACGGGGTGATGGGTGAGCCGAAAACCATCGAGGGTGAGTATTACACGGTCAACCCAATGGCCGTCCGCTCCGCGCTTGATGTGTACGGCGAAAATGTTCGTGTTCTTGTCCCTATTGATTCCGTTGCGCATGGCCGTGTGATGGTTATCTGTGTTGGAGCCATGATGGTCGGTAGTACGGTCATTACGCGCAAGGCTGGCGAGAAGGTTTCTCGAGCGGAGGAGCTTGGTTATTTCAAGTTTGGTGGCTCTACTCTTCTCGTTTTGTTTGAAGAGGGAGTGATCAATTTCGACAAGGATTTGGTGGATAACTCCAGGGGTCGTTTGGAGACACTGGTAAGATGGATTTCCCACACTCCGAGTTCCCCCAACCCATGTGTTGCGCAAATAACTGACCTGCATCAATGTAGATTCGAGTCGGCATGTCAGTTGGGCACAGCCCTGATATTCCTCAATTCGAACCAGATATGCCCAAGGACGCAGAGAATGTCACTCTCGAAGATATGGAAGAAGCCAAGCGGCGCATTGAGGGTAGTTCGTCTGCCCCCCGTGATCCTGCCCCGGTGGATGCTGCGATGCAATGATCAATGATCTGCTTTTCTTTCTTTCTTCTCTGTCCCACTTCTTCCCCTCCTTTACCTCCTCCCTTCCCCCTTCACCTCCCTCTCTCTTTGCATCAAGGGGCTAGGTTCAACCAACTTCGACCAGCCTTCTTCATTGAACATATTAAGATCTTTGATTCCTTTTTTATTAGTGTTGTCCCTGTCCCTGTCCCATGTGCAATATTGGCGTTTGTTTGAGGGTACTGCACATAAGCGTTTATTTTAACATCATACGCGCATTGTCCCTTACGGGGCTTAAAATGAATATGGAAATCAACATTATTATAAGCTACTGAACTGTCAGTCATGTCAACCATTACGTAGTGCACTCATGAATGTACATAGTAATATACACTACTATTCATGTAGTACTCCGGAAATACCTAGAGAGGGGCTGCCGAAAATAGACTAGCGGCCCACGCGCCCCGACCAAAACAACCGCGTGCCCGAATCCCTCCAACCCACCATCTGCGCTTCCCTTGCCGCCCGCAGCCACCTTGAGACTTTGCGGGCGTGATTCATTGATTCACCTGGACCTCTGCAAATGTGACTGCACTCACTCACCTGGGCACTATCATTACCCACTTTCATCCGATCCAATCCGACCCAACACCCTGAACCCTCGAAATCTGGCCTAGCAACGACCTAACGGCGATCAACATCAACGCGAAAAAGAGGCACAACGAGCGCGCCACTCTCTGCAGGAGACAGAACCGTGAAATAACAACCCAAGCGAAGGAACGCGCATCCAGACACGCGGTGCTACACTCACCAACTGGACCAACTGCATCCCGCGCCAATTCATCTCATCTCACCCTTATTAGCAATTCGCGTCACCCACCTCCTGGCATGACCACCGTGGTTCTAGCACCCCCGTCAACAAGAACAGAGCGCCGCGAACCGCTGGGCACGATTGGAATGGCCGCTTCTCAAGCGCAATCGCGTGCATCCGCGCCAGGCAAAGCTCGCGGGGCCCGGCGAAGCACGCGCAACAGCGCGAATCAACAGGGCCTGGAAGAAATCACGAACAATGACAGCAAGCGGAAAGCGAGTGAGTTTGCCTTGTTTGAGCGACGTTTGTTTGATTTTGAGCGACAAGAGGGCGAATCACTAACTAACTACTTCATTTTCAATTGCGACAGGCTACGAAGACGATGAAGGATTTCAATTTGCGAGGGTACCGTCAAAGAAGTCGAAACCAACATCCACAATGGAATTAGTACCAGAGAACCCCGCATCCGACGTGGAAAATACGCCAGTACAATCAACGCCACGGAGAGGACGACCGCCGAAGAAGCGTGTGGGGGAGACTGCAGCTACAACGGCGAAGGGGAAATCAATCGACCTTCCGACAAGGCGGCCAGCGAAAGGCGCGATGTCTTCTGAACCGGATCATCATCAAGAGCGCGCGACGCACTCAGCTCGACCCCGCGACCACCAGGAAGAACAGCCGGAACAGAAGAAGAAGAAACCCGGCCGACCGGCCAAGTCGAAAACTGCAGACACAAATGGTTTCAGATCGCCAGAGCCTACTAAGGTTGCCTTGCCGGTAGCGGATACACCAGTCATACAGCGCAATAAGGAACTGAGGGGGAAGAAATCGGGCAAAGGACGGCGACGGATTAGTTCGGAGATGCGTGGACGGAGGGCTAGTTCTTTGATCGACTCGGGTGCCTCTAATGGTAGGTGATATTCGGTGTCCAGTGCCAGCTGAGGAGAGAGAATACTGACTTTTTTTTTTGCGACAGCTTTACCGCATCGAGAGGTTCGCACGGCCGACTTTTATAAACACATTGCGGACGAAGGTCTTTCTGAGCCGCGCAGGATGCGGCAGCTTTTGATATGGTGTGCGACGCGTGCATTGGGTGACAAGCCGTCAAGCTTTCATCAAGAGGACCAGAGTGCGCATCTTGCTGGTAAGCTCTTCTGTTATGAAGACCAGGAAATTTGATAAGCTGACTTTTTCTTCAGCTCGTGTTATACAAGAAGATTTACAGAAAGAGTTCTCCTCGACCTCAAATCTTTCAGATTGGTTCAGTCGGGAAGAATTGCATCCAGCCTCGATTGTGGTCAAGAAACCCAATCCAAGGAACGTGCAGAACACAGACAAGATTAAGGAGCTGGAGGAACAAATACTGAAGTGAGTAAATTCATGAGACTGCAAATGAGGGCACTGGCTAATGCCATCAAACAGGCTACAAAAAGAGAGACACGCTCTGAATGCTCTTCTCAAACAACCGCCAATCCCTCGCATCGACACCGAATCAAATCCACCACCAAAGAAGTCCCCCAGGTCCAAAAACCGACCGCAGAAGAACCCCCCCGCGAAGAAATCGATATCTCCCTCCTCGACCCCTCCCAACAAGCCCTCTACAAATCCCTCAACCCCCCCCGAATCAACCACAGAAGAAGAATCATCCACCTCCTCAAAACTCCGACCCTCTTCCATCTCCCCCTCAGATGTTTCAGCCCGCCTCTCTCGAATCACGACAGGACTCGCCCCGACACTCGACGCTTTTGCGGCAGGACTCCACGACATCGAATTATACCGATCTACAGCCGATACCTTCTCATCGCAAGTCCTACGCATCTGCGCCCAACGTCTCGAAGAACGCGATGCGCAAAATATGCAGCAGCATCTTGCGATCGAAGGCGAGGACACCGAGATCCAATCTTCTTCACGCGTGGCCCCGTCACAGCCGCGGCCGAGGCAAGATCTGGGCCTTATACTTGGAGCTCTTAGCCGGGTTGAAAGACGATAGTAACGCAATACAGCTTATTATTACTTGTTGAGTTGAATACGAGTGAGACACTGGCATGTTTCCACGGGTGTTTGATGCAAGCGGGGATTTCTTTTCTTTTCTTTAACCTGATTCGATCTTATTCAGCGACTTCTTTGTTCTTTTCTGTTTTGTTTATGTTGCTGTCTTTGCTCTTCTCGGTTTCATTACAGCCCTGGCGATGCATGGACTGATATGATGATGAGCCACTCGGCTGTGCGAGCAATGGCACGGCACAATGGGCGTCGAGTTCGGGTTCGAGCAAGGACTGGATTGAACTGCACTGTGATGTTGTGCATTGCAATCGTTTCTGCAAGCGCTGGAGTTCCGGGTGTTGGGTGATGTCTAATATACCGCGCGATGGGATTCAATATGGGACCTTTTTTCCACTTCGAAGGAGCCTGCTTTTGCGGCTTTGCATAGTAGTTAGCTTTGAATTGAGCATGGTCGATCGACCATTGATTGAACACAAATTTCAGTTTTAATGGTATAGCTTGGCTTATAGCAATTACGCAATTGTCTGTCTCTCTTGAGTGTAGTGAATAATCAACTTAATCCTCATAGGCTGCAGATACTGTACTAGTTCATGTCCATTTTAACTCGAGGAACACAACAACGTGCCCTGCAGTTGTTTCACGCTAACCCTAAACTCGTTGCCCCGCAAACAACGCGGCTCAACTGGCCCCCGTCTCACTGTCATCCCCAACCTCATAGAATAAGAAAGAAGAAAACGCCTCATAATATCTACCTGCAAGGATGACTGTTTCATAGCCAAGTTGCGACCACGCATCAGTCTGCTTTTCCGTATCTCCCAGCGCGACCAAGGCACCATTTCGACCCCGAACTCGGCGAGAACGTGCCACAGCCATCAGAGCATCAAATCCAATTGAACAAAAGTAGGACTAGAATTTCTTGAACGATGACCCGGAGACATTTCCTGCTCCGCTGATGTTGCCGGGTGACCATCTCGCCTCAGACCGCGATGCATAGACCCAGAGTTTCCAGGAGTGGAAATATTCGAAATACCGTAACCTAATCACCGCCAGCAGAAAAACGATCTATGTCGTGGCAAGTCCAGATATTGATTCCGAAGTCGAGTTCTTGCATGAATGGAGCACGCCACTACAATTTCACAGGGGAGGGAATGATACAAAGTACCCCCAACCAAACGATATTCAAGATTACCTCGCTAAGTTGTCAAGCTAGAGATCAGATTGGACTGTTGGTACATAGACTGATTCTTGAAGAGTTCAAGAATCCTGAATGCTTATGAGATCTTAAATACATCAGGGCTCGGGTGGATATCGATATGCAGGTGACTCAAAGGGGATTCGCCCATGAGTCGGCCCCGAGAGTCCGGGGTATCGCATACTTCGAATCCCGTGACAATTCATCCTCCTCTTTCAGAGATGGTCGACTCGACCGTCCATTGAGGTTAAAATCAGATCAGACGACCGAAGCTGAATGGCGTCATGTCGAACAAAGGCTTTAGGACCAGTGCCGCTTTGGGTGCGTTTGCACGCAAATGTAAACAAAGAACGCGATCTCTTTGATATCTTAAGATAAAAGCCTCCTCCTTCGTGTCCTCAACTCTCACTTTTTCTCATCTTTATCTTCCTCAAGATTCTGCTTTTCATCTTCGTTTCATCATCTTTTCGATATGTCTGCTGCTGGTCCTGCACCTGCTGTTATCGGTGGTCCTCCGCCTGCAGGTGCCTTTCGTCCTGCTGGTAGTCGTCGGGGTGGTCGTCATGCGGCCAAAGGTAAAGGTCGAGCTGGAGCTGGGGGTGGAGATGATGGTGATGATGATAGTGGTGGTGGTGGACCTGGAAGTATTGCCAGCACTGCTATCGGTCCTCGTCCTCTTCGTGATCAAATCGCCCGTCCTTCCTTTGCGTTCTGTGTGAAATGCGTAGCTGAAGCAGCTCTTCGTCCTCCTGCCGGTGCTGTTCCTGTAATCGAGTTTGAACAGTCCCAGTCACATTCGACCACAGGAACAGCACCGGCAGGAGGACGAAGAGCTGCTTCAGCTACGCATTTCACACAGAACGCAAAGGAAGGACGGGCGATTTGATCACGAAGAGGACGAGGACCGATAGCAGTGCTGGCAATACTCCCAGGCCCACCACCACCACTATCATCATGCAGTATTCTATCGCGGCTTGGAAGTCAAGATACTACCATCGTCAAGCCTACGTTTCGTACCCTGGGAACTAGATCTATCAAAACACAAGACCGGATTGCCAGAGTATATCGGCCTTCAACGTGGCGATGAGTGCCATCGCATCCGAACCCGCCCTGCACCCGAAAATATCTACAAGGCCCAGCTAGATATTACGGATCTCCACTCCACAGCCGGTGAGTTTCTTCCCGAAGACGCATACGCCCTAGTCCTCCTCACAAACATGGATCCCTACGAAAACGAAAACGACACATTTATCTGCGGACAGGCAAACCATGGTAAACGCGTCGCAGTCATATCAAGTGCCCGGTATAACCCCACCCTAGATAACATCCAAAACATCGACCGTCATTGACACATTCATGGCCAGCCTCCCACTGCGAGGAACATATGAATTCCCACCTAGCACACGAAACCAAAAGACCCCGTCCAACACCCAGAACACGCAGTGCGGCGATCCTATCATCGCCACTAGACCCTCCCCTCGGACCAATGAAGCAAGCGATATAATTATATCGATCTCTCGCGCCCCTTTCGCCTCTCTCTTCGTTAGAACAGTCGGCGCTTTGGCTGGGGAGAATGTGTCGCACTGCGAGCCGTGAATTGGGGCATTGTTTTGGAATAACGCATTGCGTTTATTACGCTTGCTCGAAGTAGGGGAGTGCATCTGTTCGTGAAGATGCGAGACAGCCGCCTTACTTGTGTCCTGCTGATTTGGCCAAGGTCGTTTATGTGGCTTCTACGTCTGGGGAAGTGCGGTATCGGGCTTTGTTGGAGTTTTGTGAGAGTGATTATCTTAAGGGGTCGCTTTTCTTTGCGCCTTTTGGGGCGTGGATTAGGGGGGAGGTTGGACTTGGATGGTGGTTTGGTTGACGAGGAGGATTTGTAATTTGCCAGTGGGTTGTTTGGATTACTTAGTACATATCGAATATAGAATCAATTATTTCACTTCCCTGAGGAGGAGGCGTCTGTGGTGAGTCGTAATCGGCATTATGGACGAGCGCACAAGAAACGTATAGTAAGCTGGTATGAGCAATATCTCACTCCCAAATAAGGTTGATGTATACAGCAGAGTGAACAGGTAGTAGCACGAACACAAAAAGCAAAAGAAAAAGCACTAATATCATAAATTGTTGGCCCAATGCAAAAATAAAGTGAGAGGAGAGAGAACTAGCAACAAGCAATAGCAGATCCCAAACACGCCAGCGCTCGTATTCTTGCTGGAGATAAATGAGATGGAAAAGGAATGAGACCTCAGAGAAAGAGGAAAGATAAATAAATCAAGTGACCAATGTAGATATCAAGAGAGAGTGAGCGCGAAATAAAAAGGGGGGCCTCGATGATTTTGGTCGTGACTCGTAGAGATCGTATCTTCTATGTATGTCCGGATGAAAGTCCGAGTTTGGTGAGTCGATATAGACTTTGTCGATGAGGGACGAAGAGCGAGGTTTTGTTTCAAAGAAAAGCGAGAGACGGTAGGAAAATAAAGGGTATGACAACAAGCCGCTCTCCACAGTAACTCCTCATGCTCCATGCTTCACGACGTGAAAACTGCACCACGGAAAGTTGTTGCGTAATAACAACGAAACAGATGAAAGGTTTAAAAAAAGAAAGAGTAAAAACAGCAAGCAAGCCCCCGCCTCGGTTGCTGGAGGGATAGAGCAGCGACCGGAGATTCTTTGTCCAACACAGTTGTGTGAAAGTTCAATAAATTTCCGGGATGCGAAATGTCCAAGGGGTTCAATAAGCCAAAAGACGCTAAAAGAACTGAATTTGAAAAGCAAGGCAGAAAAAACGATAAGGCAGTGTACGTGTCCAGAATTAGACGCGCTTTCAGCTTAAAAGCTGAAGAGGCCACTGCGCTTTTTACCCAATGGGTAAACCACAAGCGCAGCCAAGAAGAGGCCTACAGTAGTGCCGATGGCTACTTGAACCATGCCGTAGCCAATGTCAAAAACAACACCGTAGCTTTGAGTCCTCTGATCAGAAGCTGAAAGGTTCTTCGCAGCATCGACAAAGCCCTGAGTGCCATTGGCAACAACTGCGTAAGGGGATCGGGTCATTTCCTCCGCGGAAGTGATACCTGAAATGAGAGATCCGCTTGCAGCGAGGCCAGAGGGCACTAGAACAAATATCGCAGGCAACATAGATGCTGCAGCGAGTCCATGGCGTAATCTGCTATGAAGGTTTCCGATAACTCCTATAACAAAGGCACCCAAGGCATTCGATACCTGCGTGTTGGAGGAGAAACGCTTGGAGCTGAAATAGCTGACCACATAGCCTGCCAACGAGATGACCATCATCATGGGGATCTGTTTCCACTTTGCGTTATTGACGAGAGCAAGGCAGACAGTAAATATCAGGACAAATGGGAAACGTTGGAGGTATTCGTTGGTAATTGGACTGGCGGGACAGGTATAAGCTGTCGTGGCTTGAGGGTCTAGAAGTCCATAGACGGCAGTACCGATGGTGATTCCAAACCCAAGGAAAAGAGAGTATATGATGGCATAGACCATGCGGACGGAGCCTGCAACAATACTTCGCGATTGAAGTTCCAGACTTGCGCAGAGCACGGTGTATCCCGGTAGAATCAAGGCAATAGCTGACTGCGCCAAGGCAGAGAAGCAAAAAAGCGGTTCTCCTTGGAATCTTATACTCCCAAAAGCCCGCGCCAGGAAAGAAGTCAGCACCGCAGCCGATATCTCAAACACATTCGAGTACAAACTCGATTTTGGCGAGAGAATGAGTTGGAGAACGCCGAGCAGGCAGCCAAGCAAAAATGCGATAGGTATATCGATAGGTCGGGCGTTGAATGCAAATGGGCCCACGGATGCACTTGCACAACCATGAGCAAAAATAAGGAAGAGGATATGAAACTTGCTCGGCCGCTTCATGGTTTCCTCCAGGCGCCCAATGGCCTCTTCAACTCCAATCACGTCATGGATCACCTCCTTGTAGGTCTCATGCACATCAGCCAACTTCCCCAGATCAATGCCTTGACTGGACCGAACCACCTTGACTTCTGTCGTGTGGGTTGTGGCGTCGTCAAAGGAGATGATCATACATCCTGGGATATACAAAAATTGGCCATCAATCTCCAGAACGCGAGCAGTCATTCGCATGTATTCCTCCAGACGATGTGTCGGGGCGCCATATTTCATCAGGGCCCGACACAGCCGAATTAAGTACTTCTGGCGAGATAGAAGCTCGGCTATATGAACAGTGATACGGATCTCGTCTTCCAGGGCAGGCTTCATCCAACGTCGAGCCGTCCCGCCCGCTGAACTGCCAGATACCGCCCCGCTACTTCGCGAACGCTTCAGAAAGCTTAGGGGAGATGTATTTTTGGAGTGCGAGCTGTTGATCGAAGGGCTTGACTCATTGCCGGGCTTCTCGTACCATTTTTGGGGCCGGTGGGATTTCCATAGAGGATCCGGGGACATGCCCCGGCCACTCCATTCGGAGGTACTCCCTTGACGGGAGCGGCCATACCGACCCCGTCCGTGGTGGTCGAAGTTGTGATTACCGGTATGCTGGTGGTCGTATAGTTTAAGCAGGGAAGAGAGGATGCCTCGGCGGTATTTTGCCGGCCGCTCAATGGAGGTCTCGGAGTCACGGTCCTCAGAGGAACGATCCTCAGATTGAGTGTCTTGACCAGAGAGCGCGTTGGGCGAGGGAGCAGGGAGGCGAGTCAAAAAAGAAAAGTCTGGACGTGACATTTGTCGCACGAGAGTGTGGACGTTGAAAGTGCGCGGTATAGATTGTCCATCTACTAAGATGGCCCTGTCATTCTCAGTTAAGTCGTCGAAGAGTTGTTGTTTCTCGGAGAAGCTGATCATAGGAATTTCATCTCCATCTTCGACAAACACCACCTCAGTCGGAGTCGATGGGACCGATGACACTATGCTTGACCTAGGACTTGGCCTCGGAGAATTTTGTGGACAATTCGGAAGGGATACAGGTCGCTGGGTCCTTTCCAGGAGAAAAGCAGTCGTCTGCCCCTTGTCATTCGTATTAAAATTGGTCTCATTTTCCCATTCAGTTAGCGGAAAACTGGTCCTGCAGTTGATCGTCAGGCCAGTGACATCTGCTGACGCGGTCGAGCTCCTATCCTCCACTGAAAACCCCCGCTGGGGATTGAGGGGACCTTTTCCCTGGATGTGTGGAATGTTGGCGGTGGGGAGGGGCTTTTGAAGCAACATAAAGCCCCCGTGGTCCATTCGGGACTCGCCCGGGGATCCGGTGGGTTGCTGGAGCTTGATCTTGTCAAATGTGGGCTGGGCGCGATTGGTGTTTTTCAGAATGCTTACATTCCATTGCCTGCCCTGTGCCCCAACATCTCTTGATCCCCGCTCTTGATACGCCTTTGAGCTCTGCTGTCCCTCATTTGGTCGAGGTAATGATGGTGTATGTGACCCAGATGATGCTTTGTAAGTTGCTTCTGTTGTATCAGAGGTGCCTGAGCGGCGGGTGACTGGGAGGTCGAAGTAACCCCCAGCCATTTTGTGGCGCTATTCACGTTATACGTTATTTTTTTTCTCTCTCTGTAATGGTCTGTTCTCTTCGGTTTGCTACAAGGCAACTGGCTAATTCATGGCTTCGACTAATACTGTTGCTGAGAAAATCACTAGTGTGCAGTCTAGGCGGCAGGCTGTTCCTCCTAGCAACAGACGTCAGCTATGTGAGATCGCATCACAGAACAGCTCTTCCCAGGTGGTATCCACATGAGCTCTGGGATTGGACTCACTGGCTTATCTTTCTTTTGTGTCGAAAGCTAGTAGCAAATCAAAGATGCTGGAGAACCCCAAGGCTGTGGTTCAACGACAGCTTTGGCGGCAAGGAGAAGATGATCGAGAGGAGGCCCGTTAGGAATGAGAGTTAAGTCACAAGTGCATTATTAGTGATCTCAAAAGTTAAGCTCGGGGTAAGGAAAAGTGATACGACAAGTCTAGTGTAGATCTCGAATTTGGCTAATATGGAAGATCGTGAGCGCTAGCTGCGGGTGCTTCCCTATTTACACGGATAGAGGCAGGCTAGAAAACGCTTGCCAAGATGGGAAACACACGGGCCACATGAATTCCACATTAACAGTGGGGAAAGCCTTTGATTTGCTCTTCAAAACCTGGCATAGAGGGGGGGTAGGAGGCAATGAGATGGAGGGGATTCAAGCCGGTGTCTGCCAGCCAGGTGTGTCAGGGTCCTAGTTTTAGATTTGACTCGCCACGATGATAAATCACCCGCAATAATGCGGTCATGAATCTGACAAGCAAGTCACGAAGCAGTCTTCAGCCATCGGATTGGCCTGCTAGATTGATGACCCCGGCCACCCCTTCTCTAAGGTGGAGTGGGTATGCACCGAGATGGAGACCCGTCTTACTGGGTTTGCCACACGGATCACGGATCGACGGTCTGAATTATAGCTTATTCGAAGCTTTCCGGATCAGCATAATGCCAGGGGGTGTATAACTAAAGCTAAAATGAAAATCTAATTTTAATTTGGGTATCCAAATTCGAGCGCAAGTCAGGAGGAAGAGGGAGCATCCAAGCTCATTGCGAAAGGAACCAGCCCTAACGCAGTCGATCCCGGTTCCACGAGGAGAGGTATGAGGTGCCACAAATCACAAGTCTGCACTAAATTCCTGTCCATGGCGGAATTAATGTGAATGTATATGGATTGCAGTGGAAACGATGTGAGGGATAGTAGGGAAGCCGAAGGAATTTTGACATTTCTCACGCGGTTTATACAACCACCTGGGCAGCACGTCGATTGCCAATCTGACCACCCTAACTCCTAACGAGTGAGCAATCGCTTTATGCATTCTACTTGCTAATTTTTTTAGATCAAAACACGAATGGACGCGAAATACATCATTCTCACCCAACACTGATGTACCTGGATACCCATCATTCCGTGCATATACTTGCTGGACTGTATCAGATCGAGGCTGCTACGCGAGTCTATTACGCCGTCGGAAGGAACTCAACTTTTTCAAGCGTCCATCCGTTGACAAACATAACTATGACAGATTCATGTTTTTTTTTTTACTAGGCGAGGCCACAGGTTCCGCCCGTAGCGTCGGCAATGATAGTCTAGGTCGCACTATCCGGGGAAGGAACTTGTTTACCTCCTGTCCCTCAGGATTAGAGTCATGTCTCTTGTTCAGATAATTGGTGCCTAACGTTCGATCTTTGGTGATCTTAGCCAGTGGGAGAGGGCCCTCTCTGCAGCGTCATTGTGCTACCTTTCTTCCGCAAGGGCAACGCGGATCCGGACAGAGAAAGTTGACCAATTGCCAAAGTTAGCCTCAAGCTTCTGAAGTCCTGAGCCTGCATACCTGAATTTCCGAAATAATGCAGAAAGGAAATGAAGAATTCACATCGAAAGATGTTCTACACTATGCGTGCTACGTCCTATCAATCCTTGTGCCGCCAGGTCGCACCATGGACCGGGCTGTCGACCATAATCGAACCAGATCCGATATTCAAAAGAGCGTAACATATTGCATTTACATAAATCATATGCTTTTTTTAATCTGTCATTAAATGAAATGACTACTCTACTCTCCGTAGATAATGCAATGCAGCCCCCCACTCACCCCATTCTCCCGCGGTGTGACCACACCATCAACGGTCACACCTTTACCTTTCGCAGTCACACAGCCCCTAGGCTTGGCCTGCCGAGGATGGCCGTCTAACATGAATATGCGCAGGGACCAATATTACCAACATCTAATCTCTACCTAGTGTCAACTCAGCGAATCGTCATCGTGACACGCATGTCTCACAGCTGTCGGCGGGTCTTGAGGACCTCACTTTGGAATCTATGTGCTCAAATTGCATCATATCTCTTGCTTTTCTTTGGACAATCTCAAAGAAACCTATTTCCTATTAAGTTCAAAAAGATGCATGTTGGGTTACAGTCGATACTTTTTCTATAGATCAAGGTTCGCGGTCTCCCGCCGCGAAATCCACGGATATTTCGGGCTTGGGTCGGTGACCCACCGATCTGACCTAGATCGAGAGTCGAACCGATGTGGACAGACACATGCTGTCAGATAGTTTTGAACACAAAGTCTTTTGTGAAAGCCGGTTGAAATGGAACGCCAGCCATGAATTGAATTCACTTGTGAACGATGGTCATTACTCTTAGAACCATGACTGGACCGAACATCATTGCCCCGACTAACCCAAAGCAACTAAAACCCGGCATCCTATAGGGTTGACAACTTTTCTTTCAAATCCATGACTAATGTCATTAAGCTCGCAAATCCTAAAGGACATTTTGACGAAATCTTTGCCCAGATGTCAGTATATTTTCCAATGGTTTTAGCCGATGTGTATGATGAACACCTGGGCATAGAATAGTACTACTACTAGTAATAAAATCCAATTATGAACTCGAAGAAATATACTAGTAGTACTAGTACTGTCACTGACATACAATGATCATTAGCAACTTTTAATCCCTTCGATCATGGCTCCCGCATTCTTGAAGAGCAGTGCAAACTTTTGAATTGGTGGGCATATATTGTCCAAATCCAAAGCCTTGCAAGATGCTACATTAAAATTAGATACAATATCTGCCGTTGAGCGATTAGACCGTAATAACCTGAGCCTAGTATATGAGTCGCCATTCTCTTCCATTGCTCTCAATATTACCCCTCAGAAGAGCACTGTGTCAAACTTGAAGTCGAAGAGGCTAAATATACAACATCCGAGTCGTAGGTTAAAATAAACCAACACCCGGACAAAAACCCCCCCCAGCCCCGAAAACCCCACCAGATAAAGAAAATAATAATAATATAATAATAAAATAAAATAAAGAAGACGAATAAGAAAGATAAGGAGCCCGCCTACCAGATGAAACACATCCATCCAGTCCCGTCGGAAAGTACCTAGCCAGGGGTCGCAATACCAGGTAGAGAGTCCTTCCTATCTGGGCTACGACATAGTATCCAGACCGGGGAAAGGGTGAGCTAACGGGCCTCATACCTCACCATCCATCCATTCATTGCCCCCCCTCCCAACCCACAATCCCGGGAAAAACTTGAACAGGGCCCAGCAATCTTGCATTGTGCACATCTGCTGTCCAACCGATTGATCTGATCTCATTCCCGGAAGCTACCTGCAGCATGGTGACAGATCCATAGCTCGATTCGATCGATGGGTGTATCTCATACCCGGGGGACCATTTTTTGGGTCTATCTTGCCTACCCACGTGGGACGACTGTGGGACTAAGGTGATGCTTGTTTTTTTCTTTCTTCCTATTTTCCGGCGCTGGGGTGTTTTGTTAAGATTCGAGTGGGGATATCAGGGTCTGCTTTTGCGCAGGTATGTTCCCGCAAGACTGTGAGATGGATGATATTGCCTTCCAAGCTACAACATGATTCCCGTATTCGTATTATGGCCCGTGGATAGTAGATTGGAAACCAATACGGTCCTTCCAGCAAATTGTACTCATTGAATCCATAGATGTTTACCAACGAGATTATATAATTGCAAATAATTCACGCGGAATTGGATCAGATGACAACCAGTGTTTCTTCCCTGCCTACGGCGCTCGATAATGGGAACTTGAATCGACCCAGTGTTTCTACCAGTGCGGCAGCGTCCTAGAATTACTAGTGTTTCCTACACAAATTGTGATACAGACTGTTGTCCTGTGTAAATACTCGTAGCTTTAGTATACCTACAGTCAGAACTGGGAAGTACTACAAGTAGCAGATAGCCAGTATTAGAGTATAAAATTTATAATACTTCCAAGGTATCCGAACCGGTTTTTCCAGTCATTAACTAGCAGTTATTATATACAGCCTACTCAATACCCCGATTTAATAGGAACTGGCAAATAATATAGGTAGAATAGTGTCATTGAGGGGTGGGGAGATTATCATTTGCTCTACATTATGCAAGACACAAACAGTACGCTGCTACAGCTACAGCTACGACGAAAAAAATCTCATTTGCAGATATGCATTGCATTGCACTAGGGAATACTGGAAGTACATGACCAGATGTACGGCAGAAACCCGAAAGAAGAAAGAAAAGGAAGGGCAGATAACGCCACTTCCAATCGACTCGGAGCTCGCGATGCTCGACAAGAGGAACGAAGAATAAGCCACCTCAACCTCACAAAGAGGGTGGAGTGAGAGACTGACGTGACAGAAAAAGGGCATGGAATAGAAGGTAAAAGAAATCATGGGGGATCAAAAGGAAGAGAGAAGAGAAAAAATAGTCGTTGCAGACTGATCCAGGTCTTTCGTCACTCAAAACGTGAAAAGCTGGCGCATAATGCCAGGGCCATAAGGATAGAGAGAAAAGAAAAAGGAATGGATGGGTCTGTCTGGACCCGGGGTTGAGGCATCGAAAGAAACAGAAAAAAAAGAGCCCACCCGAAGTGGGAAGGAAATGGTCATACGTCGCTGTCACATGATTTGTCGGCATTACATGGGTGTCTTGCGCTTTTCCGCGCTGGACAGCACAAGCATTGGCATCTTGCGGCGCTCAGGTGCCTGAGTGGCGGAGCCCTGGGAGGCAACGACAGCCGCCACAGAGGGCGAAGAGGCCGCCGTGCTGGGAAGGGAGACGTTTTCCGCGTGGATTTCCGCGAGCTTTGATCCGAAATAGCCGTCTTCACTAGTGGGGGTTTCGCTTTGGAAGGGACTGTCTGGAGATTTGCGCTCGCGGCCAGTCTTCTCTTTGCGTTCGGATCCGATAGCACCGCTGGCGGCGGCGCGCAGACTGCCTAGACTGGGCTTGCTCGAGAGACTTCCACTGCGAACGGTCGCATCATCGCCATCGGAGAATGTGAACTCGTTCTCACTCGCAGGAGTGTTGGTACCTCCACTACTGTTATATCCGTTGCTACGGGAGTCACCCCGGCGCTCAATTCCAGCACGTACAAGATTGTGGACGGCACGACGGCGCTGCCGGGTTGCGAAGTTTTTACTTCCTTCATGCTTGGAAGTCGGCTTGGCAACAAGGTCTTCAAGCGACGGAGGTCCACGGGGCTGGCGGATGGGGTGCTCACCAGCTCGAGCTTGACCAGGTCCGAAAGTTCCAGTAGCAGGAGTGGGAGGAAGCACAGCTGATCGAGGTCCAGGCCCGATATTGGCCTTGGTTGTATCAATGTTCGTCTTCACAACGGGGTTGGAGGGAGAATTCTTGCGCTGGCTGCGACGAAACGCAGTCGACTCTGTAGGCGGGGATGGGGTACCACTGGGCGGAGAAATAGGCTGTGGGAAGTACATTTGCGAAGGAAGGGATTCGGCAGGAGGGGAGATCTCGGCACGGAACTGGGGAACCTGCTGGCCAACAGAGTAGTTATCCGAATATGGCGATCCGGTCTCCTCGCCACTGTTGTCCATGATGTAGCTTTGCTGGCCAGTCAAAGGGTTATAGACTAAGAACAAGCCTGGCTGTCCGGGTACAGCCTGCACCATGGGCTGGACGCCCTGCAGCAGCTGTTGCTGATATAATCCTGCACCAGGCATAGCAAGCGAAGGGGCAGCTTGTTGCTGAAAAGGCATTTGCCCCAGGCTGAGGCCCTGGAACTGCTGAGCTGCAGCAGTGACGCTAATCAACTGCTGCTGCAAACGCTGCTGCTGGGCCGCAAGGAAGAGATTGGTCGACATCCATTCCGCGTACATTTTTTCATCCATGCCATTGTCGGTAGGCATTTCGATCGTAGGTGGTGCAAGCACCTGCTCCGGCATGGTGTACATCGGACGCTCTCGCTGTCTAGCGTTCCCTCCATGCCCAGCATGACCGCTCATTCTCTGGCCATTGGCGTAAGCGTTTTGCGGGAATCCAGCCCCGGTGGCAGTTTGAGGTACGCGGTCCGAGCTTCGGTTATTGTAACCGTGGGATCGAGAGTCATCCATTCCGCTGCGTTGCTGATGTTGATAAGGGATGGTTGCAGAGCGAGGAGCGGTTCGTAGACCAGCGAGGAGGTGCGAGCGACTTGTGCGCGGAGTGGACACCGAGGGCTGGGATTCGTCGATTGTAGCTACCTGAGGGGGGACACTCAAGCGCTTGATGTGAGAGCCCTTGCCTCGGGAAGCAAAGCCCGATCCCGGCACGCCGAGGGAGGGGCCATTATTGAAGTTGTTGTTGTAAGTCATCTGAGCAAGACCGCCAGCGTCCATACTCAAGGTCGGAGGTTAAGGCGAAAGAGGAATATGTGCAAAATCTCAGGAGATTTCAGATGGGAAGTCCGTCACGGGAAATGCGAAGCGTTTGGGATCAACCACAAAGCTTCGGGCTGGGTGTGAGGTGATTAGGTGATTATGCTGTCTATGACAAACAGGTGATTCCGAACTGATCAAGCCGATCGTGAATTCGGAGATGCGTGAGGCTGAAAAAAATAGAAAGTGATTCAGAGTGGGCGAGAGAGAGGAAGAGAAGAGATCGTGGAGGTGAAAGTTGCGATTTCTGATTGTAGGCACCGATTAGTCGAATCTCACACACAAGTAGGCAGATGAGAGACTGGTTGCGTACCACAAGCGAAAGTATGCAGGAGTGGTGAATGAGAGGCTGATTGATGCAGACAGGAAATGCAATATGCCACTATTATCCAGCTGTACAGAAAACTGATTGTTCCTTTTGCGGGTTTTTTGTTTTATTTTTTCCTTCCCGACGGCGATCAATAAACCGAGGGCGAACGTCGAAGACGAGAAGCACCGAAAGTAATTAGATGAAATACCGAGGCGAGGTCTTCCGTGAGACCAAGAATCGAAAAATAAGATAAGAAATAATCGAAATGGAGGGAAATGCGCTGCAAATCCCAGCCGATGGAGGAAAGAGAAGACGTCGACGCGGTAGTGCAGGGAGTTCGGAGAGGCGACAACACGATCAGCAGCCAGTCAGGGTCGAATAGTTGAGTGACGAAGGGATGTCTAGCGAGTGCCTTGATGGAGAATAGTTTGTCGACGACTGGGGTGTCGGGTTAAAGGAAGATCGAAATCGAAGATGGAAGCGAAATCGTCGAGACTCGGCCAGACGCGAGTTAACTCTTCAGGGGCGGAACGAATCGGAATGAACTATTTGCAGGGAGTAATTTTTTTTTCGAGGGATTTTTTGCGGAGTTTTCCCAAGGAGCTGCAGAGAATGAAAGAATGCAGGGAAGAAAAGAAAGAAGCGAAGACGAAGATTATAGGAGGATGAGGAGAAGAAGAGAAGGATGAGTGTGGGGAATGGGCGAAAGAGAGGAACTTGGGTTACTAAGGCATTAAGGCAAAAAGGCAGCAAGGCATCAAAGCGGTCAGGAAACAAGGCACACAGGCAGAAAATAACCCCGATCAGGACTAGCGTGGACAAGGCAGGTGACCTGGTTGGTTGGTGCTGGTAGTTACTATGGGACCCCTTGTCTTCATCCTCACCTTTCTCTTTGTCTACACCTACTCAATAGATCAATGGATCAATAAATCAATAAATCAATGACGCCCATTCAGCCATCGCCATCCCACAGACGCGAATCGCGCCAGCTGAAGTGAATCGATTGGCCCGGACCAACCGCCAATGACAGGCGCTTCCAGCCAGTCCTGAGTGACGAGGCTAGACCCCCCCGTCACATCGCCCGCTCATCGATTGGCTGCGGCCTTTTGGGGCGTTGCCTCCCCTCGTCTCACAGCGCCCCTGGTGCCGCCGCCAAGCCATACCCTCCCTGTCCTACTATATTCTTTGCTCCATACAGAGGGCATCTTTTCTTGTTGGCGGGGTCTTCCGAGGTTTCCCATCAGGCATGTCATTCTCCAGGACTCCCCTCATACCTCTCCGCTGTCTCTCCCGACCCAGCCTGTGCACGACAAGCGACGTGGGGCGGATCGTGGTTCGGGCAAATGCAAACCGCCCATCACAGCAACTATTTGGACTAGCGTGATTATGATCTACATCCACGCCGATCCCAACGTGTCAGCCTAATAAAACAATTGGCTAATCCCCGTACGAGACACAATGCCTTGGTGTGGAGAAAACAATAGGTTTCTTTGCCCTATGTACACATACTAATTCTTGTACAGGAAATCCCTCGCTTGAGGGGGGCTATGTGACGGCAGACCCAGTCCCGAAAATCATACCAGAGCCTCCAGAGCCTCATCGGACCAAGAAACCATGACAGAGAGAGAGAGAGGGGGGGAAGAAAGAAGAACGCCAGAGGAAGAAGGAAGAAGGACAAAGAAGTATCTAGCCGAGTAGAAAATGGAAATGCAATAAACAAGGAGAATGGGGTATCTGTTGGTCAAATACAACCTCACCAAGAAAAGAAGGCTTGCCAGGAGAAGAACAGACTGCGCAATAAAAGTCGTTATGGGTACAAGACGGAAGAAGTCAACGAACAAGTCGAGAGATCGGAGAGATCGGAGAGAAGAGCGGCCGTGGCCACTCACGCATCTACAGCCACGCCCGGTCCTGGGGGAAGAGTGGCTGATTCGTTTTGTGAGGGCAACCGTCGGTGCTCGGGCTCGGGTGATATTCCCTTGCCATTCATGCGATCAAACTCAAGAGTCTCCGCTAATTCAGCTGCCATTGGGTCCAGCTCCTCTTCCTTGAGTCCGGTGGCGAGGGCCACCAGCTTACGGTGCACATCAAACTTGGTACTTACACCCGCGTCCGCTGTTTGCTGGGCGAGATCTTTGACCGTGCCCCGGCGCGTCTTTTGCGCGGCGCACAACTCGCGTGCAAGCCGATACCGAGCCAAAAGCTCCTCCGAGGTCAGCGCAGAGGGATCCGACTGTGGCATGTCGGGTGGAGCGCTGGTGTGCAATTGCTGTATCAGACGAGCATGCTGTGTCTGCTCAAGTAATGACTCGTAGCTAGCCCGCAACTTCTCATATCTTCCAAGTTGGTGGTCGCTGGGTTCATACTCGGCCTCCTTTGCGGTCATCGCAGCCAGTTGCCGCTGTATCTTCTGACGATCGGATTCGAGCTGCTCAAAAAGTGCCTCGGGATTCGCAATGTCATTTGAGTCTTGTTGATTAATTTTGGAATTGCCGTAGGTCACAGCGAGCTTCTTGTTTGCCTCTGACATGATGGTGCTTATCTTCGTGAGCAGCTCGGAGGTGACGCCAGAATCCACGGGAGGCACAATGGTATTATGGTCCGAGTTCAAGAGGTCCGCTCCGGGCCCATCCAATTGGTCATTCATCATTGTCACCGATGACGGGGCAGGGGGAATATCATGTTCATTATGGCGAGAGCGTTGGGTGATGCTATTGGTCGTTTCTCCCTTTTTATTCATCAAGTCACCAGCTCGAGGGCAGTGTGTGAGGAGCATATCCACGAGACGAAATGCGCCATTGCGGGAGGCCACAAGGGCCGCTGTATCGCCGTTGTCATCTTGGCATGATAGCAGCAGTTCGATCTCGTCCTGTGAACAAGTTTTGCACAGTTTGTCCAACAGGACTTCACAATAATATCTGGAACTCTTCCACTTGCCTTTGCTCCGGGTCGTTTCGGATATATGGTGGAAAAGCGTCGCACCAAACCAATCACGGAATGAAATTGTGTCAAGCAAGAAGTCTAGTAGAGCCGGGAATGTGCGCTTTTCATAGTTATTTGTGAACAAGACGGCCCGAACAAGAGGCGTCTCTTCGTGAATCGACAATGCCTTAATATCGGAACCTCGTCGAAGTAGGTCTTGCACAATATCTAAATCGCCCATTGAACAAGCCCAGTGGAGTGCCGTATTTCCAGAGTCATCAATGGCACGATCGACTTGAAAGTTATCGGGGGGCTTTGGAGGGTGAATTCTTGTAGCCTGGGGAGCATCGCCCACAGTCATAAAATAGTCGAGGAGCTGGTCACCGTAGATGATATGCTCTTGCTCACTGATGGACATAACTGCTGCCTCGTTCATTCCACGCTTGCGCTTCCGTCCACCATGTTGAGACATTTGCAGCATGTCTTCATCCGCAATCATGGAGGAGGTTTCCATACTCGCTTGCTCAATAGACTCGTTGTCATCGAATTGGTTGTTTATCTCATATTGCTGATGGTCCTGAGGCAGGGTCGGTGGGCCCATGTTGCGGTTGGGTTGAACCACATTGAATACTTCGGTTGCTGCAGATCGATTGGTGGATTTGCGCGGTGCCCTTGGCTTTGATGGAGCTGAAGTGTGTTTCGGGGCTGGGGGCGGGCTGCGATCTCCAGCCACATAGTCGAAGATGGGGGCAATCTTCACGAAGATATTGTTACGCTCTGCAAGTTGGCGGCCCTCGGGGAGAGGGATCCATGTTCCTGCGACACAAATTAAATGAGCAAACGCTGGTCCTCCATATCTTCCTGTTCACAGGGTTATCATACCCTGATATTTGCCATAACCGCCTTGTACTTTCTCATGAACTCCCTTTTGGACTTCTCGTTCCAAAATTCGAGTTCTTGCAGGCTTGTCAAACCCGGCCGCCTTCAGAATATGTGTCGCATTGATCCAATCGTCTCCCCTTCGTCTCATCACACTATCACCGTCGATCTTGAGCTCGTACACCGGGACCTATCGGAAATGAATTAGCAAGGTTGTGCTGTAATGAGAGCAAATGCAATCTTCATATACAGTATGATCAAAAGACGCTCAGTCAATTCACAATACGTACACTGCTGTAGGTAGCCGAGTAGATCATATCCAGTGTCGCCGCCATCGTGTAAGTTCCTGACTTGAACGACAGTGATCAGGTAGGGTTTCCGAGTCGTTATGGGGCCAGTCGGTGGTCGAAGCCCCTCCAGGATCGACAGGGCAGTATTATCAAGAATGCTTCAAAGCCCGACACATTGCACGCACGCAGATTGGGACCGATAGCGTAGGGACACGATTTGCGAGTGGAGCAAGGGTGGCAGAATGGCAAAATCGCGCCGGCGCGTCTTTCTGAGGAGCGACCGCGTTAAGTGGGCGCTAGACCCAGTTCGGACAGAACGGGTCCACGTGACCACATCGAAAGGACTCGGGTCACATGATCATCGGGAACACAGGAAGATAGCGAAACGAAGGTGCAAATCGACTACCTCGACGTCCAGCCCGATCTCCTCCACGCTCTCCCTTCTACAACCCTTACAACTTGCCGAAATGACTGTCGTCGAAGCGGTCAAGAGCGCCGTTGGCCTTGGAGAGACCTCCGGTACGATTCCTGGGCTAATTGAAGCCATCTTCAATCCCCGAAACCTCCGTGTCATGAAGCTGACCACCTTCTCTAGCCACTCGCCAGGAGATGTCCGAGGCTCGCCTCCCTATGCAGTACCGCGATTCATGCGCCCACCTTCTCATCCCCCTAAACCGCTGCCGGCAAGCTGAATACTACCTTCCCTGGAAGTGCGAGGTATGGAGATCTTTCCAATGGACCGGACCACTGAACACAATTGGCCGATGCAACCCTCTTGGTTTAAATGAAGGCTGACATTTTCGTTTCTTATAGGATGAGCGCCACTCGTATGAGAAGTGCCAATACGTGGAGTTCAAGAAGCGGGTGGCCAAGATGGACGAGCTTCGGGCCTCCAAGGAGGGCGCGCGCAGCAACTGATTTTGCGGGGAGCTTCTGAAGTGCTTGTGTTTTGGGCGGCCGGGACTGCTGGTCAAGCAGCAGGTTATGTACATAGATGATATCCCGAGACTGTTCATGAACTGCCATTTTGGCGTTGGGACTCTTCAATTCTCCATTGCGTGGGATGTAGTGATTCAAGTTGATGTGGTAACACCCTACTCGTGGACTGCCATCTAATCAAATGTAGACTGTTACTAGTATTGGGTCGGATTATAGTAAACATCAACTAGGGACGGGTCTGAACCATGTTCGGTCAGCCCTCACAAGACAGCCAAACACCCACAAACAAGCTTACCCCAAGATATGATTTTAGTGATTGGTAATCTATATTTGTCACTGCCCGTATTGGTCAGGAGAGACAGCAGCACGAGCCTCCTTGTACGATTTTTGATTTCTCATTTCTGATCATTTGAAGCGCCGATCTCAGGACGTAATGAACCTGACATGCAACCCTGACATTCGGGAAAGTTTTTCTTATGTTAGTCTAATTTTGTCTGATGTTTGGGATCAGCCCCGCGTGGCGCGCTATGCGCCCGTTTGCTGTACTGCATGTCTGTCGTGATTTGGGCTCGGCATTTCATTCAACCTGCGCTTCTTATTCGCGGGCTACAGGGATTTTAGAAGTACACGCATAAAGGAGAGGCAGCAAGTGCTTCAAGTTCCTCAAATATCGTAATATGCTAAAGAGTAATCAAGTAATCTGTGTAAGAAGTATAAGACATCGGGAATTGAACGCAAAATCAGGTGATTTGCTTAGAAATCGGCCGTTATCGCGGAGATGCCCCGCCGGAAAGTGTTGCGCCTGAAAATTCCCAGTCGAGAATTAAAAAGAACCAGCCGGAACGCGGGGACTATGCGCATTGATTTCCCTCCTTAAACTTCCAAAGGCTGCTTGGATAGGCAACCGATCCTCTGCCTTTTAATCCCTTCCCTCGCACACCTACTCTCCTTGTGCTGCGAGTGCGGAGAGATCCCCATCCGATATCATGGGTCTTCTGTATGTGCTATGTGCCTTGACGAGACAACTTTCCTTTGTTGTCTTTTCTTTCGTTACCCATTCTCTCGTTACACTGCTGACCACTGTCTATAGAGCCCTTGGAACCGCGCTGGAGTGGCCGGAGGCGAAGAAAAAGGCTGGCCTAGTACGCCAGTGGGGCATTGAGGTATGTCGGATGAGGGGTTGATGGATCACCCAATCGGTGTAGGAAATAGAGCTGACAAGCCAGTGCAGCAATTACTCACTAACTGGCGCCGTGCCAAAGGCAAGGAACGTGATGCCCTTCTATGGGGTGACGAGGTGCGCGCATTCGATCCCATGTTCCCACCCGCTTCATAGCGGTAGACGCTGATGGTCTCCCTTCGCAACAATTTAGGTCGAATACCTCGTGGTGGCCCTCGACGATGAGACAAAAAAGGCACGGTTATCGTTGGCTCAGGCCGAGATTCTGAAATCCCTTGCCCGGGACGAGGCCCTCTGGAAGGCTGGCGGTGCCGGGCAGGGCGGCAGCGGGGACCAGTAAGTGGAATCGATCGTTATACACCATGGAAGTTTGGACTGTCATTCTGACAACCCCCAGTGATGGCGAAGATCCCCCTCACTTCCACCCCGAATTCGGTCGATTCATGCTGGAGGCTACACCCGGACGTCCTTGGGGTATTGGTTTCAAAGACCTCCTGAAGGTGGAATCCAACATGAAATGGAGGTAGGTCAAATAATGAGCATCCATGAGTGTTTACACTTGCTCACTTTCTTTTCAAGGCGAGAAGTTGCGAAAGCGCATATGGCGCCGAATGAATCCCCTATAACTCTCACAACGTTCCCCCGACTGGGCACAAAGGACGACTATATTCAACCTTACTATCCCCCATCGGGGCCGGCTTTACGGTCTCAGTTCGTCCCTGATGAGATCGCCAACCCGCACATCCGTTTCCCGACCCTCGCGGCGAATATTCGCACTCGCAGAGGGCGCAAGGTTGAATTGAATGTACCGGTCTTCAAAGATATCAATACTCCCTCACCATTCAAGGACCCTACCGTCAACTACGACCTCCATCAATGGCCCGAGGACGCCGACGTGCGCAATGGTGCTGCTAAGGATGACCATGTCTATATGGATGCTATGGCATTTGGCATGGGTAGTTGCTGCCTGCAAATCACCTTCCAGGCCAAAAATATTCCGGAGGGTCGAAAGCTTTACGATCAACTGAGTCCACTGGGTCCGATTCTTCTTGCTCTCACGGCAGCAACTCCGATTTATAAAGGTTTCCTCGTGGACACCGATGTGCGATGGAACCAGATCAGCAATGCCGTGGATGACAGAACCCCCGAAGAACTCGGTGAAGCTGTAAGTTGTTCTGGAATTGAAATAAGCTATATCACAAGCTAACCCCTGCCAGCCTCTCAAAAACGATCGCTGGAGGATCCCCAAGTCTCGGTATGCTTCAAACTCGACTTATATTTCTCAAGACCCGCGACTGCGGAAGGAATACCTTGATCCAGATCTGGTCGTAGATGAGGACATCAAGAAGAAACTAATGGACGGTGGAATGGACGATCAGTTGGCGACACACTTTGCTCATCTGTTCATCCGAGACCCATTGGTGATCTTCTCCGAGGATTTGGAGGAACTTGACTTAAATAAGGGCGATCACTTCGAAAACCTCCAGTCCACCAACTGGCAGCACATGCGGTTCAAGCCTCCGCCCTCCGATAAAGATGACATTGGTTGGCGAGTGGAGTTCCGCCCTATGGAGATTCAAATCACGGATTTCGAAAATGCGGCATTCAGCATTTTCATGGTCCTCATCACCCGTGCCATTCTCAGTTTCAACCTAAATTTCTACCTGCCTATTCCGCGCACAACCGAGAATATGGAGACGGCACATGCTCGCAACGCTGTCCTTGATCAGAAGTTCTATTTCCGCAAAGACCCATTTGCCGAGCGGACCCCCCGGAATGCTCAGCACTCATCTAACGGCAGCACCTTTTCCTCGACTACCTCTTCGGCGGTTAACACGCCCCCGCCCTCCCCGCCCTTGGGCCCTGTCGAGTCGGAATACGAACTCATGACTATCTCTGAGATCATGAATGGCTGCTCTGATGGAGGATTCCCAGGTCTCATCCCCCTGGTAGAGTCTTATCTCAACAGTGTCAACGTGGATGTCGAGACACGCTGCTTCTTAGCAACTTACCTTGACCTTATCCGCAAACGTGCTGATGGAACCCTATGGACCGGAGCCCGATGGATCCGTGAGTTTGTAAGCAAGCACCCCAGCTACAAGCAGGACAGCGTTGTTTCCGAGGAGATCACCTATGACCTCGTTAAGGCGGTCGAAGAGATGACGGCCAAAGAGGGCAAGAATGGCTCTATTGGCTGGGAGCTACTTCGAGGCAAAAAGAATTAAATAGACAAACTTATTCTCTGCCCTTCATGCAGATAGAGATCTTGGACATGAAAGCATCATACTAGACCATGAAATTAACTTGCACATATGGCATGGGGGTAGCCCTTGGCCACGTTTAAAAAGCTTCATGTAATTCTTGTTGAATCCACAAGCGCATTAGCCGAAGTCTGGCTCTGTATGCCGAAGGTTTGGACTCAGAAGACTTCTTGTCAGAACTATCGCATGAAATTAGGACCGAAGTGGTCAGAGTGCTTTGATTGACTTGATGGCCGATTAGAGCTGATGTCTGGCTTCTACGACTGGGATACAAATCATTATTCGGATTGGCTAATTTGCCATAATCATCAAATTGGCCGCTTGCCAATTCTCTCGTACTACGCAAACTCAGATCGTGGGACGTACTAAGACGGAGATGTAGGTCACACAAAACACAACAAGCCGGAGCCCGCTGCAACGGTAGCAGCATCCTGAATAAACAAAGCCGGGCCTAGAGCGGCACATTGGGCCATTTAAAAAGAAATAAGCTTCTAGATACATAATTGGAAGTTTCCAGAGAACAAGAGATTCTTATATCGAGTACAAACCAACCCCGTAGCACGCCAGTAATGCTCCAACACTCGGCCACATCCTCACCTTAGACATGAGCTGTACAACACCAACGTCAAACTGTCTCGTCCCGGACACGCAAACAGAAACAGAAGCCATTATCGCCGTCACTCGGGGCTTCCTCGCCGCGCTGAACGCAAAGTCACGCGTCGACTTTGAAAAGCATTGTGTTCGCGCCGGCGGAATGACTCTCTCACCTCCATCACCTACAGCTCTTCGATTCTGCACGATCGGGTCGTTCATCGAGTACATGGCGACGTTGAAAGACGATATTGACGAGCGCATCTGGGACCCCGAGGTCAAGATTCACGAGGCGGGAAATCTTGCTGCGGTGTGGGCACCATTCCGGGCAAAAATCAATGGTGTTGTGGACCACGTTGGTGTTGAACTGTTTGTGCTGCATAAGTTGAATGGCGAGTGGAAGGTTACTGGACTGGCAGATTCTTGTCGACGGCCGACTGCCGAGGAGATGGGGATGAAGTGACGCATACCTGTGAGGGAGCTTGAATACTACTAGTCGTAGGATTAGATGAGCGTGGAGTTTGGGTGGAATTCTTAATCTTTTGTGACAAATTTCATTCCTTCCAGGTGTAAGATCTAATATTCAACAGCCTGGTCGAGAATCAATTTCCGCTTCATTTAGACATAACTGCGTTGCCCATGTATCATAACACTCCTTATCCAAGACAGCCAGCATACCAAAGGTATACCCCTATGATGGAGAACTTGGCGACTGAATTTGACCTTCCAGCTCAGTCCTTGTATTGCTGTTGCTCAGTTCAGCTGGGTTATAGTTCCCTGGAAGCTCAACCACGCGGATAGGTGCATTCGACGACCCTTGAGTGGATGAGGGTGCTGCTACCTGCTTCTTGGTACTATCCAATACCGCGATATCCCGTCCAAAAGGAGATGATGAGGTATATGTAGTATCTGGTGAGCCATATCCAGAAGGTGCATATCCCATATTAGGCACTGGTTTTTGCGCATGTGCCCGACGACGTCGACCGTTGAAAAATAAAATTCCCCCCGAATATCGCAACACCTGCTACCACACCGATGACGATTCCTGCGATTGATCCGCCAGATAACCTAGTCTCAGATCCAGATCCAGACCCAGATGACGACGTGTTTGTCGGTGTGGTACTAGTTGCGGGCTGTGAGGAGGTAGACGAACTCGTGGTCATTGAAGAAGATGTGGTAGTCGCGCTTGGATCGACTTTGAACGAATTTATAGCTGCGGACGCATTCTTGCTGAGAAGATGAGATGCCCATCCACCCGCCACACCCGAGCAGTCACTGTTTCCGTATAAAGAGATCTCAAAAGGACCCTCTTCAGAATCATACTCAAATAGCTTTCCCTTGGGATTGCTGATCTTTGTACAGGACATGGAAGTTTTTGAATGTTCGACAAAGGACGCATCCGATGCATTTCGCCAAACCAGGGTCCACGCCTTTGTCAATGGTAGCAGAGAAAAGGTATTTAGCACTAGCAAAAGTATCTTCAGCTGCATTGTGAGTATATGGTCAGGGTTGAGGAAAAGGCGAGATGAGCTTCGCTGTGTTGCTGCGCGGGGAGTCAACCAGAGCCCTTTATGTCACTGCAATAATGTGCAAGGGGGACATTGGGGTGTGAACAAAACCTCGTATTCTGTGTTCATCGTGTTGATCACAGCTGAACAGCTGGGCATGTAAGTGGACAAGTGAATCCCTTGGGGTCTCTGATCCCTACTGGTTATGGTATGTGATCTGCACGGGTCTGCAGGGCTCAAAGTATCTTCGATAAAGTCAGAACGAGGTCTCGTCTTGTGGATCCTTGGCAGAGAAATTGGCGTCTGAGGCCGATCAGATAGGATCCCCAAATATTTTCGAAGGGCCTGGTCATTGGGTAGACATTTACCTGAATCATCGGGGCACCAGGGAATCGGGGGATCGGTACATTCAAGACTCACCGGGAATGCTCACATCATATTTCGGCTAACCCCCTTAAATCGAGTCACTGATGCAATATTCTAGGCATCCGTTCCGGAGATATGGCTTTGCTCGTATATTGCGGGTTAGGATTGGCCCATCGTGATGCGCACCGTAGCCAATCAAGTGACCATAAGAATCCTTGTTGGAAGCGGCTGAAGTACGAGAATGAAGTTTATTTCCAGAAAGCTAACGTTCATACGGGGTAGATCCTCCTATTTCAAAAAATTCGTCGATCAGCTAGAGATTTTGGTATTAAACTGTGAGTTTCTGCCCAGTCATCAGATATTTCAGATTAATTTATACCATCATGCTGATTGAACACGGAGGTTTTGTCTCATGAAATCCAACTCAAACTTGTCGCCAACCTGGGAAATTCTTGCGTACCTAATCCATCCCGTCAGAGATAGAAACTTTCCAAGGTTGAAAGTTACCAAAGTTCCAGCTTCATTTTGACTAAATCTCGACCCAGATACCCACTGAGTATCAACTAGAAGGGCTAATAATAACAAAAGTCTCTGGGTCGAATACATAATATCGATTCGCATTTATATTAAGATCCGATCTTAGACCAGATAAAAGTTCTAACTGGATTAGGTTTATTAAAACAACACTCAGCGCCTTACTTGCCCCAATGACGATGACGATTTTAAGTCCAAAAGCCAACTTCAGGAGGTATTATTTGTTTGGTACGGCTCGGAGTATAGTTGAATCATCTCCATGGCATATTGAATACCTTCAATTTTTGTCCAGTCATTTACTAGTAGTAGGATCTGATTATATCCCGGTATAACTTGAAATAACCTGCAAGCCTGCTCGATTCCGGTACAGGGCCTAGCAGTAATTTCGCGGCCACTCTTTCTTCCGCGGGTTTTTGGTATTGAACGAATTTTTGAATTCGGTTCCAGCAGGTCTTCCACATTAAACTGTGCCAGTGTATTTATTCACTTAACCAATAGACCATTCGATATAAAGTACCTCTGGGCTCTAGCAATTTCAAAGTAAAGCTTCAAGCATGTTACTGGGCACTGTATGGCAGTGTATGCTTAGTATTCAACAACTAGTACCTAGGCGTCAAGCGCAAGGGTCTTATAGGAATTAATACTAGACTTTAATTAGTAGATCAAGATTCTTCGAGACAAAAACTCTCACTGAAACACATTCATATTGTTGAGGAATGGAGCCTCAGGCACCAGTATCGCTTCCTTGTTGCTGCATTCCCTCCTAGATATCTAGTCATTCGCATGCATCCACCACTTTCATGGTTCTGAGCTTCTGCCATATATTTACCATGTAAATTCGCAAGGTGACGATTATAAATCCTCTTGTCCAAGGGTAGCTTCCGAGGTCCCATCAAAACCCCTCTCCGGATAAACCTCGGTCTTAGTGGATGTCACTCACACCAATCTGGGCATTCATCCGTGAAACTTTCTGCACTAATCCCCGCAACCTAAATCAATTCTCGCAGTACTACCTTGAAGAAGCAAACTTCAGTCCCCACCTGAAGCACTGCCCTCTTCTTCCCGGAATTCGGTCCTCAACATCGCCGAGATCTCCGGGGTCCGAGAGCTTGACATTGTCACGGCAATCAGTTCCGGTAGATCTTGTACACGCGAGTCCATCTGAAGCGAGTTTGTTTATTATCCGGATGCTGATCATGAACAATTCGGGTGTGGGGCCCAAGTCTTCCCCGCATATGCACTCCCGCCACGGTTTTTCTTCGGAGTATATGAAGATGGGGAAATCCCAGGCTACTGCAGAGCCATGAATGATCATTAATCATTGTCGTTCTTCTTTCTAGCCACAATGATTCAACTGGCACTTGGCATTGCCACCTTGTTGGCGACTGTCCATGCTGCACCAAGCACCAAGTCTCCAACTGCTACTGTCCGCAACGGAACTTATTCCGGGGTCCACAGTAGCACATACGACCAAGACTTCTTTTTAGGAATTCCATATGCTCAACAGCCGGTAGGAAACTTACGATTTACTGTGCCGCAGTCACTGAATGAAGGTTGGGATGGAGTTCATGATGCGAAAGATTATTCTGATATTTGTGTTGGATACGGGGTTGGTATTCCCTCTTTTTCCCCCTACGGCTATTTGATTGCTAACTATTGCTTAGACAGACTCTATCTGGTATCCCCAGTCGGAAGCCTGTCTGACACTTAATGTGATTCGTGATTCTTCTGCGAAGAAAAGTTCCAAGCTGCCTGTCGGAGTTTGGATACACGGCGGAGGATTCTACATGGGATCAGGAGCCGATGAGCGTTATAACATGTCTACAATTGTAGAAAATTCGTACAAAATTGGTAAATACATTCGATCTGCTGAAGGAAATTTTGTCAAGCATTCTAATCTGATGTCGAAATTTTATAGGCAAGCCATTCATTGCTGTTACACTCAACTATAGACTTTTTGCCTGGGGGTTTATCAGTTCAAGTCAAGTTTCCGGCACAGGAAATACAAATCTTGGCCTGAGAGATCAGAGACTGGCACTTCAGTGGATTCGAGAGAATATTGCTGCATTTGGTGGAGATCCCGATAAGGTCACCATTTGGGGCGAGTCGGCTGGCGGTATGTCGGTGGGCTATCATCTCACAGCGTATGGTGGCCGAGATGATAAACTGTTTAGAGCCGGGATTATGGAGTCCGGAGGCTCAATTGAAGCCGGCCCATCAAACTATACGACATATCAGTCATCCTACGATGAAATTGTTTCCCAGGTCGATTGTACAAACACAGAAGACACACTTCAATGCTTGCGAGAAGTACCATTTGAGCGCCTTAATTCCGTTTTCAACGGAACATATGGGTATTCTGAGTACAATTTCTCTCCAGTGGTTGACGGAGACTTTGTTCGAGAGTGGGGAAGCATTCAACTCGACAAGCATGATTTTGTCAAAGTTCCTATCATTTCCGGGACCAACACAGATGAAGGCACCGCCTTCGGACCAACCGGAATAAACACCACTGAGCAGTTCTATGAGTATCTGACGAGTCAGGAAGCCCACCTCTTTGTCATGTCCCTTTGCTAACCTCGTCTCAGATGGTTCGCTCGACTTCCAAACACCTCCAAATGTCGCGAAAAAGATTCTCGAGTTGTATCCAGACATCCCCTCGCAAGGTATTCCTGAGTTTTTGGGTAATAAGCGAGTTCCTTCAAATGGCTATCAATGGAGACGTACAAGTGCTTTCGCGGGTGACTTTGTGATGCACGCAAATCGACGACGGCAATGCGAAGCGTGGACGGAAGCCTCCACGCCAGCATACTGCTATCGATTCAACGTACGCTCGGCTGATGTGCCGATCCTCAGTGGAGCGACTCATTTTGAAGAAGTTTCGTTTGTCTTTCACAATATCGCTGGGCTTGGCTATCATTATGGAAAGCCTTTTGCGGGGGTCCCACAGTCATATATTGATCTGAGTTATATGATGACGAGTATGTGGGCTTCATTCATTCATGATCTGAACCCGAACTCCGGGGTAGTCAATCAGAGTATTCATTGGGGGGTCTATGATAAGGAAAAGCCGTTGGATCTGTTCTTGGATGCCAACACGACTAGCCACATGGAACCTGATACTTGGCGCAAGGAGGGAATTGACTATATCAACTCGGTTGCCCGAGCGTTCTGGCGATAGGTACTGGGAGCTGGCAGCCACTCATTAGATCAAATTCTGCGGATAACCAGATTTTCTATTTTGAGAATAATCCGACCTTTTGATTTTCTATTTTCAGAATTAAAATGTTATTTTTGATGCACGTTGTCATTATCTGACCATCTCTTTGTCAATTTCAACAAAGCCTTTGTATGAGCCAAGTATGGATTAATTCTTTAAGCATTATCGGCAAGGGCACTGGCTCATGAAAGGTTCAATTTAATGAGACAATAACTTTTGCAGGCTAGAATAAAAGCTGGGAGCATGTCAGACTGTCCTTCAAGACTGTTCAAGATATTTATTCCCCGTTAGGGTCAGAGCAAGGAGCATGAAATTTTCCATCAGGTAAAGAAATTGAAATAATCTCATTCTATTTCTAAGCTCTTTCATCTTGATATTTTCTATTCTTTCCATAATGACAGATGAGGGTGGCCCCGACAGCTGCGACAACTGCTCCAATACAGCCCATAACAACAGGCAAGATGGAGTCTCTACAAATGAAAGCTCCTTTGGCAATTCTGCTCGACAGCCTCTTCGCATTCCCCCTAGTGATATTAGCAGGGAGCAGGTGATGCATCAAGAGGCACTTTCCTTATATGCTTCTTTTCTAAATCAACGAGATGGTTATGTGACCTGGATTCAAGCAAATATAAGCATGCTTTCTGATGATCAGCCTGTTGCATTCTCAGAGACTGAGAGAATGCTCAATACTATTTCACGTGGTCTCTCCATATTGTTCCTCTTCCCAACTCATTTTAATGCTGATAAGCGGCCCGGAGCCTGCTTTGGTATTAGAGCCAGTAGAATCTGTCAAGCAATTCGCAAAACCATCAATATTATCAGGGAATCGACCAGTTTTGATCCAAATGCAGGCAAGCTTCTACACATAATCAGTTTACAAATTGGGAGATTGACCCTTGATGGATATGGTGAATCTGATAACAACGCTATCCGCTTCAACAATGAAGCCAATGAATTTGACAATTTTTTACGGTCAAGTGTTCCCCATTCCGAGGCGCCTCAGACTAGTGAGTGTATTATTCACCAAGTCTGGGAGCTGATGACGCGTGCGACATCATTTTGCGACTGTCGCCAGTGCTACCAGGGAAGAATTTCCAGTGATCCACGACTAATGCCCGGTGGAAAACTGCCCATTGACGATTGCTTATGATGTTTTCACTACTACATTCATGCCATATTCTTTTGCAGAGAAATTATGAATAGCATTCTTGTGATTTTTTATTCTATTGCCAGTACTAAAAAAGTCTTTACCTTGGATAAATCCTTCCCGTTAATATCAGTAGTTCAATTTCAACGTTTTCACCACTTCTTCGCTGGTTGAGCCGTCCTTTGAAAAATCTCATAAGACTCCATTGTATATTCCTGCCAGAAAAGCAATCCAATAGATGAAAGCAAATAGTAGTTAAATAGCGCTATGTGGTAGATGCTGGTAATATATGGTAATTTCCAAGAAACAGGGAACTCCAACTCCTCCGTTCTCATAATTCATCGATTGATGGCATTTCATCCAATGTGGTTGTCTCTTTAGTGAGTTCCTCGGATACACACTTTTCACATTGACATGGGAATTTGAAAGATTTTCTAAGATGCTCACGGCGAGAATCTCGGTCCGCAAACCGCGTCAGGTCAAAATATGAGATGCAGCATTCTTCTCCAGGAAAAATATCGTGTGATGCCACGAAAACCATTCGGCCCATTTCATCTGGCTTGTGAACTATCTGCGAAAAAAATTAGTACTTTTTCGGCCAGCAAAAAGGGAGGAATAATGAGTGCGGAGATTTCTTTTACATTCGGCACGCAGGAATGATTGGCTATTGATGCCGTGGGATAGACGGCCGCGGCGAACTGTTCTCCTCGATCCACTGGAGGATTCGGCGATTGCAGAGCACCAGTTTCACGAGGATACAAGCCAAAAGAATTTGCTTCTTCTTGGCAGATAAGATGAAGTATTCGCTCGGTATCCAACCCATGCGGCAGGACAAGGCTATGCTTCAGATATTTCTTCACAAGCAACGTCCACGATCGGACCTGGTCGTGAGCCCAGGTATCAGCTGATCCACATAATGAGTCAATCGCCGCCCAGCCATGTTTCCATTGTTGGGCTTTCAACGCGGCGATGTTGCCGACCGACGCAGGTGAATTTCGCATCTCGGCATGCCGGGTGGCTAAAAGGCGAACAATCAACCACATCATGCCGAAATCATATTCACCTCGTTTAGTCCTAATCGGACCTGCATATCTTTTGAGCCAGGTACATTCAAATTCGTGTCGGTATTGGTCGGTGCTCTGGCAAGTATTGCTACACCATGCAACGTCGGGAATGCAGGCTTTAGGGCAAGGGAGTCGCCCTAGTTGGCGGATAGCGCGACGATTACAAGCGGGATTGCTGCAAAGGAGATCATCGTTGGATTCCGGCTCATCCACGACTGGGATAACTGCGTATGGGCGATCAACGAGAAGGCGGGTGCCTTTCGGAACAAGGCCCGACACTCGAAATTGGCGGCCTTTGATCGGGTCAACGCTCTCGATCAAATGCGGGTGGATCCAGTCGGGCGTCTGGGAAATCGCATCTACGCGAATTGGCGTCGATGAATCGACAGTGATATATACGACCTCGGACATGGTGCTTTCGTGGTACCGGGGGCTCTCGCAGGGCGCAATTGGGTCTGTGGTGCTTACAAAATCGAATTTTGAGGTCAAGGGCAAAATTTTTGCTCTGGATTTGTGCTCAGAACAGGACCGCACTGCTGAGCAATCCGTTTGGTTCTGGTGGACGAGTGGGCCGGTTTTCGCCATTCTGGGCCGCGTCCAGCCAATACAATTGCCATCCACAGCCCCGAGGTGAGGTTATTCCGAGCGACCGCGGATGATTGGCGGTACTATCCCACGCATAATTTCATGCATATCATTGGCCAATGAAGCTTAGCTTAAGCTCAAGGATCCATGCAAGGAAGCAGTGAGATTTATCATAGGTCTTGCTCTCTTCGATTTGTTTGTGGACCTTCAAGCGCCAACGGGCGGTGGTTTTATTCCACATCCTATCACGCCAAAATTCTCTTTTGTTCTAGGTGAAATCGGAAGTAAAAGAGCGAACTCGACTGGATTTTGGCTGCCCTAAAGCGTCGATAGCGAGTTGATTAATTCTTGGAGTGAAAAAAAGAGAGAAAAAAGAGAAAAAAAAGAGCAACGCTTCGCGGACCCACATTTCGGCGAACTTCATTAATAGAAACTCAGAAATCCAGATCACATCCACACAGAAAAATGTTATGAATGCTCTCTTTGTCCCATCAATAACCAGTCCGGTTTCAAACTCTGACGGACTACGAGACAGGGGCTTGAAACTTGCCGAGTCGGGTCCTCAATAATTTGTATCAGCCCGAGACCATTAAACTTGCACACAAAGATAAATACTGGTTAGGCGCAGCTTGCATAGCAAAATGCGGGTACATATACAATATTATGATATAAAATCAATGGCATTGATTCTTTGTCAACTGAATGATGAGAAAGAAACCGGGTGCATCTGACTCTTTAAGCAGGAGCACCTCCTATAGAACAGAGCATGCTGGGTTGCAGTTGTCACAATCGTAGGGCCCCGATGAAATACAAAGGACGAAATGTTCTTAATTATTAGCATCATCCCCACTACTACCCATCTCACAATTCTTCTCTTGAATTCTGACTTCTCATATTATTAGGCATGCCATTTGCCTACGACGAATTTAAGAAAAATCGCAAAGACTGGGTCAATGAGCTTCAATATTTCAACAAGGTATGGTACAGGTCCAGAAAAGGTCGACGAAACCATTGGAAGCGCAAGCAAGACTTCATCGAAATGCTCCAAAGCCAGCTCAAACAATTTGTGGAAAATAAATTCAGTGAATTGACTACAGCCAAATGCTTTGAAGAGAAGATCCGAGAAATCTTGGAGGCAATCAAAAAAGTAAATGAGGATGCGGTTATCCGTGGAGAAGTACTGAATATGATCACTATGGCAATTGGCCGACTCACCTTTGATGGCGGATTTGGTGAAAACGACACCTTTGCAATGGAATGGGATAAGCGGGCAATGAAGACCGATGAAACATGGCGTGAGAATGCGCCAAGGGATGGAGATGTAAAAGATTTTAGACGGGAACAACTTCGTTCCATATGGGCATGCCTCTCTGTGGTCTCTGAGGGTTGCAATTGCCTCCAGTGTATTAAGCGCCGCCCTTCATCCAACGCATCGACAGCGGTGCCAGAGACTCGGACTGCCTGGGCTTTCATACGACACCATTGGCAAACTTTACTTTCAGGTATCTGATATTTGAAACTACAATCTCCTTATCTTGATTTGAATTAAATTCATTGGAATCCTTGCTTGCGCGCTCCTTTCTGTTCGTATCGACAAACATAGTAGAATTCTCGACCGTAATCAACCTAGTTTCACGGCTTTTGGCTTATTCTTTGTTATCGTGCGTATCTTCGGGGGAATGAGGAAAAACAATGGCCATTTTTTTCTTTGAGAGAGCTCTTTCAACCCTTTGATATTAGCTCAAACCTCAAACCTCCGTTTTACTAAATTGACTCGTATTGACGTTTCCTCGAGCTAAATATAAAGGCGGCGTGGAATGGCAGGGCATGATAAAAAATTTAACATAGTTACAATCAAACGCGAACAGTAATTCAGCAATACCTTACTATATACCGCCGTAGCTAACTTTCAGCCAAAATGACTACCACATCTAGTTTTTCGGTCTATTCTCCAATTTTTATAATTGCCCGAGAAAACATTGTTAGATCCCTCAGAAACAAGAGGAAGCGACTAACTACAGATCCTGAAAATGAATACGAAGACCTCGCGACCTTTTTCAAAGAAAACACTAACTATCTTTGTACCCTATTAAGCGCTGACATATGTGAACAGAAAACCGGAAAATGCTTCCTAGCCAACGTCAAGCTAATAAAGTGGGCATTTGATGAGTCAATCGAAGATGACCAGGTGGGTATCGACCAATGGACCGAAATATTGGAAATTCTTGTAATGCAGGTAGGTAGGTTAACCCTTGAGGGATACAATACCTCTGATAAGTTTGCTTATAATATGAACGAGGAGGCAAAAGCACATAACGAGAAATGGCGAGAAATTACAGATCAGGAGGATAAGGATAGGGAAGATCAGAAGAGGCAGCGTTGGCTGCATTCGACGTGGCCGCATTTTGAGTGGTACGATCAAACATGTAAGTGTTGCCAATGCCTCGAGTTTGAGAAGCCTAACCCTCTAAAGCCTAGTTGAATTTCGGAGTATGAGATTTCTGAAAGAGTGTAGCTGGTGTTGATTTGAGCAGATCCAAGGGCGAACTTAAATAAAGGTGGCCCCAGTATTTCCATGGTTGCATAGCTGACCATGGCTCTTATAAAACAACTTGTTGAATAAATGAACTTTTTTTCTTTGATGATTCGGAACTTTTGCAATCAACCTAAGACTTCCGCACGTGCTAGTAGTGTGTGGAGCAAATTCATATAGAGCTAGAGAGTACTATAGTAGGGAACAGGCATAACATCTCTGTCCAAGAAGAATTGCTACATTCGACGGTGAATCAGGGAAACTTCAATTCTCCTGGTCTCTTTCAAAGCTTTGTCCATCTATTAAATAACTTTGTTCAAATCTTGTTTGTTCACTCAAAGAGTAATAAATGAAAGACAAAGAATGACAATCCACCTTTGTCCCATTGTCATGATACCGTCCATATTAAAAAGGGGTTGGATATAATAAACATCAATTATCCTGCCAATCCTCATTAAGCGATTCTTTGAAAATCCAACACTCATTACCCAGAGTCAACATGGATGGACGAAGCCGAGCTGTTGATTGTACCTGGGAAGAAAAGTCCAAGATTTTTGCTTCGAAAAGAGATGATCTAGTTCGCGAATGTAAAGAACTACAAAAAAAAGTGGCAGCAACCTTGAAGAACCCTTTCGAGCCAAGTGACGAGGGGCCTGGCAACAGTCAAGCTCTCCGTAGGTCAATGAATGACCATTTCATGCAAATGCTTCATCTTCTGTACACACTGGATCAACTAGGCATAGATGAGACAAAAGCAGGGCTTTGTTTCCGCGCGAAAGTACAGATACTCAGATTCATTATTGGAGGCGTCATTGAGGATGGCTCAGTGAGACTGGCCGATCATCGCGGGATTCTTGATGTCGTAGGCACACACTTTGGAAGACTTACCCTTGATCCCGATGGAGTTTGGGATGAAAACGCAGATCGGATGGATGACAAGGCAGACAAGGTATTTAAGCATTACCGTGACCTTGCTGAGAACGCCGGCCGCCGTGTCTGGCGAAGTGAAGTTCTTGGGCGGGACTTGAGGTGGTTCCACGACTGTTGGCGCCTGGTTGCGTGGTATGAACCACAGTGTGGTTGTTTACAATGTACCTCCAGGTCCCAAGTGTGCACTTTCAGGGGGGCATGTTGGAGGCAGGATGATTATGAGGTCGTAAATCGTGTCGGGATTTCACCGGGGGTCGAGACCTTAGATCCTCTTGAGGGTTGGGAGATGGAGATGAATGATTGTTTGGGTGAGACTTACTAACAGGTGTGGTAGGAGTTTGAGGGTATCGTGCTGACAGATGCTTCACTTCCTTTACTAGAGTTGATTCAATAATGGCCAATAACCAACCTCTTTCTTTGTATGTAACAATTCACAAGTCTCAGCAATTGTCTCATATCAATAGCTACTAGTACCAACTAGCCGTATATTAGCTACTACCTCAACTATCACAATGTAACCAAGCTAAAAGTAACATTATCCATGGATAATTCGCCCCACAACGAGTCGGACAAACACCCGGACATAGGTAAGGACTTTACCTTTCCTGTCTTAGTATACCATATATACCTCGATAACCTTGGAATATAACGACCAATCCGTATCTACCACGTGCTTACTATAATCACATGTCAAGATCCAGATTTAATCTAAAAGTACTACGTCATGACAAGCCATTCGTAGATTTGAGCCACACTCCCCAACTTGAAGGCGAGGTCAAGGCCTCACCCGGATCTTCCGAGAGTGGGGTCTCAGACCATGTGGCCATCTCGATTTCGATCCCTCGAGCGCTTCTAGATTAATGTCTCAACGGTCTCAGCGCCACCGGCGGGGTTCATAATAGATATGAATGGCATCCGAGGTTCATGAGTTCGGATCCGACGGCGCCGAGGATGTCCCAGCTTAGTCAGGTAATTAATTAATTTATGTTCTCTCCATGTCGTCATTGGGTTAGTTCAAATCGTGCCAAATACAGTAGTTTAATCTCGAACATGCTAGAGAAAGCTAGTTCCAAAAAAGAAAGGTAACGAACGCTTCCAAACATCAACGCAAGCTAGTTACGTAGTATGAATGACGGAGTGCACGGGAAGTTCCCATAGACAATCATCATCATCTACCGCTAACTACCCCGATCTAGAAGTCGTCGCCGCAGACTATTAAACTAAGCGTAAGGAGTCTACAATAGTAGTAATGTTCCTATTTACCGGGACGGGACGGGAAGGGAAATGCCGATCGGAAAACAAGATGCCGATCGAGATCTCGCGTGGGGATCACGCACGACTTGCCTTCCTCCACCAGTTCACGATCAACGTAGTCCTTTTCTAGACATGTCTTAGCCATGCCCCCATCCGTTATTGAACTTTCCGACCCATTGCCGAGCCGCAATATAGTCGCAGAGAACGAGTGGGCTGATTTAGGTGCCTATTTACGGAGTACAGCGTGGCTGCTTGTCGGATCTAAATTCCAGCGCGTGAAAATGAGGCGCTTATAGAGTGGATCCTCCGATGCAATCGGGTGGAGAGCCACTATTGAATTCTTTTCCAGTTACCGCGAATTCTAAAGGGATAAGTGGACGGCTGAGTGGGTGCCATCGTCGCCAGATTTGTGTCCTGCTCTACTCTATACTCTGTACGGAATACGGAGTAGTGGTGCCTTGCTCCGTACAAGGATCCTTCTGATCGGATTCAATGAGACTAGCGACGTGGCCCGAAGCCACATCTACCAAATTTTTCAAGAAACTAACTCCTACCCGAAGCGGTGGGTCAAGATCCTAGCAGCCTTGCGCTGTCTGGTCTGTATCTGACTGTAACCTAGGTATCTGAATACATTCATACATACCTGTACTCCGTACGAGGGAAATACTAGTACCTACCACCAAACAAAGAAAAGCAAGTCTACGGAAAGAAATTAAGGCACCTAGAAAAAAGGAAAGAACCGAAACGTGAACAAAAGCAAAAAAAAAACTCACCGCTAGGCGATACACGCTGACTTGCGTGTGGGCGGTCGATCTACTGTAAGATCCTACGTCAGCCGAAAGAGAGCCCCCCTAGATGAAGCAGCGATCGCCCACGCGTGCATGCAGCATGGGAGATCGGATCTCGGTTGCGATGCCAATCAGCCACGATTTCCTGCAGTACGACATCCCATGCGATATGGTGGAAAGTGAGGCGATCGTACAGTAGCGTACAGTACGTACGTAGCCCAGATGCAATCTCGTAAATATGCACCACGCATGTCACGAGCCGACGGCAGTGATCTAAGTTGGATACATACATACATACATACATACATATATACATACAGTACGTAGTCGGGCAATAGTGGGCAAAATGGCGTCGATGCAGGCGCTAGATCTTGGAACCCCCCTCACGTAGCCGTGGGCCATTGAGGATCAGACCATTCGTCTTGCGGGTTGGGTATGGGGATTTTGGAGCGCTAGTCTCGTCACGATCTACCATCCAGGAGAGGAGAGCGAGAGCGGCGAGACAAAGCCACATGCTGGATGATCCTGTAAGAGCAAATATGTAGGTTTCTAAGGACGGGGTACGGGCCACGGTACCACCAATAGTGTCAGTAGTTTGCGCCTACGATCTCCCATGAAGTAGGTACAAAGCTCATTGTAATTCGTATTCAAGGTCCTCCCCCTATCTACGAGTAAGCCCCTCCACCCAGAAAAATCAAATTCAATAGCGTGCCAGACTGTCGGTACTGTAGCTCGATTCATCTCCACTAGCCCCGCTCATCTCCCCCGATAGACTTTAATCCGCGTGAGATTCCACGGTTTCTCTGGCTTTGTTTGTCTTTTTGGGTCGCACGATCCATGGTCCTCAGCCGCCGCTAGTTATAGCACCGAGTGAGCACTCTTCAAATGGGAGAATATTAATAATAAGCCTACGTGCCCCGCGCATTGCGCTGATCATGATCGGCTTGCAGAATGATTCTTCAGAACTTAGTCTTTGACCCGAAGTTGGTGCGACGGGCTGTGTATGTGTATGTACTCTGTACGGCAATTCTCCTTACGTGTATGTATGTATGAAGGGTAACTACATATACAGACACCGTACGGAGGGAGATGCTGTCTTCGTTGATATTAATTGTCCACTGGTATTCTCGGATAGATCCGGACTATAGATCTGGGGCACTGGGACCCCGATCGGTGATTGCGCACCACTCCATATCAGGGCCAGCCAAATCCCGAGATCCCGAGATCTGATCTCATCGTAGCGGTGACGTGAAAGAAGCAAAAAAAAAATGGGGGCGGGGATGGAGAAAAAAGCCACCAAATACTCTGTACAAAGAGAAACAAAGGAAAGTAAAAGGCACAGAAGACGAGAAGAACATGAAAGAACAAGCCGGGCTCCACTACGGAGTACAGCTACCGCCATCATCGCGGGCCCAAATTGGTTTGGTGCGGGAGGCCCAGGCGGCCGGTAAGATATGGATCTGCTGTGGACCGGCCCTGCAATTTCATTAATGTTTCCTATGAACCAGGTGAAATTTAGAGAGAGGGTTGGAAGAGGGGCGACCTAGCAATGCTAGAAGAAAAAGGTGGATCATGGATTCCACTCACAGACCGACATTTCAAATCATCTCGCTCTCAGTCTAAGCCACCCCCAGCGATGAGGTGTATAGCCTTGTCCAGTTCCTCGGGTCCAAGATGAACTTCAATATTTAATATAATCTGAAGACATACTAGTACAATATACATATGATGCTGCATACGTGTCAAGGTCAAAGGGCATGACTCGAGCACATCAGACAAGACATCGATCGCAGAGGCGCAGCATGGGCCCTCTAGTTCCAAGATAGGGTTTGCCATGGGTACGGATCGCGAGGCTTGTGTGCCGCACGGCACAGGCCAGGGCCGATCTACTCTTGCAGGAGAACGGTGCGCCTGACGGGAGTTGGTTTGGGTGGGAGCCCTGGAGTAAAAAGTAAAGTCAGAGAGAGAGAAAAATAAAAGATGAACCATACAATAACAATACAATACAGAACGCCTCAGCATGATGCGTACTAGTACCTAGTTGTGAATATTAGATTGGCCAACTACATGTATAGAAAGCAGACTAACTACTACGTACTGCAGGATACAAGCAGCGGCAATCGCCAATCGAGCCACAACAAACGGGCCGTCATACTAGACTAGCTAAGAATCAGAGCGAGAGCGAGCGAACAGGCGAACAGGCGACCGCAATATTGGTGGATAATACACCCCGTGCGCAGTACGGAGTCCTCGTAGTCGAGATACAAGTACAATATTCGCCACTTTGCGGATCTATCCTGACGATGAACGGAGTACGCCGTGCGTTCGATTCTTTCGATTTATTTTATTTTATTTCAATTCGATTCTTTCAATAACCCATCACGCTGGGAATACTATCAAAGCACGGGTAACTCCCATGTTCGAAATCAATGAAGGATTGACGGGGTACCGCGAACCACAGCCACTCGCCATCTCGGCCGACACCGGATCTCGGAAGCGGCGACTTGGATTCTTTGGTATGGTTCGTCTGTTATGTCCCTTTGCAGCCTTCTACTATTAAGTCATATTTTTTTTCTTTCGCGCGACGGGTTCGGTTCAAGCGACGTGGCAACGGAGAGCATGGCAATTCAATGCATGTCACTGGATAGTTACTAGTGCAGTGCAGTAGTTTGGTTCATCTGGTGGATGTGCAGCACATAGTCGCGGTGGAGAATACCTTATTGGTCTTCCGCCAAGAGACTTTCTTTATTTTTCGAGCAGCCAAGCAAATAAGAAGGATGGATAGCTCCATACGGAAGGAAGTGTATAGACTATGTACGGTCAATCCATAACACATACGCATTCAAGAAGCGTGGTAATTCGTAACTGTATGTACTATGTACGTAGTATTCTTATTCACCGATCTCCACAGGGATGTGTCAACGCGACCACAACCCCGATTGGGTTGTTCATGGACAGAACCCCCGTTCAGATCACACGAAGTGGGGAACAACGCAGACGATTTCAAATACTGCAAGGATGCGATCGCTGCCATCCCATCCCATATCCTCATATCCCTGCTAGTCTCAGCCTTGGCCCGGAGCGTTGGGAAATCCACCAGATACAAATCCAAATTCAAATTCAAATCCCGATCTCAGTCTGGCTCTGAATCTGACTCTAACTCTGACCCCTTCTCGGTAGTCGCTAACTTCAGTCCAGGATGGACAATCCAGTCGGTCGGGACAGAACTGGTCAATCAGCCCCGACGCCCCCATCAATACGAAGTAGATCCAGTCTTTCTTCCAAATCACTACTCCGTAATGCATAGCCTCAGGCTAACCAGGTCGATCGATCTCTTCCTTAGGAAACGAGATCAACAACTACTACTCCTTGCCAAAAAAGCTCCCCCCACGCACATTCATACGGACCAAACCTCGGAAGGATGAATCGCAAAATTGAAGCGGCAGCCGATACTAGTCCCCCCCCCCCTTCCTCCCTCCCCACCAAGTCAATCCCTCCGAACAGGGGATGGGGCCCTTCGATCGGCCCCCAAACCTCTTTCAGACGAACGGGGGCCTGTCATTCTCTCGGAGATAACTCCTACGAGTACAAGTAGACTTTCAATGACAAATCTTGAGACGCGCGACGCGCCACATCACCGTGCCCATCCCCCGCGTACCGGTGATGATTCGCGGGAATCAAATCAAATCAAATCAAGCGGTCTGACATTTCTTTTCATCCTTCTCAGCCCCGGGGGCTTTGCGGAGTAGGTACGAGGTACGAGTATTCCAACAGGATAGAATGTCCACTAGGATTCAGATTTGGAGGATTTGGAATTCGCCGAGTAGTAGCACGGAGCGGATGGGGTATACCGCTCTTTCTTCATACGCGCATAGTTACTAGGCTAAGGTAGTCTCTACCTTACTCCGTACGTATGTGTCTCTCTACATACGATCGATCGTGGGGTCTGTTCCCCTCCTCTCTCCTCCGCCCGCTCCCCTCCCGCTCCCGCGCAAAAATGGAAACAGAGACAGAGACGGATATGGATATGGGTATGGGTATGGGTATGGAGCCACTTGGCCCGCATAACCCTGCACGCTTGGCCGATCCGGGCGCCTGTCGGCTGCTGCAGCATCGTAAATTTACCGAGTATCTGCAGCTGTTGCCGTGACGTTTGCTTTTGTGAGATCGGATCGGGATCGGATTTGACCTACCTAGGCTAGATCAGATCAGATCAGATCAGATTTTATTCGATCTGAATGTGAAGGCGTTCGAGTTCGTTAGGCTAGGGTAGGAAAACTCTGCCACGTTCAGTTCTGTTTCTGTTTCACGGAGTACAAGAAAGACTGTTTACCTCTTTTGCCACAGGCATTTCACATACGTGTTGCCCTACCGTGACCCAATTAATCCTTCCTCAACTCACCAGTAACCAACGCTTGCTTAGATATTGGTTGAAAATCTCTGTTCGCTTTTTGCCTTCTGCTCTACTCTACTACTACTTTTCGCCCCCATGTGGCCATGTTAATGTAATGCCCAGCCTTTTCGCGAAGGCACCAGAAGCATACATAGTAGTAGTTACTAGGAGTGGGATATCAACCATGGAACGGAGTTCGCGGGTCCGGCCGTGACTTCATCGGAGGACCGAGAGATTCCCACCCACTCGTGGCAACTCTATACTACTAGTTACTAGTAGTAGTAGTACTCTAGAATAATCTTAATCTTGGCATGTCATCATAATTTGCAATTTTATTGATTTTGGGGTAGGAGATCTTGCGAAAAGAAAAAGGATTGCGCTGTATCTTGCCATCAGGGTTCTTCCAAATTGCCACCCGCAAATCGTCATGAAAAAATACTAGTAATAGAGGGATATGCTATAGCAAGCTGTCAATCAAGCAAAAAAAAAGAAGAAAAAACTTTCATCCATATAGACCGTGGAGATGCTAGAGAAACCAAGATCGTACACACATCAGAGAATAAGGGAAGTACTAAGTAGACATACTCAGACACGCACCGCACCGCATGCAGAGGCGATGGGGAGCTCGGGGACGCGAGAATGCAGGGTATAAACCAGGATCAGAGGGGAGGCAAACAGTCTTGGGGGGGGGGGGGGGAGAAAAAAAAAAGCCTCGAATCGTTTTCGCCGAGGAGGAAAAGAAGCAAAACAGTGAGAAAAATGACAGAAATGGAGGGTAATCTATGCTTTGAAGCCGGGCTCCCAACGCTGCGAGGGTATTATATAAGGGCACCGATTAGGAAGGTCCACACACGCAGTAACAAGGACAAAGACGAAAAAATCCAAAGATGATAAGATGATGCTCATGAGGGAATATTCCAGGAAGTGAGGGCGTATAAGCGTATACCAAGCTGAGAAGAGATAAACCACACAACTCGCGAATCCCCCAAAAAAGGAAACCAACAAGAGAGAGCAAGCGAGAGGGTGGGGGTGTGAGATGAGGTGTGTAGGGTAGAGTAAGAATTAAACAAAAAAAAAGAAAAGAATCCAAAAAAAAATCAAAAGGAACAAGAGGACCGATCCACTGAACTCCTTTTTGCCCCCGTTTCTATTTCCCGCCTTTTTTCCAACGCCACATGAGAAAAAGAAGCTTAATGACTGGTAGGGGATGCGGAGTCAAGCACACTCTTGGGCTTCAGGTTGGAACCCAGGGTCGCCGCCTTGTTGGCGCCCATCTTGCGAGTGAGCTTGGCGTAGTGTAGGCCACATGCGTTACACAGCGTTCGGGCACCATCTGGACCCCGACGCCATTCTGGTGTTTCGGCTCGGTTACAGCTGTGGCAACGACCAGGAGGGGCCGCCTTCTGCAAAAACGTGGAATGGTTAGCCATTGACAGCTCGGAATGAGGGGAGTGGGGGTGGAAGGGGGTCCGACACCATGTCAACCACGGTGTTCAACAGCGGTGTGCACGGGGATAAATGGGTAAATCAGGGGAGAAGGAAGAGCTGAAAGGGGAAAAGGTAAAAAAGGGAAATGAACGTTTGGAAAACTTACTCCACGCCGTTTCTTCGCATCTGCCCCGGCAAACCCACCCGTGCCCTTGTAGTCTTCTTGGTACAGAGCCATATGCTCGTCCTCGGGCTTGTAAGCCTTTCGTTGGGCCATTTGCTCCGCCAATGCCGCTTCCTGGTTCACGACCGCCGTCCGTATCCGGATCAACGCATCTTGGTTCCGACGCTGCATATGGAGCATGTCCTCCACCTCGTTCAGTGATGGGAGAGACCCCATGACCGGTCCAGACCGTTGCGTTTGGTGTGCCCGTGCAGCATAATGTCGTGAAAAATCCAATGTTCGTGTGCTCATCTCGGCGATCTATTCGAATGAGGAAAAACGTCAGCCCACTTCTTTCCAAGTTTAGCCGCCAAAACAGCCCCCCATGGTCCGCGGATCGCCATATGACAATCTCCCAACCGTTGATCACAAACCCGTTCATCGGGGTTCTCAAAATAGAGCAACCATTGAGAAGGACTCCCAATTTCGGGGACCAAACAGTTGCGACGGTACCAGATAACAGGGGGGGACGGGAACGTAAGAGAAAAATCCATACCTCGTTAAGTGACGTCTCCACATCGTAGACATCCAAATGTCGCTTTACCGAGTCGCTGTGAGGCTGGCCCGGTATCGGACGAGCCACGAACCCACCCTTGACTTCATCCACGCGTGGCGCACCCATGTATCGACTATCGTAAGGAGCTTGGGGGTAGGACGGGCCAGCCGGTTGAGAGGGAGGAAAGTTGTAGTTTGATGGGAAATGGTTGTAGCCGTTAGGGGAGGCGACACTGCCAGCAGAAGGAGGCGCGCTATAATCGTAATGGGAGGAGTTCTGAGAGCCGGAAACCGAGGTGATGCCAGTTTTGGCGCTCTGCGTCGGTGACTTGCCCGTACTGAGGGAGTTGAGAGACGCGTTGCGTGACTCTTGTGTGTTGATGGAGGTGAGGCTGTTGCGCGAGGCATCGGCCTGGAGCTGGGATTGATGAGGGTAGGCTGGTTCCCGCATCAGCGATGCGGCGGGTGGTGCATTGGCGGAGAATGGATTCGGAGGTCCTGCTGGACCTTCCGCGCCGGGGCGCCCGATTAAATGTGAAGGTGGTGCGGTGTGTCCGGGTTGTGATTGAGGAGCAGAGGTAGGGGCGGGGTATGGGAGGGAAGGGTCGTTGCCCAGGGCCTCGTGGATGGATGGGAGGGACTGTCGCGGGGTGGCTTTATCCTTTTCATCCTCGAGGGTCCGGCGCGACTCTGATGGCGACACATAGCCGGATTGTGAAGGTGTGTTGGTCGCGTGCGACGCATAGGCGTACGGTAGCGGTTGTCCGGAGTACATATTGCTCGGGCTGAGTAGAGGGGTCGGCGAAGCAGCGTGCTTGGAATACCCTGAACCGTCCTTACCGAGGAAACCGATGGCAGGTAAAGGGTCTCTGTGAAAAGATGGTTAGCATTGTATTCTCAACTAGCGCCTTGAAGCTTTGGGGGGGAGCTGTGTGCTTGGTTGCGCGCGCGCACGCAACCAAGCAAGCATTCAGCAGGATGATGACAACACACCTGTGCCTAGATGCGGCTTCCAAAGACCCCATCACGTTCTGAAGGAACAACCGAAAGGGGAACTTGTCACGATGGAAGTCCCAACTTCATCAACGTCAGATGGGGAGGGGTGGTGGTGATGATGGAAGAGGGGAAAAGTGGAGGTTTGGGCCGATCGCGAATGAGTGGAACAAGAGGAACAAGAGGAACGATCGAAAAGAAAGTGATCTTTGGAAACGATCTCGATGGGCGAAAGAGTCGTAGATAAATCAAGGATCCGGCCGAATGAAATCAATGGGTCGACCTCGAATCAGGAACTTAAAGGCACTTGAACCTCGGAAATCGACAAAGGCCTCTCGTGCGACCAGAGCAAGAAAAAAAACGTTCCACCAGTTCGTACCGGGCGAGTGGCGGATAGATCGGAGATGCGAGACTCGAATTCGTGGGAGAACCGAAGAATGAATCTCGTGGCGTTGGGGAGAAGGTTGGGGAATGGGTGGCGGGTGCGAGTTAATTCCGAGGGAAAATGTGGGAGATGGAGACGTGGTGGGAGTAAGTTGTGAGTGTAAATGTAAGTGGGAGAGTCGATGAGTAGTATTCGATCGATCGGACGCAAGGGGTTTGGAGTCGGGCGCGTGGTGTGGGAAGGGAAGAAGAATGTGGTGGAGGATGATCAAGATCCGATCATGGTATGCCCAGGTGGTGCACGAGGGGGGGGGGGGGGGGAAAGGATAGTGGGTAGAGTATATAAGACCAAGACCAAGACTAGGAATATCAGATGGGAATTAGACCTCAGGGAATCGAAGAATAAAAGGGGATCGAGACTATTTCATTTCGGGCCTTAGATTGGAATGAACCGGGGGGGGGGAGGTGAACTTAATGGGGGGATTTATTATTATTATTATTATTTGAATTTAGGATAATAATAATAATAATATTTATTTTATTTTATTTGAATTTATTTTAGTATTTTAGTATTTCTCCCAAAGTATAAGTAAAGCGTTTTCATCGGAATCTAGTGGATCGAGATGGATCGTACTTTGATTTAGCAGGGATCGAGTGCAGTACCATACAGAGTATACTACAGTAGAACTAGTATACTATACTAGTATAGTATGTATGTATGTATGGTACATACACACTAGTACATACACTGAGGCAAATTACCATACAGCGAACTGCGGATCTTCGGTGGGGTGGAGAGACTCACTAGTTGCTGCGATGCAGTGGGGTGGTGGAGCTTCTAGAAAGGGACTGTGATGATACTGACTAGTAGTAGTAGTAGTAGTTAACTCAGGGTGAGCTACGAGTACTCAGCTTTCGGGGCTGTACTAGACTATGTATACTGTGTATGCTATGTATACTGTACGTGCAGTGCAACATTGCTCAGGAACCTCCAGAAGTATGTACCACCCACATCGAGGTTGTCACATCGCCCTGGAGTGCCCAGTATATACTGTATTCACTATAGTGGACCTAGGCAATGGCACAGCAATGGCACAGCCATTGCCTAGTATTAAGCATCTAGGTACTAAGTTTACTTAGTACCTAGTGTTACCTGGGTCTAATTGTGAGTACTATACAGAACAACCATGGCCAGAGCCATGGTTGTTCTGTATACTTCGAGTCCATAGCTGCCTCTCCGCTCTTACTGGGAGCCGCTGTGCCACTGCCACTGCCACTGGCAGGAAAGACGTATGCTCAGATCTGAAGAATGGGCGTGTGGAGACTGTCACACAGCCCACTTGAAATCGCGACTGGATCACCCGCCAATGGCAACCAGCACGCTGTCGTACAGGCGCATCGGATCTGTACTCTGTACGGAGTACTCTGTCCGTCCTGGGGCCTACATAGTACGACTACTGGTATATATTCTATTTACTACCACTAGTACTGCAATTCCAGGGTAGCCCGCCGGGCGCTTAACCAGAAACATTACATAAACACCCCGGCACTTCCGAATTAACTTAGTCCTCCGCAGTTTAATCTACTATATATTAATGGATTCGGAATGGACTCAATTCAACATAAGGTCTCCGTGCCAATCCGGATAAAAATAAATACACATCCATCCTCCCCCCCTCGGACTTGCTTCCTTCTTCAGTTTCCTCCGGAGGGGCGACTCTAGCAAGCTTTTGGATCGAAGATCGGACCACCCGAGACTTTATTGGTGAGATCGCTCCTCAGCTCTTCAGACCCGACTTTCGTACTTTCGTATAGGGCGACTCTGTCAGGAACATACACCGATGACGTAGGGATTGAGATTGAAGGGAATCGGGGTAAAGTCGGCCAAAAAATCTCTCCTAGGTCCAGAGTATACATACTACTTCCCAGCATTTATGCTACGAGGTTCGAGTACTACTCGTATACGGTTCCCCCAGGTGACAGCACCCTTTTTTCTTCCGACTTTGCTTTGGCCCCCTTTTTTTGAGGGGGAAGGGTGAAGAGGGGGACCCGCCTAAAGCCGTTGGCATGTCATAATGCCAATTCTCCGCCCCCAACCTCCAACCTCCACTGGTTGAGTGTACAAAGTATGAACTAGCAGCAACTCTGTTCAGGGATTCTCACTTCACATGAACTTTACACAAGTACGAATACAGCTCGGCTCCAAGCACCTGGTACCTCCCAGCCTCGTCTTCTTCGTCTCCATCCCACTGATTTCACTTTCTCTCTCCCCTCCCGCCGCATTTACTTTGCGCACAGACATCGCCCCCATCGTGCATGGCGTAACGGTCGCCCTCGCCCTGGGCCCAAACAAAAAGGTAATCGACCCAAGATCTTCGGAATCTCCAAACGCATTCCCGTTGATCTGGATCTCAAAGCGCCTTGGCAGTATCTTCCCATCCAGACTGGTACGAAACGGCGTGTCCGCCCTAGTCCAAGGGTGGACAGGATGCAGTCGGCATGTAAACATCCCCGGTGCAAAATTGGACCAGAAAAAAAAAACAACGCAGGACCATCGCCGAGATCCAGATGCAGATGCAGACCATCGATCTGGGCCGGATTTCCTCCTTTGCTTTGCTTTGCTGTGGTTCATTTTGCCCTTGCCCCTCCGCAGATCGAAATCGAGTATCGCCCGTTGCACAAGCATTGGATCCCGCCTATGTCCGCCTATACGGAGGAAAAAATGCCCTCGGACAAAGGATTTGTTGACGGGTCCGAGATCTCGCAAATGCGAGGCATTGATCTACATGTGCGGTCGCTGCATTGCGAGCCCAATGCACCACCCAGGTCGCTCGATTTCAGCCACCCTACGATGCGTTCCGTGCACACCTGAGATTTAGTGTATGCACGGTAGGTCACTTCGCCTGTGACCGAACTCTGATGCACCCAAAACTTGCCGTCTGCAGGTGTGTTTCCCCACTCTGATGCACGATTCGTCAAACAGGGGAGTTTCTAAGAGGGGGTGGTGGGCAAAGACAAGGACCTCCATCCTGGACAACGACAACGCATGAGGGAGGAGGTGGGGGGGGGGTTCAATCATCCCACCAGTAAGTATCAAGACGCATCTAGTATACATCTAGTATATCGGGCCACCGAATTGATAGACGCAGCAACTCGATTTACCCTCCGTAGTACCGGGATTTCGATCTGAACCATCGGAATTGCTGGCCGGCAGTCCGGTCGCAGCCGCTGAAGCTGAATTTCGTACGGGATCAGATTAGAACCGCCGCGATTGGGCGCATTGGCAATTTTACTTGGAAACACCAATGCAAATGCAAGCAAGAGAGAAAAACAAAAATACATAATACCAAAAGCTGCCCTCCAGGGTTGGTTGCCAGAATCAGGCAACTGTGCGTTCGGAAAGACGCAAAACTGCGACGACTGGAATGGCGGAACCCTCTCCACACCCCTTCCAGGTCCAAAGTCCAAGGTCCACCATGAAGCGGGAACTCCTGCAAGCAGAAGGACCATTGAAGAGAAGATACGAGTAAGGCAAAGAACTCCCCGTCATGTGAGGAGATGCTGCTGCGGAGCCAACCGAACAGGTAGGAATGGGCCGCCTGGGGAAAACTGTCGATGCGATGTGATCATTACCCTACGAGTTGCACGAGGAGCCCCAAGCTCGGCACGGTATTTGTGTCGTAACAGAGCTGAAGAATGCGAATCTTGATGGTCGCTCTGCAGCAGGTTCATGACGATGCGCCAATCGTCGTGGGTGTTGGAGAGCTCTTTAGATCCACAGCTCCGCCAAAACAACTTCTGATCCTTCAGCCCGCAACAAGCACAACAAAACCAAGAGAACGTATGTATTTTGTGCCAAAAACAAATACAGAAAAACAAAAAACAAAAACAAAAACAAAAACAAAGCTAGTTCGCAGTTCTCCAGTCTCCAGTTCTAGTTCCTCCCCCAAGGGCCCAGGGGGAGAACGAAAACGAAGGACAATGGGTCTCGTTCTCACTGGTAGAGAATGATCGACAAGTGCGCGATGGAGAGCACCGTTAGGACCGTTTTGTGTCCGCTTTCAGCGCCAAAGCTCTCCGTCACTTGATGACTCGATCCTGACCAAGCAGGGTCAAAACGGCGTGAGCAAGCGTGCCACGGCCTCGCCTCCTAGCTGTTGTGTGGAACCCCCTCCGGTCGCTAAGAGGACGATCAGATAATCCTAACCGTAATGGACAATGAGCGACAGCGCTGTTCCTCAAGTTGGCAAGAGATTAAGATCCGATCCTAATTTCGGTCATATTGTTCGGCTCTTTGCGCAAACCCGCTATGGGCAACTATGTACGAGTAGGTGTCGACTCCATCTTCCTCTCTCTCTTTTCACCACTTCTCTTTCTCCCTCCGCCTTCCCACAACATGGGAAAAAGCAGCCGGAAATCTTCCGGAGTCCACCCTCGACAAGCTAGCTAGCTGTTCAAGTTTGAAGTAAATCTCTGTTTTGCTCCATAACCATGCTTATCAAACGATCGTCATTGGGGCCGATCTCCGTGGGATCCGGATCCTTTATTCCATGATGGCCTGCCAGGGCAGGCAGAGCGTATCGTATGAATGAACAAACGGCACACTCTCGCAGCGATGATCTATCCAGCAATTGGAATCTGTTATGAC